ATCTAGGTACATATGCACACAAGTAATTTTTTATTTCTTCCGTGGTATACAGTGAAATAATTACTGTCTGCAAGTTACTATTATTATTATTTCTATTGTACGTAGTACTCGCAGAAGAACTGTTACAAGAAAAACTCATTGTAGCAATCACAGTTTGTCGAATGTTGAAAAAATAAGTCACTGAAAAGCCACTTAAATTCTGTATAAGAAACACTATTTACCTTTCAAAATTTCAACTTCATAAGGCGACACGAGCCCAGAGTCTTTGTGTCCACTTCGCGATTGCGGTACGCATGCGTTTCACGGGATATTGATGCCATTTCTAGACAATAGATTTTTTTCGGACTCGAAACTTGTATGCGGTTTAGCACATATATCTAGCTTCAGTTTGGACCATATATCGTATTCCAGAGGCAGAAGTTCGGTGATGATGAATTTTATTCTTGGTCTAAAATGGAGGCAGGAATTTTGTATTTCAACCATCCATTTACTATTTTGGCTTCATTACTAGGACCTGGGCCGTTCTTAAATGTTTTGTGGCTATTTTTGGATCGAGAGTGATTCACTAATACCCTAATTCGCTCGATAACTTCAAAAAATATTTTTTGATACGAAATTTCACACTCAGCGGAAGAAAAATCACTTTTCCGACCAAATCCCAATAAAAAAATCACAGAAGCAGGATGGTGGGTCGAATTATTATTTTTGAAATTTGTGTGAATATTGTGACTGGTGGGGTGTAGACACAGTGCCTTTGCTTATTTTATGTGGCTTCAGAGTTTGCTCATCTTTTCAGAATATTTATTATTATTTTTCAAGCGCGTACCGCATGATCAGTGCCTGGGTTCTTATGTGCCTATTTTTAGTCGGCTTGAATTTACCATGTATTTCTCCTCATATGTTGAAGACATAAGTCTAATGTTTAGTTTAAGGGCCCCGGACGTAGTTTTACTTAATCCGTTCATTTGCAGGGAAATTTCTCTTAGGGTCCGGCATGAATTTGGACGAATTCAGATTTTCCGCATACTCATGATTTTTCTGACCTTTTTGACCGTTCCTTACCACTTTTGTTTCACTCATCAACACTACTAGTGTCAGTGGATCGTTTTATAGTACGGTCGGTCACCTTGCGATCAGATCCGATTTTTATTGAACAATTGAAAAATGAGGAATTTTATTGTTTACCAAAATGTTGCCAAAAAATCGCAGCATGCCGTTTTCACCAGTCTATCAATTTGGTACCTTGAGTAACAAAAATTTTCGTAGCATGGTTTCTGATAGTCAATTGCATGGAGATTTCAATAAAAAATAGTACAACTTTCTAAAAAAATGGTTTTGTCTGCTTAATTTACCCGGGAAATCTTGCGTTCTTTTGCGAGTACTACATAGGTATAACAAAGAAGTACCAATGCGAAAATAGAACATTTTAATTTTGTGCAGACAGTATAGATAAGTGCTCAAAAAATGCATACCGGTGGGAGGACGCAGTCCAATTGTCTACCCCCATTTTTCGAAACAATGATGCCGTCCACTTTATTCTCCTCAGCTAGAGTGGCATCTTCTCCCGTCAAGATCCCTTTAAGGACAAGTTTCATAGTTGCCTGGAATGTTATATAAACTTTCCAGTTTCATTGATTGTTTTAATTTTCTAGTACGTGAACTCGTGTTATTTTACTAACCTACCCACGAATCCAATTAATCATATCCCAGGTAACACTCATATCTCTGACGGGTTTTGAGTTGTCTCTCATCTTATTCACATCATTAATTAAATCATCACCATAGTATTTCTTCTCGCCTTGCTGCATAGTTTGGAAGGAAAGTGCATCTTGGATGAATGTGTCATGTCATTGTTGTTGGTGACACAGTGCGATTAGGCGAGAAAGATGACGAGATTGAAAAGAGACGGCGGTACGGGTGCAAGCAAATCATGACTGATTAAGTGACGCTTGCCTGTGACGATTGTGATCAGGTCCTTGTTTATTTTGTGTCGTTGTTACTCACGTTACATTTCTGGAACAAAGGGTGCGTGACGTGATATTATTTTGTTAAGTATTATTTTTATTGGGGTGTCTCGTTCTACACTAAATAGTTACTCATTCATTTGGATGTAACAATCAATCTCCTTGTCGTTTTCGATGGGAATGAAGTGTTGTTATTGCATATTTTGGTGTGGTCGGTCGGGCATATTGATTTTATTTGACAGATCTGATCTGAAGATTTATTGCATAAACACGAACGATTGTTCATTCGACTTACATATGTATGCAAATTGATTGGTGTTATTAATGGGACTTGCCCGTTTCAATTGCGAATGAGATTTACATATATTTCGGCTGTGAGATAACTCGTCCTTTCTTTTTAAGTAAGAAAGAACACTGCGTGAATAGAATTGGTCTTCGAGGACACGAGGACACCTTTACTGCACCACTATTATCTATATGTATCTCACTCTATTTATTTATGTATGTTTGGATGCTGCATTTTTACTTTCATGAAGTCATGCACACTTCCTAACGTCCAAATTGAGGAGGATGAGTCTGAGAAGAAAATATCAGGACAAAGAAGAAGCAATCTATATTATAATTTCGAAAAGTCCGTCCCGTGAAATTTTCCGTGACATTCCTGCATTCTGATTGGTTGCCGGCTTCCTGGCTCCACCAATCACAGCACAGATAAGATTTCTGATTTCGTTTATGATTTCGGTTATGGTTACGGTTGTGATTTCGGTTATGATTTCGGTTATGGTTACGGTTATGATTTCGGTTATGATTACGGTTATGATTTAGGTTATGATTTAGGTTATGATTTTGGTTATGATTTCTGTTATGATTTCGGTTATGATTACGGTTATGATTTAGGTTATGATTTCGGTTATGATTTAGGTTATGATTTAGGTTATGATTTCGGTTATGATTTCGGTTATGATTTCGGTTATGATTTCGGTTATGGTTACGGTTATGATTTCGGTTATGATTTCGGTTATGATTTCGGTTATGATTTCTGTTATGATTTCGGTTATGATTTCGGTTATGATTTTGGTTATGATTCCGGTTATGATTTAGGTTATGATTTCGGTTATGATTTCGGTTATCATTTTGGTTATCATTTCGGTTATGATTACGGTTATGATTTCGGTTATGATTACGGTTATGATTTCGGTTATGATTTCTGTTATGATTTCGGTTATGATTTCGGTTATGATTTCGGATATGATTTCGGTTATGATTTCGGTTATGATTTCGGTTATGATTTCGGTTATGATTTCGGTTATGATTTAGGTTATGATTTTGGTTATGATTTCGGTTATGATTTCGGTTATCGTTTCGGTTATGATTACGGTTATGATTTCGGTTATGATTTCTGTTATGATTTCGGTTATGATTTCGGTTATGATTCCGGTTATGATTTAGGTTATGATTTCGGTTATGATTTCGGTTATCATTTTGGTTATCATTTCGGTTATGATTTTGGTTATCGTTTCGGTTATGATTTCGGGTATGATTTCGTTTATCGTTTCGGTTATAATTACGGTTATGATTTCGGTTATCGTTTCGGTTATGATTACGGTTATGATTTCGGTTATGATTTCTGTTATGATTTCTGTTATGACGTAACGTTAAAAAATTTCCTTCGTAACGTTAAAAAATTTTCTTAGCAACGTTAAAAAATGCTTTAGCAACGTTAGAAAACTTTCTTAGGAACGTTAAAAAATTATCTTAGCAACGTTAAAATAAATCCTTAGCAACGTTAATATAAATTCCTTACCAACGTTAAATAAAATCTTTGGCAACGTTAAATAATTCCTTACAAAGCCGGCAACTATTCATAACGCAGGAATGTCGTGGAAAGCTTAATGGGCCAGGCTTTTCGAAGTTTAAGCATATTTAGATGATTTTTTTCTTTCGTGTTATAATTTCGGTATGGATTAGTGCATCACACCAGTTATGTAATGCCTCCACATAATGGTTTTGGTGGGTTCTAAAACTTTAGTTCTGGGCCGTCTTTAAGACGGGCTTTTAGGCTAGTACTATTATTTGATATGAAGGGAAGAAAAGTGGAATGAGAGAATAGAATGATTCCTTTCATCTCATAAATGAAACCTAAATAACTTTTTTGACTTAGCAAGTATTAGACGTGTTGTACATAAAAAAATGTTGCATAATATATGTTCGGACCAGAGGTCGACGCTGATTAATTTTGGGGGCGGCAAATTTTTTTGTGATTTTGCGGCGGCGTCCCTATCTTGAAGGAATAGGAAATTAAATTTATCATGCGAATAAATTTCTAACCGTTTATTTAAATTTGTGTCTTCTATTTTTTTGCAGCGAGTCCATGAAGTGGTGTTCGAATCAATAGTGTCAATTGCCTTATCATCCCTGATAATTCTAATAATAGAGTGCGATCAGGAAAGAAAGAAACCTTTGAAAAATGCCTGTAAAATCCGGAAAACTTAATTAATTCCAATGACATTTTTAGGGGTTAAGAACAAGGTCCTTAGCGTTCAATATTTTGCTTCATACGGTCCATAAACCCCATCCTTCCTATCTGGCGAATCTTTTGCCTCGCGGTCCCCATAAATGCTTTGCCACTCTTCCTCGCTACCTCTTTTGAGATGCGTGTCCAAATCTGACGGAATCCTCTCAAGTTCTTGGCTGGTTTTGATCGACGACTATATTCTCTCTTGCATAATGCCCAAAATCGTTCAATTGGTCTTGCCTGAGGGACGTTGGGTGCATTATCCTTTTTTTCGACCGCAGGTACTCCAGAACAACTTTTGAATAATGACATGTTGCCATGTCCGGCCAGAAAATACGTTACGGTTATTGATAAAAGGGATCAAGATCTTCTTTACACAATCATTCAAATACCACTCCGAGGTCATGGTGGCTGTGGTCACGAACGGCTTTGAGACGTTTCCCTCTGAGTCCAATGCTTGCCATATCATGTACTTCTAGGGAAATTTTGACTTCGGTTTGTATTTGAAGGAATCTTTAACCGTTTTCTACATACTTTATTGCATTTTTGCACATATCCATGAAATCATTTTACATATATGTATTTCGAAAAAGCTAAACGACCAGCGCCGTACATAAGTGTCCCTATCTGAATATTAAAAAAACTCTTAATTGTAGTTGTCCTAAAGGTAAAAAATCTCATGCAACTCTCGTCCGGCTGGAAGAGATCCCAAAATAGCAGCCACATTTCCACGCTGCACTGCAATACTCATCCTCTGGAGGAGAAATGATGTTGCCCTCTTCTCCTCCGTAACGATCGTGATCCTTGATCCGATTTCCTTGATAAGGGACAGGCCCTCTTTGCCCCACACTCCTATCGTTTCAATGGCTACAGGAACAAAGAGGAATCTGCTTCCGTTTTCTTATTAGTACATGAGTAGTACTTCCTCCCAGGGACTTCATCTGGATCAACCGAGCAATAGGTCTCATCATCCATGACCAGAATCACAGGCACGTCATGCTTGAGTCGTTTTTCAGCAATCTTCCGACAATTGGTCTTTGCTCTTTTTTGCTGACCTTGGTTGTACTTTGGTGCAGGTGTCGCCTTATAGGATTTGATCCCCAACTTCTTAGCTTTAATGTAATGCAAAGTTGTTTTGGCTATTTTCAATTTGCAGCCCAAATTACGTTCTGATATCCCAGGGTTATTTTGGTATTCCCTCTGAACTTTACGTATCACTTTGGGGGTCATTACACGAGCAGGACGGCCATTTGGTTTTTTGATTTTAGCACTCCCCCTCTCCTCATACCTATCTAAAATTCTGCAAATTGTCCCTCTATAATTTTTTTCGCTTTTAAAGTGGCTATAAACCAATTTCCGTACGCGCCCGCACACGTTTTCGTAGTATTGGCAAATTCTTTTTGCGAGGTGTTCTGAATTTTGTGTTCTCATTTTTGAACTATTCGAGATATCGACTTCTGGTTTTCAGATTCGGGTAGTCAATCGCATGGACTACAAAACTACCGCGTTCCAACTCAGTGACAATTTTTCTTTCATACAAATAAATATACTTTTTCAAATGTTTCTTTACTTCTGGACCGAATCCTATGTATTTAACACATTGTGAACAAACTCGGGGATATATTTGCAGATTAAACTATCACCGTTTGGACAATTAAATACATACTCACAGAGTCCAGATGGATTTTAATCAAGGAATGAATTGGGAATGCCATGAGTGGTTAGAAATGTTCGAATCTGATACGAATTATGCTCAGCTTCCCGTCACGCATGACCCCGACGCGAATGTGAATCGTGAGGTGAGGAATTATCTTAATTTAGAAGATGGACGCTAATTTTATTTTTACTTATCTGTTATGTACTTATCTTATGAAACTATGGTTTAGAATCACAGAAATATTTCGGAAACCCCTATAATACCCGCTCACACGGAAACAATCCAAGCCACCAGTTCGGACATTAGCGACCAGGTGTGCTCCTCCACTACAAATTTACCCAACGATGTTGAAGCTATCCACAGCATGGGGGACCCATCCCGTTTCCCATGCACGTTTCCCGGTTGTGAGAAAACCTACAAAAACAAAAGATACATTTCGCAGCACGTGAAAACTGACCATGTCGAGAATCCTGCCCGATTTTCTTGCACCCTTTGCGAGAAAGAATTCAAAACGATGTCAGATCTAGGGAACAACAGTTCCACCCATACGAACGAGAAGCGCTTAAGTGTTCCACTTGTGTGAAGAGTTTCGCGGACAAATCGGCCCTGACTCATCATGAGGTAAATATTTTACCTGGGAACAATGCCCCAGTAAAGTTTGAATTTTTACACGCATAGCTTGGCAGTGTCTTCTGTAAAAAATCTAATCAGACCACTAAATATTTTCAGATTACACACCCTGAAAAATCGAGCGAGAAGCCATTTAAGTGTGCCACTTGTTGGAGGAGTTTCACCCAAAAATCGGCCCTGACGGGTCACGAGGTAAATATTTTATCTGGAGATTAAATATTTCAAAAAGTTCTGGTTTGATTTGTTACATAAGAGACTCTTACACGAATAACTTCCAGCTGGGAGTCTGTTATTTAAAAATGCAAGTCATGTTTATTTACAGATGACACACTTGAAAAAATCGAGCCGAGAGGTTTTCCAGTGTCACCTTTGTCCTGTAACTTCCTCCCTGAAATCGAACTTACAACGCCACATCAATGTTGTGCACGAAGCGCGGAAGACTTATTCGTGCTCATATTGCGGAAAAAAGAGGACTATTCTAACTGTTCCCCCGGATCAATTGGTGAATTTACAAACTTCAATATACATTGAATGCCTAAACTATATAGAAATAAGAAACTGAAGTGACATTGAGATATTTCCATCCGTGAGAAAATTGGGAGCCCTGACTATACATGCAGATCTATACCTTGAAGCACGATCGCTTTCTGCAATATATTAAATCAAAACTTTTGAAAGCTCCAAAGGTTTGTGAGATTTAGAGTAGACCCAGGCCCCTAACTTTAATCCTATGTCAAAGTTCAGAAAAATTACGTCGTTTGAGACGGAAGGTAATAGGGGCGGGCCAGGGCATCACGGCGATTTATGTATTTTCTACAATTGAAAAGTGTAAACCTAGAACATGACAGGCACTAGGGGCCAGTGATGCTTAGATGACTACTTTTGATAGGTCACATTTGGATATAATTTTTTTTACTAAATCTGCGCACGTTGGAAAAATCTCATCTATCCAAATGAAAAATTTCATGCACGAATTTTGAGAAATAACATATCCCAACCACAAGGTCGGAGATTTGTTCCCAACTTCTCGGAAGATGCCTATTTAGGACCAGATGTGCACCTAGGGCGCCTTGAGGGCTATGATGACCACCGTTGATAGACTTTTATTCGGATATCAGTATTGACTAAAGTTACCGTATTTTGAAAAGTGGATTATCGGGGGCCTTAAGACAAATTTTGGTGCCACAATCATGAACAAGCCTGAACCGAGCATTCTCTCAAATTATGACATTTTCTTGAAAGGCAGAAACTTGACACTTGGAAAGTTTTCCGTAAGGCTTAAACGAGCTCTTTCGATAAGCTACAATTGGGCTTCAGTTTTCACTATATCTGACAGTTTTTTAAAAATGGGACAAGGAGCAACTGTATGCATCCTTTGGTGTGAGATTTTTGTTTCGAAAATGGGCGAGGCATCAAAGCGAGGTATGGGATCATTATGCGCGAAAAGTAAGCTGAACAGAACGGCATGTGACGTTGGTTAATTTTTCATGTTTGGTGCTCAACTTCATAGTGACTATAAATTCTAATTGTTACACTCGGAAGCCATTCTGGATACTGTTTCGGGTTTTGATGGTCCCACATCCATGTAGAAGTTCCCAATAAATTGGCATGTATTGTGATAAATTGCACGAACCCGGAGTGTCCAAGTAACGACGGATTTATAAGTCGTCATATTTCTTGTAACGCCCTCGATATATTAATGATTTTTGACATCTTGAGCTGGTAAGCTGAACAGAACGGCATGTGACGTTAGTGAATTACCCTTTGGAAATGACAGGCACGAGGAACCAGGGCTGCTTAGATGACTAATTTTGATAGACTGCATTCGGGTCTGATTTGTGGACTAAATGTGATCGTTTTGGAAAAATTTCACGGTTAAACGGATGAAAAGTTATCTTTGGCGCCATTTATACGATCCTTGAAAACTGCGCAGTTTGTCGGAGCTACAAAACCAAGTGGTGACTTCCTATTACAGCCATCTGTCTAGCAAAGTGGGCTGAGCCCCAACCAAGTTGAATTTTTCCAAGCAATTTTGCGAGAAACCCAGTAAAACTCCCTCTCATATCCGTGGAAGAAGTGTTCTATAAATATTCATCGTTCGTGACTTTTATCCCTTGTTTGGACGGATCGAGATAATCGACATCGGTTTTCGACATTACGCATAGGACCCGAGGTGGATCCTATCAACTTGTGGGACCAATATGACCACCCCCTTCGGCCATGGGGTGTGGTCGGGGTAAAATGAGATTTTTTCAGAAATTGAAGCTACGCATGAAATACATTCAAGGTACAAAATGAGCCAAAAGCGAAAGGTCTATTCGCGTCGATTTCACCGAATTTCACATAAAAAATCCTTAATTTATTGTTGGGTAGAAAGATCAATATACTATAGGTATTTTTGAATTATATGCAACCACCCCCCATTTTAACGGATTTTCGACTGGCAAACACAATATGATATTCATTTTGCCGTATGTATGACACTTATTTCACCCTTTAGCTACATATGTTTGCGACGGTTTAGTCAATTATTTTTGTATTCACAATTTGCGCATGGTAGTCCATCCACAATTTGAGTTCAAATTATTATGTAATATGCATCTGCCGCGTTACGCGGGCGAACTCCAACTTTAAATTTAATATAAATTTCAAGGTAATGATGAAAGCATTTGAGTCAAAACATTTCCAAGATTCTTAGAGGTAGAGGCTTTTTGAAATATTTATGTCTAAAATCGGTAATATCCACTCTAATATTTATTAATTAACATAATTGTCAAATAGAACTTGCACGTAAATTTGTATTACAAATATATACGGTATGTACTTGTTATCTAATTTTTTGAGCGAATTAGTACCATTTTGTTTTATTGTTTAGATGAATTCCATACTTAGCAATTGACAATTCCTAAAGCCGCAAACCATATTGCTAGCACCATCAGTCACAAGATAACCGATCTGAGTTTAAAAGTATTGCATTATTTATTTATCATTAACAAAATTGAATGTTTATTCTTACTATTCACCTTGGTCGTGCTAATTCCTAATGAATCCATAGATTGCTGGAATTTTTGCTTTATATTTTCTCCGGTGTGGCGATCATTAAATTGCACGGCTGAGAGGACGTTTGACACCAATTTCCATGTTCGGTTCTGCGTATCTTTTTGAGTATAATGGTATTTAAGTCCCATAATTCCGTCACCCTGTCTACTTGTCCATATGTCTGATGATATGTGAACATTGTAATCCTGAACGTGGTTGAGTGAATTTTAGGTTTTACCTGGAATTCGCACAAGCGGGAAAATTGCATATATAAAGGTTTTATTATAGTTTTATGTGTATTTGAGTAAGTCAAAATTACATGGAATCTTGTTGACCGTGTTTGCTAATTTTCTTGCCAAGGTCACTCGGTCAGGAACTATAACTCGTGGATTAAGGTCAGATACTAAGTTCCTGAATCCTAACCAATTAACAAAACTGAAAGGGAGTCCATCAACAGAGACCAAATCTTGCAGATTCGAGTTGAATTTTGATTGTATTGGGTCGTTTTTATTATATTTGTTTTGATTTGAGTGAAAAAACTCGTTCACCTTATCATTTTCTCGTGGGATTTCAATTTCCAAAGACACATCTTTGTGTGAGTTCTGCAAAAAATAGTCGATACAATTAACGAATTTAATTACTACTTAATAAATTGCACGGAGGAATATAAAGTTATTATACGTACTCTATAATGACGATTTCCGTTTACGTTAAAGTTGCTCGCACCAAATGAGTAAACACGGCTTTTTTTACCAGTTTCGGTGCACTTTTTACAAGTTGAAAAGAACTTCTGGGACTCAATTGAATGTCCAAGGTAGCTGAACTGCTTCTCAAAGAAGAAACGGAACTTCGACAACTTTTCAAAACCTGGTTGTTTTACGAGTTTAGGTTCCTTGGAACCTCCCTCAGAGTCATGCTCAAGGTCGACGATTTCTTGATCCGTGTGGACAGCTTCGCCATCGCCAGGGTTAACTTGTGATGTCATAACTACTCTAGTTTGCAATTGTTAACTTGTAAAATTAAATCCCTCCGTATAAAGTTTTCGAACGATTTTTTTTTAATTTGGGAACACGGGTTTTAATGTAAAATGTGTTGGAATATTGAACTGGCTCCCACCATGCTCCGACCGAAGTTCCCGGCACGCAATGATGATGCACATAAAGCATGAGAATTTCGACCACAATCATAAAGAATGAATGAGACATCACAGGCTCATTCACTTCAACGTGAAGTGAATGAGAGCCAAATTTATTCACAATTCATTTATTACATTCAGCCATCCCTTATTCAATTCATTCAGTTCAAAATTTTATTCATTCATTCATTATTCATTGAATAAATGTCCGGGACATATTTATTCATTCAATATTCATTCAATAAATGAATGGGGCATAATTATTCCTTCAAATTCAAAGATTTTGAATAATTCGTACATATTCAATATTCAAACTCACTTTAGTGAACGAATGTGAACAGGTATGGTTTGGACACCTTCACATTTTGGTAACACTAGAAATCCAAGTGGTGACTGCCAATAGCATGCCAAGTTCGATGTTGTGAAAAAATTAGCAAGATATCCAGCCAAAGCTTCGTTGTGCCTTCTTCCCAAATTGTACGACCAAAAGTTATCTTTGGCGCCATTTATACGATCCTTGAAAACTGCGCAGTTTGTCGGAGCTACAAAACCAAGTGGTGACTCCCTATTACAGCCATCTATCTAGCAAAGTGGGCTGAGCCCCAACCAAGTTGAATTTTTCCAAGAAATTTTGCCAGAAACCCAGTAAAACTCGCTCTCATTTCCGTGGAAGAAGTGTTCAGTAAATACTCATCCTTCGTGACTTCCACGAGTTCCACAAGACTTTCGGCGACCTTTCAAGGTTTTGTCGACCACCTGCTGATTTAATTAGGACCCAAATTCGAAAACCACCTACTACATATGCCGTGTTACCCAGTGAAGAGACTTTTGCCGACCTTTAGATTTGTCCCCGACCTCCAGCAGCTTTAATGTGGACCCAAATTCGAAAGCCACCAACTAAAGGTGCCGTATTACACTGTGAAAAGACTTTTGGCGACCTTTAAACATTTGGCCGACAACCGGCAGATATAATACGGACCAAAATTCGAAAGACACCGATCAGGGGCGCTGTCTAACCCTAGCAAAAAGTTCCACGAGACTTTTGGCGACCTCTAAAGGTTTTCCCGACCACAGATTTCTGCTCACAGATTCGACCAAACCAAATCGATCACAAGTTTAAATAGATTGAAATTTGCAAATGGTACGATCTGCCAATGCGCAGGTTTGGAGGAGGTTTTGCGCACAAAGAAGATGCACAAAAACAAACAAACAAAACAACAAAACAACAACAAAAACATGCCGAAAGTTGACACTTTAAAAATTTACTACGGGTTTTTTTTCCTCTTCGGATGCAAATATCTCTGCCAAACCCTCGCATTTGCATTTGCAAATTTCAGACTAATTAAATTTGTGATCGATTAACACCAGTTTGAGCCAAATCGGTTGGGAAACTCCATTGTTAGTTCAGTATGAATTTTATAATTTGATTACGATTTGTATGAAATGAATGAAATGATTGTAAAAACAAATGCTACCTCAAGCTCGAATAAAAACCTTACCCAACTATTGCAATATGATCCAGACATTGCCCGACCTCGAAGCTAATCCTAAATACTTTCCAGCATTACATAAGTATTGTTTGCATTGTTAATCAAATTTCTAAAATTTATGACTTTATTAATCCTCCCAAATATTGAAACAGAACCTGCAAAAATGGCTCCTCGAAATTTACCAGCTTCTCTCCTTACCCATGACAATGTGGAAGCCAGACTTCTATCCCCAATTAAGGAATCAACGGGACAGGATGGGAATCCCGAGGGTTGTACGGTTCCGTCAGACATCCCCTGGTTTGACGCCACCCTGGCCGAAAGAGGGCGTCGTTTCGTCGAATCCAACTTCTTCGTCGTGCTCATGCTCAACTTTGTCAACACATTCATGGGCCTGGCCAACAAGCCGATTGCGGTTCTTTCCTTTGAAGTCTTTACCAAAGGGGGGAGGGGATGTGTGGGGCCGAGATATGTTTCCACAGTGAAAAGCATGATGAGCTGGTTCCTCTCGGAGAAGTATGACGAGGATTCCGACATCTTTCGAGAAGTTGAAAGGGTGAGAAAACTTCATCGATTGTACGCCAGACCAGCCACGTTACCGGAAGTGCCACACCCAGGATTGGAGTTGGGCGAAGGGTACGAAGAATTTGCGCGCGTCGTGAGAAAGGATTTGGATAAGGTGGGTAATAAATGCTTGAGGTCAAAAGATCATGGCTGGACCGGATTCGGTTATCAAATTATGCGTGTTCTTGGTGTATTTACTATTATGATGTTGATTGATTTAAATGCGACTTTAACATCCTTACACCATATTTTTGGCAAAGGTAAAATTTTTTTAGCTAATGTTCACACATTTGTACTCCGTGAGTCACACAAGTTCCAAATAATTTGTGTGGTGCTGCACTAACTACGATAAATAAATAAGCACGATCATTAACAAACATGCATTGATACGTGTGCAAATATATTTTGGCATTATTTATGTCAAGGTTTTCCGCACAGATCGACACATCCCTCTGTCCAACATCCCTCAAGGGGTGTGGCCCTCCCCTGCTCTTCACCCAGTTCGAGCTGGCCTTCGTCGTCTATGCCTCAGTCTACTCGCTGTTCCTCTTTCTGGAAAAGTTGGGTCTGTCCGGTGACTCAGAAACTGACGGGATTTCCGGATACATCCACCTGTGGGCCGTGGCGGGGCGCATGCTCGGTCTAAAGGACGAGTTCAACGTTGCCCTCAACCCGGATAGGGAATTTTACCTCAAAATTATGCAACATTTAGGGTTTGGAACCTTCACGGTTGCGTAGAGGAAAACATAGCCCTTCTGAATGTCCCCTTTGGAGCGAGTGCTAAGGCGATACTCTACACTGTTCTGGAATCGGGCGGTTAATTTGTGGAGCTTTATGAGTTTTGGAGACAAAGCGTCGTATTACGTGACGAAAGTAGTTTTCTGGGCGTACAAGAATTTGTGGGGGGTTAGGCTTTAAATTCTGTGGCAAGAGAGGGTTTTTTTCTATGCGGCTCGTAGAAGTAAAAAGGTGGCCAGTTATAGGTAAAAATTTCGAAATGTTTTTTAATTAGGCAGTCGAAACTGATTATGAAGAAATAAAAGTGGTGAATTATATTAAATGCTAATTGGAAAAGCATATTGGTGTGTATATATATTTATTACTGTTTCTTATATTGTTTTCGCATATTTTCAAAAAAAACTTAATTTATTTAGTATTAGATCATACCCCCCGCATTAAAAATAGTTTGCGTGGTCTGAGGCTCAGACTCTGAGAAAATACTTAAGAACGTTTTAAGTGATAATTAATTTCAAATTGTACTTCATTCAAAAATACTTTTTTGGTTTCCGCAATCTAAAATTGCATGGTGTTGATTTTGATTATGATAATGCAACTTGGAAAAATATTTTCATCAGGTATTCACATCACAAGTAAAAATTCGCAACTGTTATCATAAGGTTTTGTTAGTTGCGCACCGTCGCACGTTATTACCAATTCTGGCAAGTATACAGATATCTGTCTGTAAATAGACAAGAGACTAGTAATTATATATTTCTTACCAAATTATTTAGTGTACGCCATGCTCCCCCAACGATTATGTACATACACATATTTATTATCACATTGCATAAGTACATATTTATACTTACCAAAAATGCAAAACCACACAAATTAATATTTTCTTAAAGTCCTCTGTGTTAATTAATTACTTAAATATTCTATTATTAATCTGCACTGTTCGATTCGGTAGTTTAAAATTTTGCGTAGGGTTAACGAGTTTTAGTGGTCATACCCATTATCAGTATTTCGGATAGCAATACCGTTTGCTGAATATTTTAGCGAAATAAGACAGTGTTAGACAAATTTGTAACTAACATCCCAAGCCTTTCTACAACGAAGTTAAACTGAATGTCACAAATTTAGTTAAATTAATCATCAAATTATTGATATGTCCATTAGACAAGAATAAAGAATATATGTCTTTTAACTATTCTGAAGTATGAACTCGACAATGGCGTACCAATTCGTGAAAAATGAGAAATTTCTTCCCACAGAAGTAACATTTATGCCTCGCTGCATTGGGACGTCTTCCATGCTGCGCCAAATTGGGTTTCGAGTGGCTCTTGTACTCGCATTTGTCGCAGGCATAGGTGAGCTCTCTATTCGCGGCATGTTTCGCCTCCACGTGAACCTTCAAGTTTGATGAGTTGTAGAATCTCTTGTCACAAAATTCGCACGGATAATTCCTCTGATTTTCATGCACCACTCGGATGTGGCCTTGTAGGCCATATCCCAACGCAAGAAGGTCTGAGGAGGAATACGTACGACCTTTTCAATGCCAGATCTTGATGCCCTTTGGATATGTTGTAGGTCTATACGAGTGTAGAAAAAGTGAAGGAGGGTTTAGGTCCATGGGCTCTAGTTCGCCAGCCACACCTCTTTGAAGGGGCGCCCAATGCCAAACTAGCCGCACTAAAATATTCGCCAAAAATCCAATTTTGCTCGGATTTCCATAACATTTACATATTCTTGATCCTAGATAGTTGCTTTATCATATCCAACATCAAATTGGACCATTTTCAAATTTTCAAAATTTTTGAAAATCTTCTGATTAGGGGTATGCATCGAAAAAGTGTGAAATTTCAAAAAAGTTGGGTTTGATGTTGGATATGATAAAGCAACTATCTGGGATCAAGAATATGTAAATATTTTGAAAATCCGAGCAAAATTGAATTTTTGGCGAATTTTTTAGTGCGGCTAGTTTGGCATTGGGCGCCCCTTCAAAGGGGTGTGGCTGGCGAACTAGGGCCCATGGACCTTAACCCTCCTTCACTTTTTCTACACTCGTATAGACCTACAACATATCCAAAGGGCATCAAGATCTGGCATTGAAAAGGTCGTACGTACTCCTCCTGAGTACAAACGTGACAGTGTAACCTGTCGCGGGTTGATTTTTGGAAATGCGTTATCTGCAAAATCAGTACCTACATTGGAAATTTGTCAGCTAGTTTGCCCACAACATGCTTACTTATTTACCTTGTGTCTATTCAAATTTCCCGGACCGGATTCTCGGCATGCTCAATTCTAACGTGTTCCGAAAGGTGTCCCTTGTTTAAGTAGGTTTTCTCACAGCCAAGAAACGTTCATGGAAAGCGAGGTCGTTCCCTCGTGCTGTGAAGGGCGTCAATATGTCGCCTTAAAGTCGTAGAAGTGGTAAACACTCTGTGACAAGCGTCACAACGTATCCGCTTCCGATTGTTGTGCATAGTCGACATGTGGCAGGATAAGGAAAGTCTGTTTTTGGAAATTTTGCCGCAAACCTTGGCAAAAAAGCAATGGAAAAATCGGGATTGTAAAATTAGATTTGCTTTTTGCAAATTTGTATGTACCCTCACCTCACATTTGACCTTAGCATCAGGATCGTGCATGACCGTGTGCTTTGTCAACTCGTTGTCTGTTTTAAACGTTTTTTGGCACTTTGAGCAATCCCATTTCTTTGCTGGCTCCAGATCCATATTCATTTCGGTTATTGTCAAGTTTGTAGATGTATGTATGTATGTACATACATATATTCCCAAAAGATTGATTCGCTTAAACTAATTTAATTTGGTATATACATATCTGTAAGAAAATAATTGATTATATTTACGCAATATTTCCTCAATTTTTTTGCCACAATTGACACTGTTTAAAGCATCGACGAACTGGGCATTTTTATGGATAATAATATTTATGTATATGCTATCTGACCTAACAACAAATAAATTTTGTGCTACATACAATTATGTAGTTCGTTGCTTACCGTCTGTTGTGCAGGATTGTTTATTTATATTATTACTTACTCACGCACTAGTTGCTTAAGAGTAAGTGTGAAATGAACACGTAATGCGTAACATGGGTTGGTTTGCGTAGTGTAAAATAGGTTGCGTTTTTTGACCAGCGGAAACGAGTCAAAACTCGACGAATTCCTGGACAAAAATAACCAGCTTTCCCTTGCGGACCATGCATACATTATGCCATAAATTTTGAATTTTTGCGAGGAGTTTCATGCAGAAGGATTCAATCACAAGGTGAAAAAGTATGTTGCCTTCTGGAAATAAGTTGAACATTTATGTACATATGTACGAGTAAGTCTGATAATTAAGCAATTAGCTGGAAAGAATAGTTTGACATAATTTTAATTATTAAATATTAAAATTTCCATAGGCATTGACAAACAGTTTGCACATATAATTTTCAATAATTCAAGCATACTTTCGCATTTGTGGATATATTTATTTTGTCAGTAAAACAAATTTTTTACCGTCAGTCATATTATAACAAAACCTGTTTTTCCATTCTAGTCTGTATGTTTTGTGAGGACAAAGCTGGTCGTAAGACAGCCAAATTCCTGGTCCCCAAAGGATCCAAAGTTCTCGAACAGTTTACACTTATCATTCGTCACGCTGACCTTGTATCTTGTCTCATCAAACGATTTGACCGTCTCCTCCTTCAGGGTGACCGCATTATTTTCGGCCCATTCGAGTTGGACATCCTCCACCAAATCTTTATCGTCTTTAAGCTGCATCTCAACTTCTATCGACGAATTGTCCGCCGCTGTCTTGTTGCACGAGGTGAGACGCCTCTCGATCGCCAGGTCGTGATAAACCATGCCCTCCGGACTTATCCAAGCTCTCGCGTTCTGTTGGAAATCGTAACTTGACCGATAATGATATCGATCCCCGAGGTCGACCAGTTCTCCGCCAATGATCAGTCGGGGGAACCAGAGGTGGTTGTTTTCTTGCGAAAATTGTACGAATTTAATCCCGTCAGGAGCTTCGAAGGCGAGGCGAAAATCCATGAATTCGACGCCCAGTTTGGCGGAAACTTTTAAATTGACGCAGTCCCGGTCGGTGTCATTTAGATCTGAGACACTTATGGATTTTAGGCTTATCCAGGCGATCGTTGGGTTGGGTTGGGCGTCATCTTCGGACGTCTCATTTACCCCGCGGGGGCGGAAATTAGGGTTGTAATCGTTACTGCTACTGTAACGGTTGGTGTAGTAGAGGAAGTCATTTGGTAGAATGGAGGTAAGAATGGTGCGGATCTTGTCTTGGTTGTGACCAAGGCGTCGGTTGAGCTCGATTTTCTTGGGTTTTTGGGGAGCAGCAAGACACAGGGGTAGGATGAGGCAGATTATTATGGAAAATTTACGGAGAGGAAATTCCATCATGTTTGTAATATGGTTGGGAAGGAATTCGTATTATTGATGAAGGTTTAATAAAATTATGTACAGCTTTGCTTTAGATCTCACGGTTTTATATGGAGTAAAAATAGAGTAAAAATTTGGAAAAAAACAAATAACAATACACGTGTAACCCTGAAAGGCCGGAAGTTGCATGCATGCAAGATTGTATTTGTGTTCATGCCATGCTTTCATAATTAATCCAAATTGAGGGGTTGAACTTTTCGCAGAATTGCGCATAAATTGTTGAGAGATAGTGATTATAACTATTAATAGAAATTTTGTACGAACTAATAGCGTGTGCAGCTATTTTGGTAGCAATTTGTAGCCAGTAAATATGACTGAATAGGTAAGCTAAACAAATATGCGTTTTTAGTTGGTTGCGTTTTACTTGTTCGTTTTTTAAATTTTATTTATTTCAAGTTAAGATTTGTATTGTTGTGTAAATTTTATATGCTGCCAGGTGCGGAAAGAGCTACTAATGTTGTAAATGTTGCAAATATAGTTCCAGCTTGATATGCGGAGAATATGCGACGCATCATGCATTTGTTGGTAGCTAAAGCTGTACCATATGAAACAAATCTGCAGAAATTTATTAAAATAGATATAAATATACAATGAGATCGCGTTTGTTCGCACTCGAACGATTTTCAAGTTTAATAGCTTAAAATTTGCGTAATTTAGTGTATGTACATCATGTACAGTACATGAAGAATCCGTAATAATATTGGGGAGTGCATTGGTGGTTTTCGAGATCTACGCCAAAATGTGCGACTTATTCGCAAATTTATAGTTTTCTCTCAAAATCGTCTAATCTGGGTCAAATATTCCCGGAAATAATTTTAAAAACAATTTTAGGCAAAAATTTGGCCACTGCCTCGAATTCCGATCCCAGTTTTCCAATTTCTTGAGTTTTGCAAAATCTTTGCAAAATTTGTAAATTATGCAGTTCAAGTTAATACGGCCTGCTTCTTGGGGCAGTTTGTGCGATGGTGAAAAAATGTATCCAAACATTTGCGGTCAGCTGAAAAAATGGGCGATGTTTTTATGGGAGGCACAAAAGTTTTTATCGCGAAATTGAAGATATGGATGGTTCCCTTTCTTAATCGTTGGAAAATTCATGTAATGAAGAACTAATTTTGCATATATGTATACCAAGAAAATTAATGCGATAAATGTATTTAATTGTAAATGAACTACATAATTATTATAGCTGATGAAAACCCTGACATGCACTGCACAATAATGCACATGCCAACTTTCGTCTATTATGTAAATATTATTTTACATATGATGCGAGAATCAATTATGCATGCAAAATGTTCATTTATGCGACTGATATTGACTTCCACATGACTAATGTATCTAATCTGTATATTGATATGTCACATAACGCTAGCAAAAAACAAACATTCGTTGTATAAAGTGACAGAAGACAGGCTTAAAAACACTACTTTTGATTTAACTATAATGTATAAAGGAAACATATTTATGTATATAAAATGAGCAAATTGATTCTAATTCAGACGTCCAGTGATCCTTGTATTTTGGCCATGATATTTGCCACAATGCTGGAGAGGTCGTGAAGTAAGTAGGTTTTATCCTCGACTTCAATTACGTCTTAAAATACATAAAACAATTACTTGGTTAATTGAAAGTTAAAATGCATATTTTCATTCCGATTTGTTAGTATTAATATTTGGCCTATGCTAGGCCAAATTGGCAGGTACTTACATGTGTCATCACAATAATGGTTGAGTTCGAAACTCCCACCGCCACAAATGTTCTTGACTATCCAACCATAAATTATCTCACAAAGGGTGGGCTGGCGATGCACAAAATTGCAGGATACGAAACTACAAAATATGTAATTTATCTACCCGTTAATTAAAGAACCCAATAAAAATATTACTACTCACACGAGTTTTGGCTTTGAAGGAAGTTGAGCAATGTAATTTTTGATGTCCAGTTTTCGTTCGGGAGGAAAAATGCAGGACTGAAGGCTTAAAATGTTTGAGATAGATTAATATATACATATGTATATCTATTTTTACTTATTTAGAATTACCGTTTTTCTGGAACTCGCCCTTCCGCGATATGATCCATATGTCGGGTCAAAACCTCAAGGCGGTCACGGCCTTTGTTCACAATTTTTGTAAAGGTGGAGGGTTTCTTATCTACTTTTGAGACGTTTCTATCACTGCCGCTTGGGGCGGAACTGGTCGCCAAGTCTGTGAAGGTAAATGTACAGGAGTTGAATCTATTTAAATAGATAATTAAATACTTATAAAGACATATTTTAAAAGCAATCAAATATTTAGTTCACAAAATTATGGAAAATAATCGATGATTATTTGCACTACCTTATTTCTGCTGTGTCAATCCTTCTTTGCTGCAACATAGCGGATCTTTCTGACATTTTTACAAATGAATTATTCCACCACAAATTCGCCCAATTATCCACCCACTAATTATTATTATTATTAAATTATGACAGTTGTGATGATCATGAGGGAAACGTATGTAGTTGTGTATCTTTATCAAATGATAAAGTTGTAATGAAATAAAGTTAACTTTCCGTGTTAACTTTTATTTGTAACTACGCATTGCATAGAAGAGGCGACAATATTGAGTCATCACTTTCATATAGATAAGACTTGGTGCTGGATGTGACTCGAATTGAGTCGGGCCTATTCGATTCAAGTAATTTAAGAATTATGAAAATTTCACGTAAAGACGGTTTTGTTGCATGCATTTTATAAATAATACTGTATTTTAGTTTTTAAAATTCTAACTAGCCTTCACCCCAATAAATATTATGCCAAATTAGTAATCACCAATAATTTTCAATGAAATTGATAGTTACGATTGGAGCCAATTTTTCATTATTTTAATCACACCTTCTTACTACAAATGTGTGCAACGAGTTATGGGTCGACCCCTAAATATACCAGAATGTACACAAAATGTGAGTTATGCAACAAACTGAAGGAATTTCCGTGTTCAATTCAAAATTCAATTTTCGTCGAGTTATAACGATACTTTTGACGGCAGGGTTCGGAAAAACCCAGGGTTTTAATCAAAAATTATAAAACCCATGGGTTTTAATTGGTTTTACCATGTTAATTGGGTTTTATTGGGTTTTATTGGGTTTAAATGGGTTTTATTGGGTTTTAATAGTTTTAAGTAATAATTTAACAAAAATTATTCGGAATTTGTATCTATTCGGAAATTATTTTTGTTTTACAACACTTGAAATCTGTGATGCTAAAGAATGGAGTCAATTGTTGCTTTGTTCCGAATATTTTCATATATTATGATAGTAATGAAATAAACTTCTTTAGAATGAATTGACATAACGTCTTCTAACGTATAGGAGATGTATTTAACTTTTAGAATATAATTTTAAGGTAAAACTCGATTAAAACCCAATAAAACCCATTAAAACACAAATAAAACCCACTTAACATGGTAAAACCCAGTGGGTTTTATTCATTTACAACCCATTAAAACCCAGGTCGGAATACCCTGTTTGACGGGCGTATAACCATAAGAAACAAGATTTCAAGCGGTCGGCTGCTAAATATAAATATGTAGCTGGATATCCATTTTTTGGATAATCCATAGCCCAATCCAATCCAACTGGATTTTAATTAATAGGATCTTGGTGAATTGGATCTAGATTATTCTTCAATTCATGCAACTAACAGGATTCGTATTCAGGTGACTCTTCTGATATGATCTGCATCTATGGTCAATTTACATATGTCCAGTGCTGGTCGGTTATGTACCTTATCAGATAATGATGTCAAATGTAACAATGCATTATGTGGGATTCAATTTACTCTGGTGACCTGTTGCATGTCATGTTGTATGTTATTTACATAGACGTCGGATATGGATGATCGATAAAAATCCCCAAAATATGACCATAAATATGGCTTTATTTTTTCAATTTTTGGCTTAATTTTTTATATTAATTTTTTTGTTATACTCTATTTTTATCAATGCAACAAGCTCTGGGGTGACTTAATTCACTCTCGTCGAATTAAATCACCTTAGGCAAAAGTCAATGTAAATTTCTGCAAGTTTCTCAAAATGAATCATTGTGGGAAAACGGAATTTTTTGTAATTTTCTTGCGATTTGGTACGCAAATCTTATGTAGAATTTGTCCAAAAATGATAAAATGAACGGGAAAGGCCCGAAATCTGATCCAGAATATGAATATTACCCAAAACCCAAAAATATGACAAATATTAGCAAATATGCTTTGACCTACGTGACCCACTATGTAGAGACTGCTCTCTGAAAGTTTGACGACGGTAGGTCAATAAACGAGAAAAAATCATATTTCATTCATATCCTATACTAAATTTGCAATCAGGGGTCAATTTCCCCTAAACGAGTCATTTATTTACTTCCATAAGTAAGTATTTATTTATCGAGGATGCAAATAAATAAATATCTAATGACTGCTTTTTGGGGAAGTTCGATACTTGTGTTTTCTAGATAAATAAAATAAATAAATCAAGATAATTATTACTTATATGCAATACGCATATAGGCAGTAATGGCACATAAACAATGATCTCCTACCAGTTTGAGTTTTATTTCAGAGTTAAAATGTGGTACAGGTTTAATGGTATCTTCACTTGCATTTGGTGATAATTGTCACACAACTTCTGTGCGCGTATACTTAAATCTCTAAAATGTTTGAGTAAATAGAAATAAAGCCACTCAACTTTTGTAAATTTTAGAATGACGCTAATAAAAAATAATTTCTAACATAATTAGCTGCAAGTTTTACTTTATGCTACCGTAACCCTGGACAGTTTATGAATTTTCCTTTTTGTAAGAACCAAATGATTCATTCCTCCCACTCCGCAGGTCATGGTTCGATCCTGCAAGGCAAATCCGAACAGCATCATTCGCGCTACTTCGTTCCCCACTAAGGTCTCAATTTGAGAATAATTGTCCTGAATTTTTTCCAGGAAACCGACCGAAACCGACTTGGCCACGTGCGACTTGAAGGAATGCAACTCAGCCAACTCAAATCCAGATGCATCCGTGTATTTGAGCAGCTCTCTCAAGGTGGGGGCGTAACTAGGGCCGTACATGTATTTACAGGCGAATTCTCCAAATCTGGGAAAATCCTCGGAAGTTTCGTAACACTGGATGAAACATTTGCCATCTGGAAAAATAATGTGAAAGGTTTTTTAGCTCATTTGAATTTGTGCTGGAAACCGTAAAATTTTAGTTGCACAAGACTTTTAAATCGGTTGGGGTTAAATTAAGGACAAAAATCCGTCAACTTTTGGTAAATTTAATTTTCAAGCATTTTTTAACTCTCAGATAAATTTTTAAACTCCAACGAAATAAAAAATTGCAAGTTTCTAATTTTTCGGCAGCTGGTCTACATAAAACTCATTGAGGGTATTAATTATTTCTTCGTATCCTTAGTATTCTTCGTATCGTAAAATAACTTACGACGCTTACGAGATTTTGTAAGCGCCGTAAGATTTTCTCATCGAAAATCACGTTACTACGCTTACGATTTTTACGAAACCTGACCCCGTGTTTTTTCTTCGTAAACTATTTTACGATACTACGGATACGAAGAAATAATGAATACCCTCATTGAAAGCTTATTTAAATGAGTCGTAGAAAAGCTGGGGAACATTATTTTTTACGCAATTATTGCATTTCGGTAGAAATACGATTTAATCTAAAATTATCTTATAAATGCTCAAAACTTTAATTTTGCACAAGTTGATGATTTTGGACTGCATTTAAGGCCAACTCATTTAAAACTAATTTCTAACACTAAAAATAATGAAAGTCCGAAAAGACTATGAGCTTAATTCAGAAAGCTAAAAAGAGCTTAAATTTTGTGTATACATATGTACAAAGTTTACCCACCATCTTTTAACATGGCGGCCACCTTGTCAAAAAACTTTGTAAGATTCCTCTTCCCCACATGTTCAACCAGCTCGATCATGATTATGCGATCGAAAGTTCCCTGAATTTCACTCCAATCCCCGACCACAATTTTGGCCCCGGTTCCACGACAATATTCCGTTGCAGTCTGTCCCATTCCTGGCGAGTTTGTTACCCCGACGACCTCAACTTGGTAATTATCGGCCAGATGTTTCGCCATGGTTCCAAAACCACAGCCAATATCCAGAACACGCATGCCTGGCACGAGCGGTTGAAGTTTGGCCGTGATGAGGGAGAGTTTAAGCTTTTGAGCGGTACCCATGGACTCAACTCCGGTAGGAAAGTAGGCGGCTGACATTTGGATGGCTTCGTGTTCATCTCCGTCCGTCATGGTTAATCGGTGATAGCCCGTGGCTGGAATTTTAGTAGAATAAATTCAAATTTTAAGGATTTTTATGCATAAAATTGACTGACTTTTTCGTATAAAAAATCTATGCATAGTGAATTATGCATACAAAAGCCGAGATCGGCGATTTCGTGATCATCCTACCGTCGACTATGAACTTTCCGTATCGGCTCGTTATGTTGTCCATCCATTAAAATAACTTTAAATAACTTGACTTACGAAGATTATACTGCAGTTTAAAGTTTTTGGGAAGATGTTCCATATTAAGTTGTGGATTGAGGAGGACCCATTTCAAATAAGCTTCCAGATAAGGCAAGCTTCTGCGGTAGGATTTTGACCCCTCCGTGATTACCGCCGTGTCCATAAGTCGACCGAAGAGACCAGGCAGATCCCTGCAGTCCCACCAACCTTGGACGAAACCTTCGCCCAAGGCCACCTCTCCATAGGCGCAAACTCTCGCGTAGAATTTATTATTTGTCACAATCACTGCGATCGATGAAGCTTCATCCGGCTCACTACTTTTACTCGAAGGGTTTAATAAGACGCCTTTTCCGTGTAGGAATCGTCTCGCGCCATAAAAAACAGTTGCAAGAAGCATAATAAATGAACTGAGGTTTGCATGTAAATTTCTTCTGACCCAGTTGAATGTATGTAGAAACAGGTTTCCTACGAGACAAACCGGTACGCACGCATAAAAGAGCGTGCAAATATTACGGCGTCAAAAATCCTCGATTTTAGTACCCACACACCATACCTGTTCACGTTCATTTAATTACTTCAAAATGAAGAATGAATGAATGAATAATTCAAATTGATTTTCGAAGTGAATGAATTTTGGATGAAGGAAACAAAATTAAACACTACCCATACAGAAGGGATATGGAATTTTAACATGGGAAAGACAAGAAGACCTGGACAACCCACCCACTAAAATGATCACGCAATATATGGACGTTCCCTTATCTACTTGATAAAGGAATTTATTATTTTAGTTTTTTAATGGTTTATTTACTTTATGCTAATGCTGCGTGAAGAAGTGATTATTGTGTAGTTTGTATTAGTATTAGTATTACATGTGTATTTATGTACATTGTAGCTGGAGTACTTCATAATTTTTTTTATTTTCACATTATAATTGCACACACGTTATCATATCATGCATATTACACGTAGGAAAAGCTGACTACAAAGGAGTCGTACAAAAAAATCCCTAATCGTAAAAAAGCTCGTAAAAATCTTGGAGTACTTTTAACGTGACATGTTTTAGCAAGACTTATTATGCCCTGTCGTCGATTAGAAAAATTATTTTTAAGACATATTTTTTACACATACCAACGCCAAATCTTTACATGCCCAATATACTTATGACAAGTACTCAATTTAAGAATTTACACAGTGCTGAGGTCTGGTTTGTAAACGAGTTTGTCTTAAACTGGCATACCCATTTTTCCACTTGCATAAAAGATCACTTCACTTGAATGTCTACAAATTCATATGAATAGCTTCCTGGCTTGGAAACCGGTTTAATATTTTGCACCGATCATACTGAAATACGGAAATTTCAACTCGAAAATCGTTAGAGTGCGAAAAAAACGGTATTTCATTGTATATGTATTTATATCTATCTTAAAAATTTATAAATCTTCCACAATTTACTACTACAATACTATATGGCTAATCATATGGAGTAAAAAAATGCACATTCTTTTCAAAAAATCAAAATTATTTCCAATTACGTATGTACTAGAATAAGGGTGCTATTTAATCGACCATACATAATTTAAATGTGGAACACGCCATAAATAGTTTCGATAATTCATCCAATTGCGTATGTATGTACATACGTACACCAAGAAAAAACAGGACATCTTGTTGCAAAATAATAATAATAAAGAACTAACAATGGAGGTCTCCCAACGTGAGCACACATATTTCGACCAAACTAGCGTCAATCGATTATAATTATAATTAGTATGAAATTTGCAAATGGAACTATCTGCCAATGCGCACGTTTGACAGAGATATTTGCATTCAAAGCGGGAAAAATGCGCAGTAAATTTGGAAACTGAAAATTTTCCCAGCCTTGGGAATGCGTTTTATCCTCTTTTTATGTAAATTGTCTCCGTAAATGTTGCAGATATTTTCATCTGGAAATTTCATACTAATTTAGTTTGTGATGACATTAATTTGGTCCAAATCTGTGAGCATACGTTGGGAGACCTCCATTCTTAGCATTAGTTTGTAAATTGATCCCTGATCCACGTAAAAACTTATGAACAGTTTTCTTTCCTACAAGACAAACAGGTATGCGTTAATAAGGCCTGTTGGCAATAAAATCACTACAAAAAATTATTACCAATCATGGTAATCAAGACAATTTAATACCCAAGGCGGTACAACTCTATCCTATTTCGTACTTGTTCAGCATTAATGTCGTTCACTACTTTACATACGTACAGCATGCCAATTTTGTATGTCAAAATAAAAATTTGTTTAAACTGTGTATCCAAAGTCTTTATATTGAAACTTTGTCTCAAAAAAATGAAAGTTGTTGATTGAAAATTTACAATCAAATTGAATAAACGGGTTTGTCTTGAAAGGATTTATCTATGTAGAGAAGACAAGTAAAAACTTGTTTTAGCAAAACAAAAACAACAACAAATGCACGCATTATTATGATCATGTTTAGCTTTCATTGTTAAATACACATGTTACACATGAGTTTTAAATGAGTTGAAACTACGTTGGTCTTAAATGCAGTACAAAAATCGTCAACTTGTGCAAAATTAAAGTTTTAAGCATTATTGGACTCTAAGATAATTTTGGGGTGAAATCGTATAGATTCGAACGAAATAAAAAATTGCAAGTTGATAGTTTTTCATCTCGTTGAGATTTATACGATTTCATCCCAAATTTATCTGAGAGTAAAAAAAATGCTTGAAAATTGCACAAGCTGACGACTTTTTACTCTAAATTTAAAGCCAATTCGTTTTTAAAATCATGTGCAATTCTATTACCTAAATACCTCTGGAACTGAAATGTGACACTTAAATTTTTTAATTTGATTCAAAATAATTTTATACCTACGTATTGTATATTTTGAAACAACAATTAGAAACCGTTTTACACGCAGAAAGTGTTTACATACAATTATCAATTATTTGATTCAGATCTCTTACACATTAAATATTTAATATGTGTTTTACAATAATACTTTATACTATTTGTGCCATTTTGACCAAGGAAATTGTCCACGGTCAGGAAATAAGTCGTGATGTGAATAAAATAAAATTTCTACTCTACCCACTTGCCTCGTAAGGAGTAACAACATTTCATTTGCTTTGTGGATGCAAAAATAAATACTGTGGGTCGAAATAAGTGTCGCGTAACGCGGAAAATTTTACAATGGAAGAATTAATAAAGTTTGAATAATTACTTAAATTTCTTTCGTAACTAACAATGCGATGTGTGAAGTGTAACCCTCCGATTTGGTTGGAAATTTAAATCAGTATGGTCCATATCAATACAACCAATGTTTCTTGAGGCAGTTTGTGCGATGGTCAGAATTTGCCAAAATATTTGTGGTCACAGTTGAAAAAGAAGGCTATATGTGTCAAGCGGTGGAAGAAAGCTCAACTTCAATTCTCTCCCTGTGCTAAAAATTGCACATTTTTCTATTTTGACCTCAAATATTTTAATCGCACAAGCTGCCTCAAGAAACGTTGGTTGTATTGACATGGACCATATTGATTGAAATTTCCAACCAAATCGGAGGGTTACACTTCACGCCATCGCATTGTTACTGTTCATCCAGTATTATTAGTCGCAAAAAATTCTGAAAGGTTACCTGGCAGATTATTTATTTTTCAATTAGCAACCAAATAACCTCTCAGAAAATTTTCCAAGAAATTGCGACTATTAATATTGGATGAACAGTAGTTATGAAAGCAAATTTAAATAATTACAAAAGGCGTTAGGACATGGTTTTGACGAATTTGCGGGTGAATATCTCTGGCGGGGAGTTGAATTTTGAACTGATTTTTGGTCAGTTGCAAGATAATACTCTCAAAAAGATATATTTAAAATTTTAGGCCGATAGCTTTATAAATGCCCCCTCCAGTGCCCCCAGAGTTGGAAGGAGCCAAAAAAACACTTTCCAAACTGAATTTCTCATATAGCATGATAACCTATGAGGTCAGAGGTGAATGATTGTTAATATTACAACCCTAGATAATCATTGCATGTAATAATAAAATAATCTACATCAATTACATAACGTTGGGCCTCCATCGTCGCTGATACTTTTTCATGAAAATTGATAAATCGGACCGTGCACAGGAAAATTGACCTGCTGACCTTGAAAGCGGACCCACTCGGTCAAATGAAGATTGAGGGCAAAGCTCTAAGTGTCCCAAATAATATTAAATTAAACAGTGAAGATTTTGTGTAAACAGTTCTGGAGAACGACCCTAGCTAATCAGCTGTCGCGGAATCCTAAAAACTCGTGAACTTATTTGGAAAATTAATGATCAATTTTTTTCGAAAATAAATTTTACTAATCTTTTTGTGTCCCCTACTGCAGAACTATTTTATCTACAAGGTACAAGTGACAAAATAATAAAATTATTGCGTTTTGGTTAGTTAGATTATTTCTGAAGTTCGACATCGAAAACGACGGGAACTTTTCCAAAAAATTTATAAGGTCTGATGAAAACTCAGTCCGTGGGGTTTAACCACTTATCAAAATTGTGTCAAAAGTACTTACAGTGCAATATACTATATGTACCTTGGATAAAAACCACGTTAGGGATTTTTAGCATCAAAGTCGTAAAATGTGGGGGCCTTAAAAGTCGAGGAGTTGCGTTCACGAGAGTATTCCATTAGGACAAGTATGAAGCTAGACTACAAAAGGGACTAAAAAGATAAGCATGAGATAAAAGTGGTTTTATATAGTGAAAAACATGCTAAGTCCCTTGATAATAGTCGCAAAGACGAATTTTGCATCAGGACCTAATAAACAAATCTTTCGTTCAACGCCATTTTTTAAGAACACTGGTTTGGAAAACTAAAAAAGGACACCTCTCCAAATTTGACCTTGCCTCATTTCGCAGAGTACACAAAATCGGAAGCCAGATATGCTTACCTATAGTTTGAGACATGGGCTTTCACATAAAAAAAGTTAGAAATCTCTACGACTAAAAACCATCCCGCAATTAAGGTATGAATTCGTCAAAACCATGTCCTAACGCCTTTTGTATCCATACTTTATTGATTCTTCCATAGCAAAATTGTCAGCGTTGCGCGATACATGTTGCGACCACCCACAGTATTTATTTTTGGAACTGGTACCATTACTTAATCCGGTTCTCGTAAGGAACTGGTACTGGTACCAGTACGATTGCACCGGTACCTGGTACTCGATACTAGACAAAGCCCTCGGTATCAGTACCGGTACTCACAGTTTAGCTGACTAAACATATCGGTACCAATACTGGCTCTTTCAAACCCTGCCCACACCCACTGGCACGCCAATATTTCCCCCACCCATACATATATATTATGCCCATAACAATTACATCCACGTCGAACTATTTATTTCCACACCCATATTTGGAATTTGAAAAAATTTGAAATTTCTGAAGACAACATGTGTTCGACGTGATCGTTCAGAGACCGAACTCTCCGGCTGGCCACCCGATGGTCATACGCAGTGTTTCGCTTGGCAAAAACCAGATTGGCCAGACCGCCGGTCAAAAGCGGCCAAAAGTGGCTTTTGACCACTTACCAGAATAGGTGGCAAATGGTCAAAAGTGGTCAAAAGTGGCCAAAAGTGGCCAAAATGCAAAAATGGAGCATTGTGCGACAACGAATAATGATAAATTAATGATTTGACATTCAGGATTTCATCAGGATCTAGCAGAGCAAGTTGAAGGCTACTTATCTATGTTTGATTGGATCTAAAATTTTAAAATTGGTTATTAACTATACAAATAAGCAATAAATTACACATTGCATCATTAATAATTGACACAGGAATAGTTATGAATTGACCAATTAAATGAGCAATTAAAATATTCAAGTATCGAGCAAATGTATAAATTACTTACTACATTTGTCCACGTTGAATTTATTAGATTGGTAATTATTACAGAATATTTCAATTACTTTGTAAGAACTATGATTATTCTTTGTGCAAAGAATAAATAATACTGGCCGAGAGTCTGTTTAACCCCGCCGCGCAAACAATTAGCCAATAGAATACTTTTGACCACTTTTGACCACTTTCTACCATTTTGGCCATTTTCGACCACTTTTGACCACTTTTGACCACTGGCCAACAAAAAACGATTTTAGCCGGCAAAAGCGAAACACTGGTCATACGCTCGTCACAACTTGACGAAAAGTTAATTTTACACATAAATTCCTTCAGTTTGTTGAATAAGTCATGTCCTGTGATCATTTTGGTATTGCTGTTTGCCCCGAACACGTTGGACACCTCGGTATGTTCCCTTGTAAGATGAATACCTTGCCCAAGCCTGGAAAATATTGGCGTGCAAGTTGATGTTGTTATTTGATATCGGGAAAAAGGCGGAGGCCGTATGTATTTAGGCAAATATTAAATACTCAAAATTTCCCTAGGGATGTCACCTACTGTGAGGAGATAAAATTCAACGACAGCACGAGTCTTGCCTCCAGTTCGTTCCGTCCCAACATTTTGACTGTTTTTATTGTACATGGATTCGCTCAAGACCCGTCTTATTACATGTACAAAGTTAAAGATGGTAAATATGTAAATATGAAATATTCATGTCAGGGTATTCCGACCCCGGGATATAATGGGTTGGGGTTTTGCTGGGTTTTATTGGGTCGTAAATTAATAAAACTAACGGGTTTTACTATGTTACAGGGGTTTTCCTGGGGTTTTACTAGATTTTATCTAAAATTCATATAGATAAATTAATAGAATCAATTATTTTCAGGTACATATCTAACTAGAATTAAGCCCTCTGATTAGTATTCCGAAAATTTCTATATTTATTTCTGATTTTTCCTTATGACCTAAAAATCACAATTTACAGCTTAACTTGGAGTTTGATCATATTAGTGGTTTTGGGGTGTTCCTGATATTCTGCATTAGTTTTATGGTAACTCTTCACAAAATACATTAATTTAACAAATTAGTGTAACATTGTAAGTTATATTATGTAGCTCACCCCAAACATTGAGCAAAACCCACAACCCCAAAACCCGTCAATACCTAGTAAAACCCCGGGGAAGTTGTTTTCACGGTAATACCCCGGGTTTTCCCGAACCCTGATTTATGTACATATGTCTAATTTTATGCATAATTTTTTTTATGCAGCATATCTCCACGCGAATCTTCCTCTCAACGTAATCATGGTGGACTATGGAGACTTGACTAAATTTAATGGGTCATCATTAATCACCGTTGCTTCGGCGTACGTACAATCAGTCAAGAATGTACCTCGGGTGGGGGCTAGAATTGCCGAATTTATAAGTTTCCTCATACAAAATAACGTTTTGTCGTTAAATTTGGTCCACGTGGTGGCTGTTTCGATGGGATGTCATGTATCTGGGGAAGTGGGGAATCATATCAAAAAATTATATGGTGGCCAGCCAATTGCCAGAATTACGGGTAAGTTGGGGAAAAATATACTTATTTACTGGTCATCCTCAAGCATGGAAGGGAAATCGGGCTTCGAATTCCGCTCAATTTGTCACTTGCTGACACATAATTGGCTTAAAATGTGGATTAAATTAGTACTGGGGCTTGTTCCATTCAGAATTTTCTGAAAATTTATAATTTAATAAAGCAACTAAACATAAATATTTTTTGTTCAAAACTCGCTCCAGTACTCAAAAAAACAGGGGATTAAGAAAAATTAAATAAAAAAGCTTCCTCGCCATAGCCGATTCAATACATAGATTTGTGCTTCCAGCAATTCCGGTGTAGAAAATGGGGCGATTTTTTATTTCAAAAGTTAAAAAATCGATGGTTTTGGTCTGAGTTTTGAACTAAAAGCTACTTGTATTTCGTGGATGTGTTAACTTAAAAATTAACAAAAAAAATCAGGACGGAACAAGCCTGGCACACCCGTTGCAAGTTGATGTAACCTCTGGATTAGAATTAGGTTCGCTTAGCTTGTAGTTTGCCAAGGCCCGTAGAAATAAGGCAAAAATTGAATGAAACTCGAAGTCATATTTTTTGCTGCGTCTGAGGAAGACCTATTTCATGAAGGGATTTAATAATTAATTGAGTAACATTACATGCCATAAATCGTGCCCATTATCAAATGTATGCATAACAACTATTAATCGCTACTCCATATTTGAAAACACACCTTCACGTTGGCAGGACTTGACCCAGCTGGGCCTTTGTTTGAGGGGCCAATAAGTTTTCGGGCGCTCGAGAAATGGGATGCTGCATTTGTTGATGTCATTCACACCAATCTTTTCGGCTACGGGACAACATTGGTGGATGGTTTAGCAAATTTTTATGGTACGTAAATAAGCTTAACTAATAATTCATGAGGTTAAATAAGGCAGTGCTGTTGGAAGTCCGAACTGGATCTTTATGTTCATATCTAAGATAATTCTTTGTGTTCATGGAAATTTCGAGCCTTTCAATTGTAAAGCACGAAATTAGGAATAAATTTAAACCAAAATGGATTAATCCATTTATAATTAGCTGTAAAATTTGAGGTTTACTGAAAAAAATCATGCTCATGCTTTGTAAATGCAAGGAGTGATGAGGAGAAAAACTCAAACCGGAGTTTATAATTCCACACTCATTTAAATAATTTGTAATTTTAAATAATGAAATAATTGGCACAAAGAAAACTAAATAGCATTGCCTGTTTGCATCTATGTAGCGAATGGCGGTATAACTCAACCTGGATGTCCAGATGGTCCAGTGGGTACGTGCAGTCATGGGTATTCCGTCGATTTATACGCTGCTTCTATTACGACACCATTCATCGCGTGTTCGTGCCTACTACCACTCTTCAATTGGAATCCAGTCACTACATCGAACTGCTTAAGCCCGTGCCAAAATCCGACCTACGTTGGGCCCTACTGTTCCTCTGAGTGAGTTCAGAACTGATATTACACAAAATTACGGTAAATAGTAGACGCGCCTAGAAAATCGTAAGAAAACCTGAACGAAATCGTTCGAGAATGTTCGCTATTACAGAACAGAGCCAAACGCTACTGATTTTAGAGATCCCGTACTATATAGTGGCGATGGAAAACTTTGACCTAAAAATGGTTAAAAAATGATTCTTGAAATCTCAAATTTTGGTATAATATGTCAAATATATCTGACCACGTGTCCTCAAAAGTTCATAAGCTTTCCTTGAGAAACAAATTTCGTACGCAACTTCAAAGCGAGGAAGTCGGGAAACGAGTTTTTTGTAAGTACCAAAATCTGAGCGACAAAGACTCGAAGAAGGCTTGACTAAATTTCAACAAAGAGAGGTGTGGCCGTGCAAAAATTAGGACATATATAAAAAAGTATGGCGAATCCGAAAATATCAACTTCAAATACGCGCAACAAGAAAAAACCATCATATTGACCCCTTGAAAATGAAAAACGATTAAATTTATTTTTGGAAAGTACGGATCCACGTTTGTGCCTAATTCGACCATGAAGTTGAAGATTAATCCAGACTAGGCGCATCATATGGAGGCTCATAAGTTATGGGTCAAAGCGTATTCAAAGAAATCTGCGGCAAAGCATACGGAAGGTCAAGAACAAATGGTGAACGCAAGCCCTCCCAAGCTTTACAACAAAATTTCACCAAAATAGTTGGTCATTGGGGACGAGTCTTACGGCTTCAAAAACGTGACAGAAACTCCGGGAAGGCATTTTTTTGTGGGAAATATATCTCTCAACTGAAAACCGAAAAGAAATTAAAATGTTCTTCGAAATTTCTCAAGAAATTTCATGTTTGGCAGGTGTTGGATAAATTTGGGCATGTTTCGGACCCCTCAGTTCAAAAGGGTTGTATGCAGGCACAGGTTTGTTTTCGGAAATGTGAGATAGACCGTCTGATTCCTTTCATCAAGGAGTATCAGAAAATATAACATGTAATCTTTTGGACCGACCTTGGACCAATCCATAATGCAATGACTATCAAGGAAGAAATTGAAAAAAAATTCAGTTTGACGTTGAAAAATGAAAACCTCACATTCAACCCTTATCTTCACGCAATAAAAAAATTTGGGCTATATATAAGAAGACATACTCCCAGCTTTGTAAAACAGCCGAACCTTTAAGAAAATTTCAATTCAGGTAGGAGATAATTACCCTTTAAGTTGCAAAGTCTTCCGAAAAAGCAGTAATAGCGGGCGTGAAGAAAAAGGTTAAGTACTAGATGGACAATGGATATCAGTCTTCTTTGTTCGCGAATATCTGTGGCTGGATATATTTAGGATATTAAACCAAAATTTGAGATTACTAGAATCATTTTTTGACCATTTTTAGGTCAAAGTTCTCCATCTATATAGTACGGGATCTCTATTTGAGGCGCCGCCGGAACCGAGAAAAATGGGCGGCGCGCCGCCCGCGGAAAAATATCCGGCGCGTCGCCGGGTAAAAAAAATGATTTCATGGAATTAAAAAGCTAAAATGGTCAAAAATATCAAAATTTTTGTTTTGGAGGGTTTATTTTTGGTTGGGAAGACAAATACTTTTGAGAATTTTTTTCGAATTTTGACGTTATTAGAAATGTCAAAAGTATGTACATTTTTCGCCGCCGATAGATATCGACGTTGAGCTGTGTTACAGAAACGGTTACCAATTGCAGGCAAAATATTTAGCTGCTTAAAGGATTCGCTGGGATAAGTCTTGTAAATAGTAGAGTAGATAAGTAACTCAACATTTTTAAATCTTCCTTTCTAGGGCAAGAGGGAAATTTTACGTTACAACGCCAAAATTCAATGTGACTTGTGAATGTAGTTTTGGTTTTGATAAGCTAATTGGTAAGGAAATGTAAATACGAGAAAACGGTGGAGATATAAGGGTACTCATCTAATGTTGTTCAAATTGTAGGTTGAGTGGTTAAGAGGAGTCCAATGTTTCGAACGGTTTGTTGTTCTTCGAGAACGAATAACTTTGTGACGTATGTATATTGACATCGTCTGAAGATAACTAACGAACTTTAAACGTCGTAAGATTTTGTCATCGAAAATCACGTTACTACGCTTCCAATTTTTACGAAACCTGATGCCTTGTTTGCTTTTAGGATTCTAAGGACACGAAGAAATAACAAGTACCCTCAATATATGTAAAATGAATGTAGATGAAAACCACACCAAGTGTACTACAAAACTCTTTTCCATATTTAGCGTGAGGCAGAGTGAGATTCGGGTTCTGGTGGGTATCCACAACCATCGCGCGTCAGTGCCGTATCCGTCTAACTTTGTCGCACTCACTCAATCATGCGTCTTATTTAATTAACCATACTGGGCTACTTAAATGTTGTCTTATTAAAATACAAAAAAACTTAAATGTTGGTATATCATTAGCCCTCGTTTGTTACGGCACTTGCCGTATAAGCCCCTCCCTTAGAAACTTGGACCCCAAAAATCTCACGGTCCCACCCATTTCTCGTCGGGCAACAAAAGCTGAAAATGTAGCCCTTCATAAGGAGAAAATTCTGGCATCAGGTTGTCAGCCGAGAAATGGCTGGGACCATGACTTTTTTAAGGATTTATGTGTATGCAAAAAAACCGCCAATTTTCGAATTTTGAAACTCTTGATGCATCAAAATGTTCGTATTCCAGGGGGAAGTCAAATTGCAAATGCAAGTTGGGGTCTTATTCTTTTAGTGCCGAGCGTACATTGACTTTATCATTTTTCACAATTTCCTTTAACAATGTTTGAAGGGGGGGTGGTTGCATATAATTCGAAAATACCTAGGGTATATTATGTTTCTACCCAAAAATAAATTTTGGATTTTTCTGGGAAATTCGGTGAAATCGACGCGAAAAGAGCTTGTACTTTTGGCTCATTTTGTACCTGTAATATATTTATTTATCTATGTATAATGAATTTAGAAAAACGTATTCTGAAGTTATCTTGACTTAAATTTGTAGTGCGTGTTTTTAGCACATGTACATAGATTTTAAAAATATATAATTTATTGAAATATTTATACCAAAGATAATACAAGATTATTTAATTATTACACTGCATTGACCTGAGTACGCCCAATGAAGAAAAGAGACATCATCATATTCTTACTTACATATATATGTATTTGCATACCAAGATCAACGAACCTTGCACAATGTGTTATTTGTGTAAATAAATATGTATGTATGTACGTGTAAGGATTCAACAAACACGGAATGAGTGTTCGTTGATCAAGTTAAAACACAGATATCTCAGTCAACCCTTTTCTTGCTAGGTAAGCATTTTTTCGGGTGTTTGGCATTTCATTTACGAAGTTAATGCAGCAAAATGCTGACCACTGCATGCATACATATGTATATATATATATATATACATGCTAAAACTATCATTTTCCAGGAAGCTGGGTTCTTAAAGCATCGTGTTTTAATCCTTCAATATTACTTCCAGGAAAAGGTAACCCATTTATCGCGACAAAATTTCATTTCGTGTTGTCTCATCTCTCAAGTTGGGCTTCATTTCGCCAAATTGTCTCGATTTGTTCGGACGGATATTAGCAATTTGTGGCTGGAAGGTCAGATTTTCAGCAAATATGGGAAACTCTAAAATATTACTACTTTTCGGCACAGTTTTAAGTTTGTTATTTCTCTTGATAATATTACAAACACCGACAGCCAACGCGGTTAACCCATCGTATACAACAGATACAAATCAAGGTAATAAATTCTCAGTGTCGTTTATTATTAACAAACTAAATTATTAATTCATTGCTCCTTCATATCCTTAATATTTTTGGTATCGTAAATTGTGTATGTATGTACCTAAGTTACGACGGTTACGAGATTTCGTATGCGTCGTTAAAAAAATTGTTATCAAAAATCACGTAACGAAATAATCTTACGATTTTAACGAGGCTTGCCTGACCCTTTCTTTTTTCCCTACTAATTTACGATATCAGCATAATTATGAATACCTTCATTATTAAAGAAAATTGTTAATTTGAGCATATATGTACTTAAACCTATGGGAATTTTAATTTATAGCAACTTCGTCATCCCAATATTCCACCGCAGCTAAAAATCATCCCCTCGACCCATTGTCCCCTACGGAAATCGCGTTAGCGTCCAAACTAATCCGATCATATTTTGTCTCGTCCCACCCCGTGCTCTATTTTTCCACCGTGACGCTAAAAGAACCCGCGAAATCTCTCCTGTTAAACGCCTTTCTGGACGATGCTACTCCTCCCCATTTCATCACGCGACACGCCTTCGCCAACGTGATGGACCCCGTGACTGAGACAGGATACGAGGTCGTGGTCGACTTAACGCGAAAAAAGGTCACTTCCGTGGTCAAACTTGACCCTGGAACGCAGCCAATGTACGCGATCGATGAAGATCCGGACATTAACGCGGTCCTTTTGGCGGACCCGCAGGTCCAGTTGAGATTGGCGGCTATAGGATTGACCAACTTGTCCATGGTCGCTCCGCTCTACTGGTAACAATATGTTTTAATAATGAATTTTGTTACCGCATAGTGATAATGTATGTATTAAAGCAATTGAAATATCCGCTTAACTCGATTCTTAGGGATTTCGGGTACCTCGGCGATCGTCCCGAATATCTTGAGAAACGGGTTGTCCAGGTCTTCTTCAGTTTTCAAAACGTCCGAAACGATAACCACTATGGTAACTGATTACTCACATATGTTTTAACATTTCTGGCGGGAGATTTCTAATTTCGCGGGCTACCTATATTTGTTTAGCACACCCCCTCGGATTCGTCGCCATCGTTGATATACTAGCTAAGACCATGCTTGCGATTGAAGACCTTCCTACAACTCTTGGCTTCCAACCTAGCTCGGCACCTTTCGGCGACACGTCGGCGCCCTTCATGATGGCCAATTATGACCCCACCCTCCTTCCCGCCGACTCTTTCCGCAAAAACCTCCGCCCCACGACGGTCAGCCAGAGTGGCGGGCCATCCTACAAAGTCAACGGGTATCAAGTCGAATGGCAAAAGTGGAAGTTCAGAGTCGGGTATGACCTTCGCATAAATTTCCATTTTGCATAAATTACAATTTTTCATAGACTTCTTAGTCATAAAGTTTCTATAAATTTGAACTCAGATTCAACTCCCGCGAAGGTCTCGTCCTCCACAACATAAACTATAATGACAAAGGTCACGTGCGACCGCTGATATATCGCGCCGCCTTATCTGAGCTCTTCGTCGCTTATGGCGACCCGCGACCACCATTCCATCGAAAAATGGTAGAAATAACATACTGATTTGAATATTACAATTTTCCCGCTTAAATAACATGATTGAAGTCACATTGAAATCAAAACCGCCCAATTTAAAAAAATCGCTAAAATTCATGCATCTCACTATCCCCAGGCTTTCGACGCCGGTCAGTACGGCGTTGGTCAATCTACGCATCAAATCCGCCCCACGGCTGATTGTAAGGCAGGCTCGATCCACTTTTTCGACATGACCGTGTCCAACAAAGCCGGCCTCCCGGTCACCATTCCCGCCGCCGTTTGCATGTACGAGGACGACATAGGTCCACTTATGAAGAAATATAACCCACGCGATCGGCGCGCTTACGTCGTGCGTAATCAGCGCCTCGTCATCAGCTTCACGTCCGGCCTCGGAAACTATGACTACGAGTGGAAGTGGATTTTTCATCTCGACGCGTCCATCCGGATGGAAGTTAACCTTCACGGAATTGATAATCCGACCTTCGTTTCGAACTTGGGGACTGATCGGCCAGAAACGCCCATCCATGGCACCTTGCTCACCCACACGCCCGGAATTTTGGCGCAGAATCATCAACACTTTTTCGCAGTTAGGATTGATACGGAGATCGATGGGAATGAGAACAGTGTCGCGATGGTGGACGTGGTTCCGGATGGTGAGGAAATGACGTCTTTTGCATCTGATTTCATGTTTTTTTTAATCCTTGCATATTTTTGGTCTTCTTGATATACCAGTTTTTTTAATGGAATGAACCCTACTAAAAAATAAGTGGTAAAGTTTGGGCCTTTAAAATTCACGGCAAAGAAATTTTGTTTTTAATGTTAGATTCTAAAATCGAGACCATGTTTTTTTTGACTGTTTAAAAAGTTTACAAATTTGTAAATTGCATGCAGCTTTATGAAACTATGTAGAAAAGCAGTTTTTGCGTTTAAAGATATCAGGGTTTTACTTTACCCACCTTTTGAGCTTAATCCCCAGCCCAGTGGGTAAAATGGAAAAAATGGGGAAAATGGGTATGAAGGGTTATACTGAGGTGGTTGGCCACCACCACCACCATTGGGGGTAGTTTATTTTCCTTGTTTTGTTCTGTTCTTATTGTTTATTAAATAAACCACTCGATTTTTTATTTTACCGTTCAATAATTAGGTTGAAAATTGCCAGTTTAGTAAAAATAAAATTACACTCTGGGTAAATTCTGGATAAAAACGAAATATCCTAACAATTTACATTTATTTTAATCTCTCATAACGGATAACAATTTATCTTTTGTCATTAGATCATGATGTTGATAGCCAATATGAATCAACCACCTAATATAACCTTACCCATGAAGAAGTAAATGCAAACAATTTCGAAGAAAGGAATACAGAGACAGCCAGTAATTATCTATGTTTTTTATAATTTTTCAGTGCTCTCGTGTTATTTGATACGATGAATTACTTTATCTTTTAAGTTGGGAGTGAAAAGGTGAATCATTTTGCCCCAAAAACGTGTTTTCCCCATTTTGTCCATTTTCCCCACTTGCGGGGCTTTGGGGTGGGTGGCTAAAACCCATTTTACCCACCCATTTTCCCCACCCTATTTTCCCCACGGTAAAACCCTGAAAGATATGCATAATCTTATCTGTACCCGTTTTAAATTTTCTAATGCATATAAATATTTGAAATCTTTCTATAATTGTATGTGAATAGTTATATTTTCGACGTCATGCAAATATTTATTGTTATGCAAAGGAACGAAACACAGTAAAATGTACACATTATAATTCCCTCAGGTCCGACTGGATCACCGCAAAATCCGTACGGAAACGGATTTCGTGCCGTCAACACCTTGTTAAAGACATCTTCTCAAGCTCACGCCTGCGCAAATCAAGAGCGCGCGCGATCCTGGCACATTTACGGGAACTTGTCGCGACTCCACCCCTTTTCCCATACCCCAATGGGATACCGTCTCGTCGCAGAAAATCCGATCTACCTCATGATGCAAAGGGACAGTCCGATCCATCCGAAATGCGGCTTCGTCGACCACACGGTGTGGGTTACGCCGTACGCGGAAGATCAGTTGTTCGCGGGTGGGGTGTATCTAAACAATTCCGGTCTTCCTGCCTGGGTCGCGGCCGCGCCAAATGCAAGCCTCGTCGAGACTGATCTAGTTTTATGGCACGTGTTCGGACTTACCCACATCCCGCGGGTGGAGGACTTTTCTGTCATGTCGACAGAGTGAGTTAATTTTTTAAATTGTTTGTGAACCTGGTTGTAATTTTTGATACGTTGGTCTTGCGAGTTTAATATGAAATTGGGCGTACTCACGAGAACATTTCATTTATAAAGCTTAAAAATTTATTTAATTAGCAAATTTTCCCAGCGCCAGTGCAAAAAAATGGGTTTTGGAAAAGTGGATTCGCAATACAGGATTTCAAAAATTTCCACCTATTTCCGTAATTTCTATTTTGAAATCGCTGTTGCTAAAAAGATTCTCACCGTCTAAAATCACATAAATAGTTTTCCACGTAACGTTTTGCGAAATCTCAAGACTTGTCTGGTTGTTGGTTATTACATTCTCAATTTCCAAGATATGCAAAAGTTATCACGGGAACCAGTACCCTAAATACAGATCGGTTTTAAGAAGGACAGATTTTATTGCATGAACCTGCAAAATGCGCAACATTTTACATGGCATGCAGTGGATGAAAAGCTTGTTTAAAACCGATCCTCATTTTATTACAGGTCTGCAGGATTTTGGTTGAAGCCGGTCAACTTTTTCTTAGAAAACCCAGCCCTGGATGTCCCTTCTTTCCTCCATATTCAATCTTAGCAAAGTACTAAATACAATTATATATTACATTACAGCAAATCACAAATTTTGCTATATTTGTAATAAAGCGAACATTGCTAATTATTTCGGCAAAGTCCTAATCCAGTTGGTACATACATATTTCTTTACCTATATGTTTTCGAGACACATTTAGCAACGATTTTAGTGTGCACTGTGTAATCAATACCTCGTTTAGCAAGCGTTCTAAGAAATTGTTACAATTAAGTAAAAAAAAACGTTAATGGATATCCTGTAAAAAATCTACGAGAGACTTGTATGCAGCATTGTCGAAACACTAATGTTGGAAGAGGTATTTTGGAAACTACATTAGAAATGTTTATGTAATATGTACCAGAGATTTTTTTACACCTTACACAATCCACAGTTTTATTTGAACACTTTTAATTTATTTTAAGTAATTAACCAATTAATATGAGCAATATTTAAAAATCCTGTTTGCATACGGAAACAAATTGTATTGCGCGAGAACTATTACAAAAATAGATCTACCATAACCGGTTAACAAAATATTTTGAGATTTTCATAAATTATTCATGTGAAATTGACGATAAAATTTTTAGAATAAAATATTGACCAAATATTACGGTCATCATCCTCGATTCCGCACACATCAATATCAGAACAAGTATCGTCATCGGAAATGCCAGCCACACTTTCTTCCGTCTCCATGACGTGTTCCTGTATCCCCACAATGCCAACTGATTTCTCCAATATACGAGCTGAAATAGTTTGTAAGAATCAGGGGGCGGATACATATACATTTACGAAAATCGCAGAACTAAATGTGCCTATTGTTTACGAAAAACCGCAAAATATTGATAAGCTACCATTTTGGGTACTTATTTACTGCGCACTTTCTAAGGATAAGTACACGTTTTACGTAAATGACCATGACGTACCTTTGCGGGTCGTGTCTTGTGCAAATTTTACAGTAATTAAATTGGTGATCGGTTGACACTAGTCTGGTCGAAATTTGAAAGCATATTTATCCTAGGCTAGGAGGCCATTGATGAGTATTCTGACGATTCGCGAAACTTGAATGAACTTCAGTAAACAGTAATTAACTCCTATTGACAGTTAGTAAATGCCACCGATTAAATATAGTTACATAACTATAAGCTGTTATTGACCCACGTATGTATGCAAGTAAATATTTACCCACCCGGGGTTCAAGATTACGTCAAAGGAACGACTATTAGTCGCTATTTTGATCCGACATTTTCAACTTTGTGTACAAAATCATCCCAAGTAAATTAAAGACAAGGGCAACATTTATGTTGGGTCTAATTGGATACAGTGCAGTGGCCGGGGAAACAGTGGGGACATTAACATTATGGGATAGGGAAGAGACGGGGTTAATGTATGTCACATACAGTGTCGGACAGATGTCTACGTCCACATAGTCGCGTCAATTTCATTTTCAAATTGTCACTGAACTACTGAACCAATTTTCATCATTGATATATCAAATTCTCACAAATTTAACGTAATTTCATAGCACATTATTAGTTTTCCGCTAAAAAATTTATTTTAGGCCAGAGATGTATTTTAATTCAAAATGAAAACAATTGGATGGACAAAAGTCAACGTCCAGTAAGAGAAAACATACAAAAAAAACTGTAATTTATAAGGAATGTTATAACAATTAATTTTTAATATTTGGTTGGGCCTCCGTTCGCTTTAAGGACGGCTTCAAGGCGTCGAGTCATAGAGTTTACCAAATTCTTGGTCACATCTTCAGAAATGGTTTCCCAAACTTCACGAATTCTGGATTTAAGGCCCGGAATTCCTGAAAAAGATTGTTTTCTTATTTCTCTTTCAATGTGGTCCCACAGATGCTCAATGGGATTCAAGTCTGGAGATTGGGGAGGCCATTCTAGCTTCGGAATTTTTTTTTCTTGAAGTATTCCATGGTGGACTTGGCAGAGTGTTTCGGATCGTTGTCTTGTTGGAAGACAAATCGTCGTCCAAGTCCAAGTTTTCGAACAGATTCCTGGATATTACGGTCAAGTATTCCCTGGTACTTGTATTGGTCCATAATTCCGTCAATAAATTCCATTTTTCCTGCCCCACTTGAAGCCATGCATCCCCACACCATTACCGACCCGCCGCCGTGCTTAACTGTGGGGTTGAGATTTTTTGGATTCAAAGCTTCTTTTGGATACCTCCACACTCTACGACGCCCATCTGACCCACAGACATTGAACTTTGACTCGTCAGTCCATAAAATATGTCCCAGAATGTTTGTGGCTTGGAAATGTGGTCTCTGGCAAACTTCACTCGTTTGGTTGCATTCCTCGGTACAATAAGAGGCTTCCGGACTGCTCTGTGGGATTTCAAATTTCCCTTGTTCAGTGTTCTTTGGATGGTCCTAGGACTAACTTGTTTGTCGAACATCTCCTTGATCTCGGTAGATAGCTTTGGAGCACTAAGTGAGGGTGTAACGTTGACTTTGTTGAGCACGTGGCGTACTTCTCGGTGAGCCAAAATCGGTTTTCGACCACTTCTGACCTTGTTTTGGACTGAACCATTAGCTTTAAAGTTCTTAATGATTGTCTGGATGGTTGTCCTTGCTAATTTATACTTGGTCCATATTTGTCTCTGCGACAGCCCCCTTTTTGTCCACCCTTCCAGTCCTGAATGACAAGATCTCGAATAGCGATAGGAATTTCCTTGCGTGTCGACGCCATCATATTTTTCTGGAAGAAAATTATTTAAAAATTAATGCGGCATATGTTATTGATAGATTTATTAAGTTACCTGATTTTATAAATTGGAGAGATTTTTGTTGTTGACAATTAAAGTGAAGTGGACGTAGACTTTTGTCCGCTCAAATTTCATCCTCTCTCGCTCTGCACTATGATTCTCAGTTTTCCCAGAATTTTCAGAAATAACTCATATGTTTTATGAAATTACGTTAAATTTGTGAGAATTTGATATATCAATGATGAAAATTGGTTCAGTAGTTCAGTGACAATTTGAAAATGAAATTGACGCGACTATGTGGACGTAGACATCTGTCCGACACTGTAGAATAAGATCCACATTCGACATCGAATAACCGTGGGGGCCATTGCCCCACGCCTCCGCGGTGACTGGTGGATAAAAAGTGAGGTAACTCCTACACAATAATTTGTGCTACAGTTGGACTGTTATAAATATAGGTAATCAGAACACTCGGATTTTCATGCCAGAATTTAACAATGCTTTCGAAAGGACAATCCTACTTCTGGTATTGGGTGTACCCCATGAAATTGTGCAACCTAAGTTTCTGTATTCCCTACAAATATGATGAAAAAACGGAATCCTTTCAACTAATTGGGCCCAAGGCGAATCGAATTTATAAAGCGACCCTGCTATCCAATGTGGTTTATCTGTTTCTTATGTGCGCACATTTACTTCTTAATAGAAGCAAAATCACACTTCAGAACGTGCTAATAGGCGCCGACATTATATTTGCCTATTTCACGGCGGGAGTTTGTCGATTAACCTTTTTCATCTTGGAGGACGAGGGGTTATCTCTGCTCAATGGATTTCTACAATTCGAAAGGAACTTGCTGAGAAGTTAGTGAGCTTTTAAAAAAGGCATTAATTTTGTTTAATAATGCAGTAAAATAAAACATGGTTTTGTTTTTGGCGCCTAAGAATATTATGGTCGCAACAGTTTAGCAACATGAGGGAATTACTAAAAATTCACGCCCTTGATAAGAGTAAAATTGCAGAAATTTGTTAGCTACATAACTTCAAAGTATTTGTAGAATTTTGTAAAAGTTTATAAGTTTACCGAATTTACGGGTTTTACAAGGTTAGCAAGTATGAATTGCCTCACTAATTTGTTAGTGAATATTAAATTACAGGTGTTGAATCTTATGCAAATGGTGAAGATTGTATCTTCGCATGGTACAAATGTCTAGGTCTCTAGGTATATGTAGATATTCATATGTATGTACATACATATAAATACAAATTCTCCTTAGACTGACAGTGGCGTAGTTGACCAGAATTCTCAATTTCTGTAAAAGTTCAAACCTGTATGAATATGTACCATATAACGTAAAGCACTAATTTCACGGCTCATTTCCATTTTTTCTAGAAATTTTAAGTCTGTGAGAAACGGTGTCTAAATTTGAGCACATTGTCCACTGGCAAGTTTCCATTTGTTCGAAATGTTGTCGAAGGGACAATCCTACTTCTGGTATTGGGTGTACCCCATAAAATTGTGCAACCTTAGTTTTTGTATTCCCTACAAATACGATGAAAAATCGGAATCCTTTCAACTAATTGGACCCAAGCAGAATCGAGTTTATACTACGACCTTGCTATCCAACTTGGGTTATCTGTTCATTATGTGCGTACATTTGCTTCTTAATAGAAGTAAAATCACACTTCAGAACGTGCTGATAGGCGCTGATATTATATTTGCATACTTCACGGCCGGAGTTTGTCGATTAACATTTTTCATCTGGGAAGACGAGGGGCTCTGCCTGCTCAATGGATTTCTACAGTTTGAAAGGAACTTGCTGAAAAGGTAGTGAGCTTCTAAAAAACATTAATGTTGTTTAATAATGCAATACGATAAAACATATTTTTTTCTGACATCTAAACATATTTTATCCGCAGTAGTGTAGCAAAATGGGGAATTTACATATGTTCGTATTCATTCTAGGCCCATATCAAAAAAAGTTATCAAGTTTGCAACAATTTTAATACTTTTAAAATTAGCGGATCTCATGCCTAGTATTTTTAAAAATTATGCAAGGCGAGCAATAAATATAACCCTCAGCATAAATATAATCTTGTGGGTACCTGTAAAATTATTCGTAAAAGTTATGTAGGTTTCCTTGGACTTAAGTATAGAACTAAATCGTATTTCTAACTGGAAAAACTATAATCTTTGTCAGGGTGAAAGCATTATAATCGTGTTCAAAAATTAATTTTGCCATCTCATATTTAGGTTTCGACAACTTGAGTGACAAGATTCGAAATGGTGTCACGTATGCAAAAGTGGTATTTGTCTTTGCAAACGCATCCTGCGTCTCGATGGGATTCGTGGTGGGAATCCAATTATATTTCGCACCTTGTACTCCACCTTACATTGGATCGATGCGATCTGCCTGCTTAAATCAGGAATCACCGGGACCAATCGACTTTCTCGGAGTGATTTACCTGCTAATTGATGCAGGGATGTATTTTCACGCAGCGCCACCCTCTGGGCTAATCATTGCCAGTTATCTTTTATGCATTGGAATATCTTTACAGGAATATCTTTCTGTAATGTCCGGGTAAGAATACTTATATGTATAGGTTTTAAACATGGCTATCGCTCTGTAATTCGCTGAAAACTTCTGGTTTCTATCACGAAAAAGTAACCAAATTTTCGAGTCAAGGTTTCAACCATAAAATAAAAAAAAAACTAGTAGCGAATGGCCGTACTGATATCAAAATCTTATTTCATGTGGCACGATTGGTTGTAAAAAAAACTTATAGAAACAGTCACTCTTCCTGGAAACTTTCTCAATTAAAACCTCAAGGTTTAAACTTCAAGTTCTGCGACATGCCGCAAATGTGGAAAAACTTTTGTTAATGATTAAATTATTAATTTGTTATATTTTCGATCTATTTGCAGTTTTGATTATTGTCATGGTAAAATTTGTTTCTTATGTACATCCATCTAGAAAATTGATGTTTCGTTGTGACAAGCAGCGACAAAGAGAAACTCAAGTAATCAAATCCTTCCGTGCGTACACTCAATGTCGTATTTTGGTCACCCAGATGAACCTCATGTTTAAGGATTTACTCATTCCCGGGCTTTACGCGGTGCCCTCGATCGGGATAGTTTTCGCCCTTTACGTCATCATCCGACTCCACGGAGTAATTTCGCTGGCAGGGTTGTCGTTCTTTGTCATTCTTCTAATGGATTTTGCCCTAACGATAGCAATTGATCTTGCCGCTGTTGGGTTTGTGTACTCAATTTCGGTTAAGGTGACGGAAAAGTGGAAGAAGTTGGTGTTAAAATATGCATGTTAACAAAGTTTTCCATATTTATCAATTTTTAAGTTTGTCGACTTTTATGAGGGCTGAGCATTTTCCAACCTTTTTCCCAGGACAAGGGATTAAAAGGGTCCTTTTGTTTTTATGCCTCATTAGAAGGGACACTTCGTTTGAGCATAACTCTGCGTAGTTTGTATGGTCACTTCTGACCACATATTATTACATATGTATGAATGTCTCCTATGTACTGTCAAAACCTTAAAACCAAGTTGTTTAATAAAAATCACCATCAGTCTAAAAATATCTTCCAGCGAGATCATTTTTACTTTCATGGTAGCAAAGCCGTTAGTTTGTATGATTCATATTGTTGGTCTCAACCTGCCTCATTGAGTGTCTCAAAAGTGCCCCAGTCTCAGAGTCTGTTAAAGTCTCACAACGAGAAGAACTGTTTCCTGTTCAACACTTGATAAACTGAAGTAGATCAGTGTTATTGTTGTGAAGTGAAAAGGTCAATTCATCAGTTAATAATAGCAGTAAGTCTCCACTGCCCAGTGCCAGTCTGGACGGAGTAAGCCTGTAAAAGTGTGCCGTGAATTGGACCATTGTTTGGACAAGAGACATCAACCCTTTGACTCTACCCGAAGCTGAACCTTCCGCCCGAGGACGAGTTTTATTGAGGACGACCACTCTACCCAAATCCTGAGTTCCCGTCTACCAAATCTCGACCTTTTTCGATTCTACTGCTCTTTATTAGGCAAAGAGAAGGTAACAAGTCTATTTCTGTTTTCGCTTCTGCTTTCCCTACTCCACAACGACAAGATGACATCAACAATCAAAAGAATAGATGTTACGCACATTGTCAAGCTAGACGACACCAATTACGCGAGGTGGAGACTTCAGATAACTTTACTTCTCAAGTCACATGACCTGTGGGAAGTGGTCAACGACACTACCCAACGACCTGCAGATGAAGCACAACAGCCAGCATGGGATAAGAAGGATATACAAGCACAATCCATCATTGTCCCCACTCTCAGTGCCACTCAAACAAATCATATTTATGGCTGTGCTACATCAAAAGCAATGTTTGACAAGCTGAAAAGCATCAATTCAGATTCAAGCTCGCTTAACAAGCAACATACCATGGCTAGATTCTTCAATTACAAAATTGGCAAGAGTCAGTCATTGATTGAAGCATTTGCAGAGGTGGAAGAGCTGGGCAGAAGACTAAATGAAATGGGAGTCGTCATGCCTGAAGCATCCATTGTCACAAAGATTGTCTCAAGTCTCCCCGACGAGGAGTATAATGCCTTCAAAAAGGCATGGGACAGCGTTCCGGATAAGGACCAGAGCATGATAATGCTACTTGCCCGTCTGAAGAAGGAGGAGTTGGAGAGGAAGGAATCCAAACCAGCAGCAACCAATCAAGATGCAGCAAAGGCATTCTTGACCCATGACCAGAAGAAAGGCAAGAAGAAACAGAGCATTGAAGAGTTGAAAAAGGCAACAACCTACCATGGGTGTGGGAAAAAGGGCCACTGGAAAAGGGAATGCAGGAGTAATCCACAAAATCAGAGCAATAAACCTTCAGATAATCCCGCACAAGCCAATAGAAGCCCTGGGAAAGCGTTCATGCTAAATGCAATACAAACCCCCATGCAAGCACCCGTGACTGAACAAGTGTGGCTAAGCGATTCTGGAGCTAACCAGCATGTCTGTGGAGATAAGGCATGGTTTACAAGATATGAAGAGTTTGACACTCCCAAGTCAGTCTTCCTAACGGACAAAAGGGCTACACAAGCACTAGGAAAAGGGACAGTGACACTTGACGCTTACATCAACGGCATATGGGAGGAATGTACCATAGATAACGTGTTGTACATACAAGGGGCTGTCAACCTTTTTTCTGAGGGATCAATGGCTAAGAAAGGGTACTCCATCGTCCGTGACAAGAATGGAGCAACATTTTATCAGGATGGACGGTTTAAGGGGCCAATTGCCGAGTTCCAGAATGATATATATGTCATGAAGTTTCGTCCCACTTCACAAATTATTGCTGCATACATGCATCCCGTGACTAATGCTAAACTATGGCATCAACGCTTGACACACATTAATATGAACTATGTGGTGGACTCCATCAAGAAAGACGCAGTTCGTGGAATTGACCTGGAGGCCGTGTCACATAAAATTATGTGTGAAGACTGTGAGATTGGGAAGCAATCTCGAAAGCCATTTCCAGCCGCAACAAGAAATGCAACGATAAAACCAGGAGAAATGGTCCATATGGACTTAGCCGGAAAAATGCCTGTTGCATCCCTGGGAGGAGCTCAATATTTCTTACTCTTGAAAGACGATGCTACTGGCTTCCGCACTGTATATTTTCTCAAGAGCAAAGACGAAGCCAAGGATCGTATCAAATGCTACATTGAATTTATGGAAAATCAAACAGGAAGAAAGGTCAAGATATGCCGTTCAGACAATGGTGGAGAATTCTGTAATTCTACTTTGGCATCATACTTCAGAGACCGGGGAATAATTCATGAAACAACCGTCAGCTACAATCCAGAAATGAATGGGAGGTCCGAACGTGAAATAAGAACTTTAAAAGACTGTGCTCGAACTATTCTGCTGGCAGCTAAATTACCCGAATCTTTATGGGCTGAAGCCGTTGCCACCACCGTCTACGTCCACAACCGAATACTGGACAAGCAAAGTCCAAATATAACCGCATTTGAAGCAATATTTGGCAAGAAACCTTCACTCCGTCATTTGAGAGTCTTTGGTAGCGTAGCATTTGCACATATACCAGCCCAGAAAAGGACGGTCTGGGGAGCAAAGGGAGAGCGACTTATCCTGTGTGGGTACGCATCAGAGAGCAAGAAATATCGTCTTTACGACCCTGAGTCCGGACAAGTGGTTGAGGCAAGAAATGTATCTTTCCACGAAGAAGCTTTTGAACCGACAGTAATGATACATGGCGAAGAAGAAAGAGATGAACCTGATGAATCCAAATCTGAAAAAGATGATGCAAAAGATGATGCACAAGATGATGCACAAGATGATGCAGAATGGACGGACGAGGAGAAATACGATCCCGAGGACCCACAGCCTGATCAAGTTGACCCACAGCCAGTACAACCTGACAACGAGAAAATGGGTGACGAATTAGAAGTCCAAGTTAAAACTGAAAAAGGAGACTACACGGCTCGCATTCCATCGCAAGGGACGACACGTGTTGTCTTGCCTGAAACAAGTAAAAAATCAGGAACCACTCGCAATTTAAGAGACAGAGCTAAAATTAAGAAACCAGATAGATATCAAGCTCATGCCATTTATGCAGACAAAGAACCTTCAACTTATAAAGAAGCCGTTGAGTCTAAAGAGAAGGAAGAATGGATAAAGGCAATGCAAGATGAGATTGAAAGTCATAAGAAAAATGGGACTTGGAAATACGTGAAGAGGCCAGCCAATGCAAGATTGCTTGACAGTAAATGGGTATACAAGCTTAAACGTAAAATGGATGGAACAATTGATCGATTTAAAGCCCGGCTTGTCATACGAGGGCATAGACAGAAAGAAGGCGTCGACTATTTTGAGACATTCTCCACCGTATCTCGGTACGAGTCCATAAGACTTCTACTAAGTATAGCTGCAGCAAAGAAAATGCATATCGCACAGCTGGATGTCCAGACAGCCTATCTCTACGGGATTCTAAAGGAGACCATATACATGTCACAACCTGAGGGTTTCCACAATGGAGATGACTCCATCGTGTGCCTCCTGATCAAGGCTTTATATGGATTGAAACAGGCTGGAAGAACCTGGAATGAAACATTCACCGAATTTCTCGAGAAATTCGACTTGCACCCATGTTACTGCGATCCCTGTATATTTGTTGGAGATGTTGATGCAATAATCACTTATCTCAGCTTATGGGTGGATGATTCACTGGTCATTGGAAAAGATAAAAATGCCGTGCAGAAGATCATCAATGCAATCAAATCCTACTTTGAAATAACGATAATGGAGCCCACAGCCTATGTTGGGATGCAAAAAATCAGAGATGGAAATGATGGTTTACTTTTGTCACAACCTTTTTACATCCGTAACCTGCTTGAAAAGTACAATATGCTGGAGTGCAACCCGACGAATGTGCCGATGCAACCTCATGCAGGAGAACTCGTCCCAGCCGCAACAATAAACGAGACCCTTCCGTATCGACAGCTCGTTGGATCATTAATTTACCTAGCCAAGTGCACACGTCCTGACATCTCATATGCAGTGTCCCGCCTGTCTCAGTTTATGCACGCATACGACGAAACTCACTGGAAAGCTGCAAAGCAAGTCCTCCGCTATTTAAAAGGCACCGAGGAACTCGGAATCAAATACAAACCGTGTGAGGATATGATTCTCAGGGGATATACAGATGCAGATTATGCTTCCGACAAGATGGATAGAAAATCTACAACAGGTTTTGTCTTCATGCTAAATGACAGCGTTATTTCATGGTCAACCCAAAAGCAACCCATTGTCTCAATGTCATCAATGGAAAGTGAATATATATCTCTCGCTTCTGGAGCGCGTGAAGCCGTTTGGTTACGACGATTTCTAGAAGAATTAGGATTCCCACAAGAGTCCCCAACAATAATTCATGTTGACAACCAGAGTGCAATAAAATTGGTCAAAAATCCAGAGATGCACTCAAGATCCAAGCACATCGATGCCCGGTAACACTACACAAGAGAGCTAGTTAGTACAGGACAGTTGGCAATTGAATATGTACATACCAGTGAACAAATTGCAGATGGATTAACTAAGCCACTACTGAAGACCCAGCATTTCAAGATGAGACACGATCTCAGTATGGAAAGAAATGAGACAAAGGAGAGCAAGGACAACCCAACTAAAGTAAAGAGAGGTCCCCTCCAAGCCAACTTCTCACTGATGAGCCTTCTCACCATCCTTCTTATGTTTATTACGCAAGCTTGTGGGGTGACACATCAGAATGCGATCCCTTTACTATGGAAAAAGAGTCCAATCCCAGTTACAACGGGATATAACCAAGTCCACTTGCTCGTCAAATTCATGAACCCGTGCGAAATTTTAACACAGGATCTACTCCATAAGGATCTAAGTGCCTATGCAACCGAGAAATGTAACAAAATATACGACGAAATGTTCCTGGATGAGCTAGAAAAAATGTGCCCTAAAAGAAAATTCTCCGATCATATTAATTCGCGACATACCAGAGAGATTGGACGAAGAGTGAAGAGAGTCCTCCCATTACTTGCAGTTGGAGTAATAATTGGTGTGACTGTCCTTGTAGCCGGCTTATCAGTTGGTGGAGCAATCAATTCGTTTGTTCAAACTGGAAGAATCTCTGCTTTGCAAGGAACAGTAGCGGAACAAAGAGAGATGCTGGATGAATTGGAACGTCGCGTGGAAATATCGGAAAGAGAGATTGAGAAGCTTAAGGTTAGCCTAAATGCTACACTAGAACAGCTTCAGCTACATCAGCTTGATCACGACGAACTCAAGGGAAAATCCATTGACACCAATTTCGCAATTGCCTACCTTACCAGTCGCCTCATGATAGGTAGAGAAATAATTAGAGAAGCAACAAGACAGTGGCGGCGAGGAAAAGTTTACGCACCACTAATGGATTTCTTTAATTTCACGTTACCCTGTGGTGATGCTTGCCCAGTCAGCTTCGCACAATCTCAAAAGTGCGAAATATCAGATGACAGAACCAAGCTGTATGTGGACTTCACAGCAACTGAAATTAACAAAGATTTGCAACTCATCGAGGCAGACTCCTTCGATCTCAAAGTTGAAAGGAAGAATGAAACCTGCGTTCTAAAGTACAAGGGACCCCATAATGCCATCCTTTCTACGAAAGATGACTGCGTATACTCCATCAATGTTAAGGAGCCTACAACCCCCGACCTAATTGTTTCGCCCACTCGAGGATGCACGCCAACAGCGAAAACAAAGAACTCCAATCACTTTGACATAGACCATTGTTATGACAAGAACCTTGCTGAACCATGGGATTTTGTACAAATCAAACTACACCATGGACAATATCATATCTACTGCCCTGGGTCCAATATTACCATTGAGAGGAAGCTGCAACAATGCCCTGCTAGCGTGTTCATCCTTCCAATGAATGCTAATTTTAAAATAAATGATATTGAATTTTCAGGAACTGAATCCAGCCTTGTTCACCAAGAGGTAGTCGACCCACTATTCACGATGAAAGCCAACTGGCACTTGCAGCCTAGTTTCAACTGGACCAGTCTGATGATCAATGGTTCCACTGACGAAGGAGGGTCAATCCACTACCACACACGCAATGAACCAGCCTGGTCAACAATGGAATGGATCTTAACCCTTTGCATACTAATAATAGTTGCTCAAGCCACTCTTTGTGTTTTCCTTTTTCTGAAAAGCCGGCCAAATGTAATTTCGGTTAGGGCAAATCCAGTGGAAACTGCCGATATTGAACTTTAAAAATTGAGGGAGGATGTTAAAATATGCATGTTAACAAAGTTTTCCATATTTATCAATTTTTAAGTTTGTCAACTTTTATGAGGGCTGAGCATTTTCCAACCTTTTTCCCAGGACAAGGGATTAAAAGGGTCCTTTTGTTTTTATGCCTCATTAGAAGGGACACTTCGTTTGAGCATAACTCTGCGTAGTTTGTATGGTCACTTCTGACCACATATTATTACGTATGTATGAATGTCTCCTATGTACTGTCAAAACCTTAAAACCAAGTTGTTTAATAAAAATCACCATCAGTCTAAAAATATCTTCCAGCGAGATCATTTTTACTTTCAGTTGGAAAATCTGAGGATGAAGAGTGAAGCGAGGAAAATTGCGAAATCGTTTCCCCCGTTAAAGATACGATTCGGTAATAATTACGTGGATCATATGACCTCATTGACCGTGCTGGATCATTGTCTGAGTTTGACGGTGTCGCTTCTACTTATAACGTAAATAGTGAAGAAGTAGCTTAATATCTTATTGATTGTTCTTATTTAATTTTCAGTTGTGCAATGGACAAAATCATTAAAAATATGTTTACTAAATTAACACTGCATTTGAATTTGTATATTTAATTCTGTAGGTGGACACTGCACATTGTGTAGTCCATGCTTCTGTCCTTAATCAGAGTGTCCCTAAATATTATTTGTATGACGCATGTCATCATATACGTATTTAAGTCGGAATCGTGGGAAAAATGAGACTAATTTTACAATAAGGTGGAATAACTCGCACACCATATTATGACAAGGATGCATAAAAATGAGAGTTTATCTGTAATGTGTATGTATAAGTAAAAGCTACATTTGTCAAAGCAATAAGTTCGGTATTCCCTATTTGTATCGGTCATATAAAAATAGCTAATCGTGGTTGTGGCGGCAGCATTTATAAAAAGTTTTGGTAATCAATGTCTAAAAAGTGAAACGAGACAATTTCATGAGACCTATTTTACCCTGTAGCCAAATTGAGCAAGTGTGTCGTAAAATCGTAAAGCAGATTTCATAAAATTGTCACGTGTAAGTAATAAGACATTAATTTTCCAACCTAGTGTATCGTGGTTGTGACAACGGCATGGACACAAATTTGTGTTATTAAGCGAGCAATAATGACAGTAGTGCATATGTGTCATGTTTAAAACATTCAAAATGATTCGTATCGATGAACTCAATGCAAAATTAGTAGCAATTAACTGAGTGTCTCACTTATTAAACGCCATAGTTTACATGTCTTATCAATATTACCTAAGAAATTCTGACTGTTTGCACATATTAAAGCTTTAGTTGACCTTCCTATGTATGTACATATGTATGCACTTATTTACTTATCGTGGTCATCATCATTACCTGTAACGAACGACTATCATTTTAATCTGAAACTCTGCATTTTTTATACAAACTCATCCTACATGAATTAAAGAAAGTGCCCAAGTTTATTGCTTATTTAAATTGGTATAGTGCACGCAAGTTAATGTGTGTATGTATGTAATATCCACACAGCAATTTGTACGAGAGTTGAAGTGTAGCTAACGATACGTGTTTCATCAGAGCACTGGGCAATTCCTTGCCAGAATGTAGCCATGTTGTCTAGGGGCCAATCCTACTTTTGGTACTGGGTGTACCCCATGAAATTGTGCAACCTCAGTTTTTGTATTCCCTACAAATACGATGAAAAATCGGAATCCCTTCAACTACTTGGTTCCAGGTCGAGACCAATTTATAAGACGACCGTGCTATCTCAAGTAGTTTATCTGTTCCTCATGTGCGCACATTTATTGCTAAATCGAGACAAAATCGCACTTCACAACTTTCTAAAAGGCGCCGTTATTATATTCGCCTACATGACGTCAGGAGTTGGTCGATTAACATTTTTCATCTGGGAGGACGAGGGGCTCTCCCTGCTCAATGGATTTTTACAGTTTGAAAGGAATTTGCTGAAAAGTAAGTGAGCTTTTATAAATATATTTCCGTCATTTGACAATCTTGGAGTATTTTATTCACGACGGCGAAATGGGGGAATATGGAGGCAATGAAGGTATTCATTCACAGCGAGTTCGAATGGATTGAGACGTTAGAAAAAAAGGTTTTAAAGCTAGGGGAACGTCCATATATTACGCCATCATTTTAGTGGGTGAGTGGTTTAGGCTATCCTGTCTTTTCCATGTTAAAATTCAGTATCCCTTCCCTTAATGTTTACGCTGGGTGAGTGGTTGCTAAAATCGAAAATTTTTGATGACGTAATATATGGATGGCCCATAATTCTCCATTTTAAAAAATAATTGGTTTGAATCAAGTATTTGTAGAATTATGTTAGGTGAGCGTGGCAACTTGATATGAATTCCCTCTCACAAATATATCTATTATATACCATTATTCTAGTAAAATCTTTTGTTTTGTGGGGACCAATCATGAAAATACTTAAAATGCTTAAAAATTAAATTTTCCTCGCAGAATTTGACAACCTAAGTGACAAAATTCGAAGTGGTGCTACGTACGCAAAGGCGACATTTGTCTTGGCAAACGCATCCTGTGCGTCGATGGGTATCGTTGTGGGAATCCAGTTATATTTTGCACCTTGTACCCCGCCGTACCTTGTATCCATGAGGTCCACCTGTTTAATGCCGGGGAGCCAAGGATCGCTCGACTTTCTCGGCATGATCTTCATACTAATTGATGCCGGGATGTACTTCCACGGAGCGCCACCTGCCGCGCTGATCATTGCCAGTTACCTTCTGGGCATGGGAGCATCGTTACAAGAATATCTGTCCGTCATATCGGGGTAAAATACACGCAAATAAGTATGTAAATATGTTTGATTTTCTAATTTGGCAACCACATATTAGCAAGCTGAAAATGTTTAGTTTTTTGCGGAAAACTAGAAAATTTACGAATTTTGAGCAAGGTATCAGGCACAAATTAGACAACGGAAGTTTTTAGGCCAAAATCTTATTTCGAATAGACAAATGAGCGCTATATAATCTTAAGAACACTCAAACTTCCTGGAAAAATTATCTAACTAAAACCTTACTGATTTCCAGGATAAGGTTTTACGACAATTTTTTAAAAACTTCGTTATTGTGTTACACATAATTTGTGTATTTTCCATACATAAGTTCGAAATCGATGTTCAACATTCGAAAGTTGTCGTCAATATTTTTATAGTGATTATTGATGATCGTAGTGACGTCTTTTCCACACAGCGACAAAGAGAAACTCAAGCAATCACGTCATTCCGAAAATACACTGAATGTCGCCTTCTGGTCACACAGATGAACCTCATGTTCAAAAACTTATTTATTCCCGGTCTTTACTCGGTTGCCTCGAACGGTATAGTTTTCGCACTTTACGTCATCATCCGACTCCATGGAGTAATCTCGCTGGCCGGCTTGTCATTCTTTATCATGATTCTCATGGATTTTGCCCTCACCGTGGCGGTTGACCTCGCCGCAGTTGGTCACGTGTACTCAATTTCAGCCCATGTGTCCGAGAAGTGGAAGAAGATGGAATACCTGGGTAGGAGGAGTGAAGCAAGGAAGATTGCGAAATCGTTTCCCCCGTTAAAGATACGATTCGGTAATAATTACGTGGATCATTTGACCTCATTGACCGTCCTGGATCATTGCCTGAGTTTGACGGTATCGCTCCTACTGATGACGTAGTGTGTATTAATTCATATGAATTATCTACCTTTTGGACGTTTTCAGACATCATTTGTTACAAGGGCAAGATCATAAAAATATTTTTACCTGATTAGCAACATTTAAATGTGTATATAGATATATTTATTTACATATGTGTGCAGTAACTGGTTACTGTCTTTAACCACTGTTATGTTGCGTGTTGTTAATTAATATTTGTAATCATCATACAACAACAAAATATTAAAAATATTCTCAATTGAGACAATTAATACTAAGGGAAACATAATGTTACATCACTCATGCGAACGATTTTTGATTCTTAGTCGACATACATATGTATGTATGTATGTATTTATATAGTACTTTCTTAACTTAGGATTAATTAATTGCATATAGTAATTTACTATGTAAGTACACATATTGATAGCTTTAGGCTAATTCAAGTACGAACTGTTAAGCAACACAACAGGGACAAAATTTATTATTTATGTACATCGATTATCCCCATTTACATATGTATGTATACCTTGTAAAATTATATATTCCAAATTAAATTTCCTCGGGAATGTTGAAGTATTGTGAAATTACTTATTTATGTTTCCGCCTATCCGCACGAAAACAAATAATTATAGATAACACTATCCAGCACATGGCTGTAATAAATCCCCGCACGACGTTGGGGTGCGTAACGCTCCACCCTTTCAAACAAATTGATCTGAACGCATCGACTTGAAAGGTCGTTGGGAGCAGATAATTACAAAGTTGACGATATGTCCAAGGTATTGTTTCCGTAGGCCAAGCCATTCCTTAATGTGTAAAAATTCATTTTAAAAAATGTAAGACTTGCTATTCAATAAATTGTACAAAAGCACCATAGGCACGTTTAGGCTTAAAAACATACAAAACTCTAAAAAAATTTAGCGTTAAAAAAATTTATGCGCACTTGAAGGAACACGTGTGCAATGTATACTTATACATTAACAAATTAACAAAGCTTTGAAAAATTATAAATCTGCAAAATTACTCACAATGGGAACACAAACCATGTTCAACCAAGATTAATTTTTTTACCACAGCAGTTTGAAAGATTCGCCCGTTAAAAACAACTTTTAGTTCAACACTTCCGGAGATGGGCAAAGTTCATTACGCAAAAACGTTCGATTACCGCCATAGGCAACGATTCTACTTGAAAACCAAGCGTTTTCGCGGATTTGCGGCGCGCATAACGCTCCGAAAAAATAATCTGGGATGAACAAGGTTCGTGCACCCTTGTTACTAATAATTTACAAATATTCTCTAACTAAAGTTTTGCAATATGTATCTTACCAGAAGAAAATGATTGGATAATCGCTGAACACTTGATTATCATAATCGTCTCTATAATACCGTCCCAATACGTCGCAATCATCCAACCTTTATCCCGAAAGTACAAAATTTCTTTAATTAAATTTTGCTTAAGTATTTACCTTACCAGCGCAATTAAACTTTTCGTACCATACGCAGTTCCTGACATTGAAGACACATAAGCAAAGAGAATCACGGTAGCCATAGAGCCGGAAATCTCCATGCCATACACACCACAAAATAGTGAAAGAAAAATTCCAATTTGCATCAATCCCTGGATCGAGTTAGTGAACGCATTTCCCACAATTTTGTGCATTAGGGTGACCCCAGCCGCGTAATCTCTATCTTCTAAACCTTCACTTCGATCTAACGTCCATAGAACGCCGCTTGCGTGAGTGCGTGAGTGCGTGAGTGCTTGCAGGATAAATATGAAGCTGCAATTTAAAGATTTACCCGGTATACTCTTAAAAATAATATTATCCATTTGAAAAATAAATGCACTTACGATTCTAAATTAAGCAAATTACACTAATCCAAAGTAGACTTTACTCTTTATCAACCTAACGTTATTCTGGATTTGGTAGTTTGATAGAATTGAGAGTTGATTTACTTTTCAAAAAGGCATATATTTTATAGGAGTATATGAAATAAATTTAAAAAATACGTTCAGGGTGGTTTAAATGTCTGGTTACAATAGAAAATTTTTTAATGAGAAAAATTCGTAAATTTCTATTAGTTACGGATTTGGGATTGGGATTTGTATTAATTTTTATCAAAACTTATGGAACATTGATGACAAGGTTCTTAAAATATTGAATTTCAGAGGCAAAATTTCGGTAACTAATGGAGATTTTCGAATTTTTCCCATTAAAAAATTTTGTAACCTGACATTTAAACCACCCTGTATATAAAATATTTTTAAAAAATCAAAAATTAAGTTACTATGAATGAAAAAGATTAATACACTTCGGAACTTATTAAAACTAAGCATACATACATAAAATCAGGTACTAGCTCGAATACTTATTTCATTGCCAAATATTTTGCGATCCAAACAACAGATTGTTATTAACGAATCCCTACACTGAGAATAAAATGTAAGCAAATTGCTACTGGGTGGTGTCTATATATGACCTCACCGGTTTGGTAGCGATTTGCTACGGAATTGTAGTAAATTTGCTCCCACATTTTGACTAACCGTAACAGCGGGATAAGGAAATGCTACAAGATGGTAGCAAATTTACTACAATTTTGTAGCAAATCGCTACCGAACCGGTGAGGTCATATATAGACACCGCCCACTAGCAATTTGCCTACATTTTATTTAGAGTGTATTAATTTTATATTAAATATAAACTCACATAATCATTACACCCGGCTCAATGAATGAAATGAACTCGCTGTCAATTCTCCCATATATCGCGCCAAACTAAAAGATCAAATATAAAATAAGACAAAATTTAAACAGTACTGATTTCGTGATCAAGTTTGTCACCTTAAGAGGTAGACGAACCCTACTCTTATCAATGTCACATGCAACTACTGCATTCTCTATGAACTCGTAGTACTTCTGTATGAGCATTTCATATATCTGTGTAGTTCTGATGGAATCTAGATTTTAAGAAATATTCTCCTATGAATTTGTTTAAATATGTTTGTACATGTTTGCTTATCTACTTGACGCATCCATCTTGACAGATATATTTGAACCAAGTATTGTTTCGTTATCTGAGAAAATCCTGTGTAATATTCGGAGTCTCATGTGATCTGCAAAATTATGTGAAAATTCCAAAAATCCTAGCGTATTTCCTAATTGCACATTTCGCATCGCATCTTCATGGGAATCCGTAGCCACCTACGTATCATGATTCATGAATAATTGCTTAATCTCTGATATAAAAATAAGTGAGCATGACAATAAGTTGACAATGGAACCATTGTGTACCCAGTCAAACTCGTTATCATCGAACAGTTTAAGGAAGTCGCAAATTCCAGTATTTTCCAGACAATTGTTGGAAAGGGATGTGTTCACGGTGCACAATGCAGTGCTAGTATTGCCATTTCCGTTTGAGATGAGTCCAATCCTTGTTCCTTTCGGCGTGGGACCGACGATAGTTTCAAATGATACAATCAAAATTATTGGTATTATTACTTGCGCGAACAAAAATCTATTAAGACAATGAAGACATCATTTAGTAGCTATTTTTCAAAATTTCCGAATTTGAGTAGAACATATGTACCTGAAATCGCGGCGACGTCTATGCCAAGTTTTTACTATGACTCCCAAAATTGCACGATAATTATCAATTTTGACCTCTAAGGGCGGTATGGAATCGTTGTTTCGTAGCGTGGCGTGTTGAAATGTTCTGCTTGATCGAAATTCTTCCCACTTCGTCGCGTTCAGTGCACATTCATCCATGTGGCACAATTTACTGCACGCTTCCTCCAAACTGGTGGAGTTACATTGGGACAAAATATTTTGTGGGATGTCCTCCACCAAAAGTTTCCCTCGACGCATTAACCCAAGCTGATACATGATCGATTGATAAATTTAAAAGTAGGTAATCATAAATTTGTGGCGGGTTTTATGCTATTTTCGTGATATGCATACCTTGTCACATCGTGACGTCTCTTCAATGTAATGGGTAGATATTATTATGGTTTTGGCATGTTGACGGGATATTTGAGTTAGATACTCCCAAATTCTAAGACGAAATGATGGTATTACTTTTTACCAAAATTTTACATACGTAAGAATGTGTGAGATAACCTACTTTTGCCTCAAGAGTGGATCCAGGCCTACGGTAGGCTCTAAGTAAAATGGGGTCATCAGTTAGTTACATCGTCTTAATCGAAATAATATAAGCTCAAATTATTACCGTCCAGGATAAGGACTGGTGGATCATGTATCATTGCCACGGCGAGTGACACCCTCCGCATTTGGCCACCGCTTAAAAAATTAGTTCGCTTAGGTTTAGCTTTGTAATTCAAAACCCATATTTAAATCAGACTCACCTTAAGTTCCGCACCCCGGAATTTATGCTAGGTAAATTAAGAAAGGACGATAAAAATTCAATTCGTTCTTGTACGTGGGTAGGTTTCATGGCATAAATAGAGCCAAAATATTCAAAGACTTCTCGAATCGTCAAAATCCCTAAGAGTGCAATTTCCTGAAATATTGCAAAAATACAAATTAAAATTGGTTAAATTATACTGTACAGAGATAGTCATGAGGGCACAGCTTGTGTCACCATGGAATAATGCAGAATAGTGGCATCCAAATTTCTAGGATTTTTGTAGCAATAATTTTTGCAAAATTGTGTATCTAATTTTTCCCTAATAAATATTCTACACTGTTAGTGCAAAAAATTACGTAAAACTCTAGAAACATATCCTACGCTACCTGAGGCATCCACCCACACAAATTGGCCAGACTTCCTTGCTTCTTTTTCAGTTTTCCAAATACGATTATTTCTCCAGCGTCCACTTCTCTCAAACCAACTATGCAAGAGAGCAGGGTCGTCTTTCTAAACAATTACATATGTAAATTAGTAAAAATCACGGAACAAAATATTTTCACAATATGAACTGGGAGGCTTGTAATATATACATCCGTACCCGCATCCACTCGCCCCAAGGAGACCATAACTAAATAAAGGTGAATATACTATAAATTCACTACATATAAATTAATATGTACTCTAGTAATTTAGAATACAATTACAATTAGCCTATGCTATTTTTATGTTTGCTTGCGCAAATAATAATAATATTCCCCGCTTAAAAGTAAATTAACCCTTAATTTTAAATTAAGTAAAATATGTATATCAAATCCAGAGTAATTTGAAATTGACAGATAGTAAATTTTGCTCATGATTGATTTGATATACATACTTAGATAGTTTACTTAATTTGCATGTATGCAAATTAAGGGTATCTTTACTTTTGAAAAGGGAAATATAATCTTTGAGAATATGTTTAAACTTAAAGCTACATAAATCCAGAATCGAGACGTGACTTCTAATTAGCACATATCTATGCATACGTCCGACAGACCCGGAAGTGACATATTTTAGTAACTTACATTTCTCCTACGGCAACATTCAAATTGAGATTATTCAGCACGAGTTCGCCACAAGATTCGTACCTCTTCACAATATTGCGTACTGTTAAGGCCATTGTTTTCCTAGAGACTTATCACAACTGCCAGTATTCAATTTAAGTGATTTTTTTGGAAACTTATGAATACTTCCGTCTTGCGCATTTTTTCCAATTTACCTGTAAAGCGTAGTTTATGAAGTACTGTTTAACTCGATATTTTCTACACACTTAGAAATCCAATTATAATCAGAAAGTATCAGAAATTATAATCAGAAAGTAAACGTATATGACTCTACCGCCGTTGTTACCGATTGGTTATAAATTTACCACCAGTTGGTGAGCAACTTATCACCAGTGGCAAATAGTTATAACCAATCGGTGACAAATTTATCACCACGGCGGTTGAGTCATATACATACGTTTACTTTCCGGTTATAATCGTGACCGAATTTGTAAGAGTGTTGAGGTCTTTATGTAGATTCAAGTACTCACGACACTCAAATAGTAATACTCATCCCAAGCTCGAATAAGATCGAAATGATGCTTTTTGTATTGAAAAGACGGCTATCATAAACCGGGGTGTTCGGAAATGCTCTCATGGATTATCAATTCAATCGCTGAAGTTTATTGTGTACATGCATATGTGTGCATAACTATGTGCGGACAACTGAGGAGGGGAGCTTGCGAGGTTGATAATAACAGATCTTGATGTCCTTTGCATATGTGGTAGGGTCCCATGAGTGTACTAAAACCCTGAAGTGGTTTGACTCCATGGCCACATTTGCGCCCGCCACACCCACTCCAAAATACCAAAAAAACGCTTTCACTCCAGTTTTCACTCACTCAAATCCACGCCAAAAATCCAATTTTACTCGGATTTTGAAATTTCTTTCACAATTACACTCCCAGATAGTTGCTTCCTGCAATCCAACATCAAACTCAATTTTTTCGAAATTTTTAGTATTTTTAAAATTTGAAATTTTGAATGAGGATTGTTGTAGTAATCAACAACGCAAATTATGCCTGCGAAATAATCATCAGCAAAATTGAGTTTGATATTGGATAGAAGAAAGCAACTATCTGGGAGTGTAATGGTGAAAGAAATTTCAAAATCCGAGTAAAATTGGATTTTTGGCGTGGATTTAAGTGAGTGAAAACTGGAGTGAAAGCGTTTTTTTGGTATTTTGGAGTGGGTGTGGCGGGCGCAAATGTGGCCATGGAGTCAAACCACTTCAGGGTTTTAGTAGACTCATAGGACCCTATCACATATCCAAAGGGCATCAAGATCTGTTATTATCAACCTCGCAAGCTCCCCTCCTGAATGTATTTACTTGTATATTCAAGATTTTTCGCTCAGGTACCCGATCACTAGAAAACATTGTATCTTGTAAATTTGCATAATGCAATTTTATTTTCACAAGACTCGTTGAGATACATACGTCGTGTATTATTTCGCAAATCATTCTCAGCAAATACAGGATACAGGTGAATCCAGATGGATGTTTCAACAATAAATAGTGTTTATTATGATAATGCAAATGAAGAAATACTAAACTACCTGTCATGTGAATATAGATAGAAGATATAAATACGTATTTAATAAAATTGTATTTTAAATTTGATTAAATACTTATATGTTCTATACTTTTAAGTACTAGAAATCCAGAAAATCCAGGAAATCAGAAGACATGCAAATCCGGGATTTCCAACTAGATACCTAAATAGAAAAATAGTAGAAAATTAACCTTCTAGCATTACACATAGATACATGCATACTTCACTATCAGTTTTATGACCAATTAGGTGGTCGACTATGTGTGGACATAAAGCTTTTGTTATACTAGCACCTATGTGATTTGCTACGTACATAAAAAATTTTTGGAAGAAATACATAGATTTGCTGCAGCAAAAATAAAGTAAATCCTTGCGTATCTTAATATGCAATAAAACTTAGGTCGCATGATGGAACCCAATAGCATTATGGCAGATTTCGTTTCCATACATAGAATGATATGATCATCCTTCAGTAAATATGTCGAATTTTTTTGACGTACATACAAAATGGCTGATCAATTCGTTGGAAAGTAATGTGTTTTGGATAAGCAAGAAATGTCAAAATTAGATCTAAGATATCTACAAAATACAAATATTCGTTGGTTCCAATATTCCAGTCATCTCGCATAAAGTAGCTTCAGCTACTTTATGCTAAGACTTTGTCCGTCTATCTGTCTGTCTGTGCGTCCGTCCGTCAACAGGATTACGGGAGAACGGATCGAGATAATCGAAATCGGTTTGCGACATCATACATACAACCCCAGGGGGAGGATCCTATCAACTTTTGGAGGCAACCGGGCCACCCCCCTGGAGCCAGGGGGTGTGGTCGGGGCAAAATGGGATTTTGGGTGAAGGTTTGTCTTTGGTCGAAACTCTTTGAATTTATGGACACAATATTCATAGTTTTGAGGAAGAAGCCACTTATATTTCTGCACTGGTAAGACTTTGTTAGTAAATATAAATATGTACATGTAAGTAGTTGTTGGGCTGAGAATTTTCCAGAGAACCCCTTTTATTTTACAGGTACCACCATGCCGCCAGAATTATAATATCCGGTTCTTCTGCCCTTCAAGGGGAACCTATTGGGTCGGTCCACGTCAATGTCAATCATGTGTTGCGGGCCACGTCTCAGATTTTAGGGCTAATTTTACCATAAATACGTACTACTTAAATAAAGTTACTAGTGAAAAAATAAAAATTCTATGTTAGAAATTGGCCGAGAATTTAAATTTGTAAAAAATTTAAGAAAAATTTTCCGTTTGATGCACTGAGTGTCACGTAATTTTGGGAAGGTTTATCTAAACCTAAAAGTTGTTGTAGGCACTATAAACTAAATTCTAAAATTGAAAACATTTGAAAAATTTGAATTCTAGCCATTTTGTAATGGTAACTTCAGAACGCTATAACTTTTTGCACCCTGTCGTGTGCAACTTAAATTTCATAAATTATAACGTAATTTTAAATTTCTAATCCACCATAAAAAAATTAGGTCGCACACGACAGGGTGCAAAAAAATATATCGATTTTTCTGACACACATTAACACATGCAAGCTTATGTATGGGAATATTCCCAAAAATTATCAAAAAACAAGAGGCGTAAACAAAACTTTCAGTGACAAAATTCAAATGCCATACCAGTCCAGATTATTAACGCTGAGTTTAAAAAACTGTGACTAAAAAAATGTAGCCCTGACCGCGTCGACATTTAAAAACTTAGTACGTGCTACGCCCACTGCTGGTGAGCACCACCATCAGTAGTGTCGCTCGGAGTGGAGAGACAACATCTCCGCTCTCATGACTCTCGCTCGATCATGGGTATTGACGTGGACCGACCCTATTTTACGATATTATGGCACAATGAATCTTTTTGCGCACACGTATGAATAAATTCCTTCGTTAGTTATAATTTCGAAAATTTCAACTACTATATGTACAGATACACACGTATTTTTTTAAACTTTTTAGGATAATGTACACATATTTCGCCCTTTCGGTATGATTGAGAAAAGAGGATTCGAGTATTTTTTGAATATTTAATGCGAGCTCGTATATTTTCAAAATATAAACGATTAGATTAGACGAGTCATAATCAAATTAGTTTTCAAGCCAATTAACTAAAATTTGCGAAGCCTGCAAATTTAATTTTTTTCACATGAGAAACTCGTACTGAATGCTCAGAAAGCTTGTACAAGTTCTGTTTCATGGTTCCCTTAATATTTTTGTTTTTAATGTAGGCCTTGTCATACAAGATTCCGAGACCATTAGCAATGGCAATAACTCTTCTACAAATCGCACAATTTGTAGTGGGATGCGCTCTTCACATTTACGCCGCCACAGTAAAATGTGAGACCTTTTCTTTTTAAAAAGGACGATAAAGCTGACATGTTTTTGCTTCCAGGGAACGGTCAGGAGTGTGCCCTTTCGTATGAAAGCAGCAGAAATGGGATGTTCATGTTCGTCTCTTATGTGATTCTTTTTTCGCACTTTCTCTACGAAGGATACATATCTCGATACTCGGATACATATACAAATCAATAATATTGCCTGACTGATCTTGAATCATTCTGGTTCACCAAAACTTTCCCGTCATAGAAATAATCCACATTTATTCCGGTATAAGTTAGAAAATCGCGTTCACATATCCCTAAGAAGACTAACACTGTTCAGGCAAATCTTCTCAAAATGCTGGCTCCAAATCTGCAAAACGTTCACGTCCATTTGTTAAATCTTGTCATGAAAGGATTTCAGGCGAAAGTTTTGTTTATTCCAATAATGCCGAGATTACGGGTATTCAAAATTAGCCTCCAGGAATGGACGGGACATGGAAATAGGCCCCGGCAATTACGATTTGAAACTGCAGATGCCACCCAAGGTGTCAAGATTGAGTATGGGACGCAATTCCCAGTCTTGGAGAAAATTAGGGTGGGATTTTCAAAAATGGGGAATAAAGGAATTCAAAGTAGGGAAACTTGGGTGGAAATCGTGACCTTGTTCTTATACGGGTCATTCATCCCGGAAAGACGGCAGTTTGTGAAACTCTTCGCGAATTTGATGTGGAATTTCCACAAGGTTATAAATTTAGGGTGAAATGTGCTGACCTAGGGATGATTGAATTGTGTGGGAGTAAATGTAATTGTTGGGTGGGGGAGGATTCGACAAGGTTTTTGGACCGGGTAGCAGCAGCTTTTCCTAATGTGCGGTACCAGATTTTGGAGGAGAGGCGGGTTAAAATGTTACAGTAAAATTTCGACAACTTGGTGGATAATTTTGAGATGGGATAAATTCTGTTGGTTAACTTTAATATAGTTGGTTGTAGTTACATACTTAATTAAACTTATGTTTTTCACTCTTGATCTTAATCTTATGTATTTTTTTTATTTTTACCCTCATCTATCAAATGTGCGAGGTTATTTATAAATTTGTGCGAAATTTTTATTTTTATTCATTTTCCTGCATGAATATTTATAGTAAAATAGTATTTTTATAGGACTTTAGATATAGAAGTTGTATGAATAAAATTTTATTCACAATCGATTATACATATCGTCGTACTAATTCATAAAAGCCCTAAGTGCGGGCGGGTGTCTTGATATTTCTCTCCATTGACAAGGCCATGGAGAGGAAATTTGGTGATGACGTGATCTTTAAACCCGCTGATGTTCGTGAATTTGTGGGACCTTGTTTAAAACTGATGGTTGCAATGGGCTTTTTACTTCTCATTTCGATATGCCATTGCTTATCTGGAAAGCAGGATGAGGAAAATGAAATGGGTAGGCTAATTTAAAATTGTCAAAATTTAATACAAATTTGCTTTAAAAATAATGTTAGCAGTTAAAAATTATTGTACGAAATGATGCATAATTTAATATTATTATAAATTATGTAATAGTCATGTTCTAATATTAATTCAGGGTCGAGTACCAAAATATCGAGAAAAGACGATGTCACAATAAATATCGATAACGCACCTGTACCGGAAACAAATCCAGGTATGGAGTCAGGTGAGCATAATTTATTATATGAATATTTATTGTGCCCCAGTATTTATTGGTATTTGTGTAAAAATAATTTAAATAATAATCAGGCAGATGACAAGTGAAGTTTTGTTAAAATATTTATACTTCTGTGGGAATATAAATTTTCTAAAATATTTAAATGTACTTTTACAGATGGTAAGAAATGTCCAGAAAAACGGAATTTTGCTTGTAATTTTTGTGGAAGGGAGTTTACAAAATGTAGCAGTTTGGTAATTCATGAGAAGACCCATACTGACGAGAGGCCATTTTCTTGCGACATCTGTGGGAACACTTACAGCGAAGAAGAAGATCTAAGAAATCACAGGTATAAAAAGTTGCTCCAATTAAGTATGTAAAATTTTGATTGCATAACAGTACTAAATTTTGAAGACAAATCTTCCGGATATTTGTAGACCAATTCACGGTACGGAGAAACCGTTCAAGTGCTCGCAATGCGGAAAAGGTTTTTCCCAATCTCGAACATTAGAGGTACACGGGATTCTCCATGTTGACGATGCACCGTTCAAATGTACCCACTGCGCACGCGCGTTCCATGATGTAAGCAATTTGAGTCTCCATCTCCTGATCCACTGTGACACAAGACCGTATGACGAATCTACTGAGAAATTGATTCCAGGTGAAGAGGAACTATTATCCTATGTAGAACTGGAGGCAGGCGTTAACCACTCGGACACGGAAGTTAAGAAATATTGATGGTAATGAGATATTTGCACTCGATTTTTTTTTTCTTTTATGCAGTTGTTGCTGTAACAGGGAGGATATTTAACATGTCTTTTTCTAATAAAATTATTTGAGTGATTTATTAAAGTAAAATAGATGTGCGTAATAATTACACTGCAAATAATTTGGTAATAAATTTCTACCGGATTCGTAATGTATATGACTGCAATTTGGTTAAAACGTGTACTACATTATGATAAAGATTTGGTAGCAATCTTTACAATATCGGTAGAAATTTTAACCCACTGGTATTAAATAACTACCAATATGTATAACGTTACCACCAAAAATCGTAACCTATATGACTCTACAAATTGTGTTAATTTCATTTGCAGTGCATCAGGAGTTACATTGCGTAGTACTTTAGAAATTCTTTTATGATGTAACTATGGATTGTGTTTGCTGGGCAAATTAGAAATTCTTGTAGTTTTTACCCGAGGGGATTTTACATCGAATAAAGTTATACCTTAGTTTTTGGATTAATTGGAATAAGCGTAGACATTCGTCAAATACTTTAAGGATACGGATATTTAAAAAAAATAGATATTTGGTTTAATTTGCTTGACATATGCATTAATGTGCCAAATTGCATTTAATCGGATAAGCCACGAATTTCTAGATTTTCTAAATGCAGCATTTGTTTATAGGTATTAAATACTCACTTTAATATCTATATAAATTTAGCGAACCAATAAAAATTCAGAATTTACAAATCTGTAAACATTTCTGGGTGTAATGAATTTAATCCATATCTCATTACTGCTTCGACATGTCAATATTTCGTCACTAAACCCATGCCGGTACTCAATATTGTGTGAAAGGATGTGTGCACGAGTAATTCATGTAAGCGGCCAAGATGTATTGGTTATTCATATTAGCTCTCGCCAAAAGTATGTATTTATATAAAAAAAAATGTAAGTAACTAGAAGTTCCCGTGTTATATAACACGAGATTTAGCCCGTTCTCTCTATATCTGTCTCTTGACCCGTCGACCAATATACGGCTACAAAGTAGGCGGTAAGAGGTAAGAACTATCCTATAGGCGGTTGGCGGTAGGAAAATCGGGAGTAGGCGGTTTAAGTGATGTGGTTTGAGTGAAGTGATGCGAGCGTTCCGGTCAGACAGACAGACGGAGACTTGGCTACTCTTATATAAATACTGCATTTGCTGGGATTTGTAGATATTTATGAAAGTGAGTACCGCAATAACACTTTCAATATATACTGTCACATTTAAAGTAGTGAATTTCATGTAAAAAAATTTCGATTACGTACATTTCATCAGATACATAGATTTGTGCATAAATACTTAACATATTGCAAGTACTTAGTGTAGAAGCTACCCTCCACGTGTATGGTTTTATTTTTATTAGTATTTTTAGTTGAAAATCGATTGGTTATACTGCAGACATTGTGCTATTTAGCATCGCAACTTATTACGTAAGCTTTAGCGAAATGGTTACGAAATTAGAGCTTTGCCATTCCCTGGGGAAAGTTGGGAAGTAGATCTACATGGTTTTTTGAGTAACATGAATGGTTATACACACAAATATATCTTTGTGTTAAGGACAATTGTACAAAATATAGAGAATACATCTCGAAATTTCCTTTTTGTATTTATATAGTAGTAAATAAAATATAATATTTAATTTACAATGTTTTTGCATGAAGCTTAATTTAGGTTAATGTATTCATCATATTAGATATGGTTTCGTGCTAGAATTCTTGTTTCTGTTCGTGTCTTCGAAATTATAACATGCAATCCTTGTTTTTAGTTCTATAATGGATAGACTGTCTGGTATTCTCTACGTATGTATGTTTGAAATATGTTTATCTATTTATATATCATACTTTCGTGAGAAGGCGACTTTTGCATTCCTGATGTAGTAAATACTCTACAAAATATTAATTTACAAGCTGCAAACCATGTGTTGGCTTAAAAATTAATAACTAAGTAAGCCCGTAACCACAAAAGTATACGATTTTTCTCGACTTAAAAGTGCGAAAAATGTAAATGTAAAATCTGCCATATCACTATGGGCATCATGCGGTCTCGTCGTACTAATTCCAAAACAGCACAAGTGCAGTTGATGACTTAAGCATAGACTGCGCTTATGTTATTCTGGGATTAGTAGGACGATACGTATTATTAAAATACTCAGGAAAGTTTTGACCGATAAATAAATCAACCAGTTGTGAAGGATATTTTGAGCGTACGGGAAACTAAAATGTTAATTGTTAAGAGTACTTAAATTGTCTTTGTGGCGTGTCGAAACTACTAATTGTTTGAGATATCTAGACCCCCGTGGTATCGTATTGAAGTTCCTAAGTAAGGAACAAGAAGGATTAACAATCTTGGCAAAGATTTTTGTTATTATTCTCACCTTAGAACCTTATCACATCTCACGATTTATATCTTTAATAATGAAACCTCGTTTGAACATTTGTGTGTTCCATATTTTTATTTGCGCGGTTTCCTGCCAGATTTCCACGGAACTAAAGCCTTCTCCCATAAATCTGACTCAATCCATATTTCAACACTTGGATCCCGACTGCCACTTAATTTTAGCACACCACAATAATTTTCAAAATTCGGATATACTATCGTCCCCTATTCAATCTAAGAAAGGAATTTACATTTATCACCTTCCACAAATAAATATCACAACGTGGACATCCTTCTTCGGTCCAGAATTAAATCAATACAGTAATCGATGCGGGATCCATGAAATTCCACAAAAGGCACAATTCCATACCTCAGCCTTCTGTTTTATTGGCGTCATACTCACGCAAAAGTCCGACTTCGGAAGAAAACTAGAAGAATTGTCCGCTAATGAATTTTTCCGTTTAACCAGTCACCAGACAGATATTTTTTATAAATTTATATATTCAAAATATTACCGACATGGAGATAATGAAAAAACCAATTTGCATATCTCACTTTTAATACGCGTGCAGTTGGACTTCACTCGTTTTATGAACGATGGTGACATGAGTTCGTCCATATTTACAATTATACTGCATTTAGTATTGGCACAAAAGCAAGATAAGTGGTATCAAGTCAAACAAATTTCTTTCAGCGGTATCAATTCAACCGAACTCAGCACTCGTCATGTTCAACAAGCAATTATAAATCATTCTTGTTTTAAGGATTTGATTGAACCTCCGACGATCTTGTATTTTAGGACGAATAGAAGATCGTTCCTTAACTTACATGGATATTATAGCTTAAAAGAATCTTGCGAAGCATACAGCAAAGATCCGTTCTACCTTATTCGTGAACAGTTATATCGCCCACGTGCCGTACTGTTCTTCAGTCTTGTTTGTCTAGGAAATTTCACATATGGTAAAGCCTACGATACAAGCGTGTCGGAAGATGTAAGTCGGGAACGCAGAGGCGATGAGAAATTTACATATAGAGAAGGGATAATCATGGATATTTACAGAGAGATACCATCTGCACATGTACTTTATGTCACAACTGTCAAGTAAGGGTTTTCCTTCATGACGTGCTACTCGAGAGAAGAATTGTTATTTCAAATACTTCTGAAACCATTTCGGATGGAAGTTTGGATCGTTTTAGTGTCAACTTTTGTAATTATTGGAGCTGTTTTTGTTTCTATTTTGACCAATGAATTGAAATGGGGATATCTTGAAGCGATGTCATTCGCTCAGCTGGTAGTTATATCCATCGCGCTAGAGAAACCGACGGATATCAGTATCAGAATTGGCAGAATTTCTGCGTTTAAGTTCCTATTTTTATTTTTTGTCCTTCTCGTACCAGTTCTAACAACCGGCTACCTGGGTTTAAGCATTACTTCAATATCGTCTCCGTTAGAGTCAAGGTCTATGACCAAATTCGACCAGTTGACGAAAACAGGGTGTGAGGTGGGAAATACGGATTGTTATATTAGTAGACTTACAAAATATACGAAATATACGGACGCTTTAGCATGGTATTGGATTAAATCCATGCGAAAATTCGTGTACCCCAGCGCCAGCTGGCGGTCTTCAATAGACGATGTGATTCGGTCTCTCGAGGCTTTGCGAAATACTTCAGTCAGGGGATTCGACCCGGATAGTGACTTCGTTATTCTTCCGCAGTCATTTGAGGAAAATGTATTTAATGTACTCTCTGATTCGGGAAGCGCTTTTGTTACAACAATATACTCAAAATTAGGGGGGAACATTGATATAATTTTGCCAAAATTGGAGTTGGGAGAAGTGCCTTCTCCGAGCTTGATGGAAATTTTCAAGTTGTTTGATTTTATCGATCCGTGGCACATTCCGCATCCATATTATGGAAATTTTACAGAAACTAGATATCTAGAAAACGAATGGGATACTGAACTTGCTCTCGTACAGTGTGGGAGAACGGCGTTAGTCCTGTACGACCAAGAAATTGATAAGGAACTTCGATACTTTGAGAGGCACTATCCGTGGATTAAATTTTTCAAATCGGAGTCGTCAATATTGTCATTGGAGTCAGGGTGGAAATTCGAAATTGAGGGGATATCCGTTACTCCGCACATATTTGGAAAGCTGTTTACTGCTGGGATTATCCAACTTCTAGAGGACTGGCCTCATATGATGACACCGCACAGGTTAAATATAACCGCGAGGGTTAAAACTCTTGTGCAGCATAGGGAAAGGGAAATTGTTAAGAAAATTTCACTGGGTGGTAATATACAAACAATTTTTTATATATTTTTTACATCCATATTCATCTCAATTGCGGAAGCACTAATAGTGGAGATTAATATTTATCAAAAACTATGGCATGGAGTTGTTTGAATTAAATTGTGGGTTATAGTGAAATGGAAATATGTTGAGGTAGAATCTCACGAAGAAAATAAAGTTGGTCGAAGAAGACGGAATTGAATCTTTAAAAATTTAATTATTTTCAAGACAGGACACTTTGGTAATAAACATATGCAATTTTTTTGAAAATTTATAAATTATTAGTGGAGTTATGACAATTTTTCGGCGCCATTCCCAAACCTTAGTGTCTCTGTCTTACTTAAACACTTTAACGCTACTATCCTCTAAGAGTTAGTTCAAGTCGGTACCGTTTCTTTAAAAGTATGAATGCTCCCAAAAGTATGGAGTCTTCTGAGGCTAAACTTCTTACTGTGTTTATATTTTGTCTTGGTGCCTTTGTAGGGATATTAATTGGTCTCATTGTTTTGATGTATGGTTTGATTTTCTCCTTAATTGACGAAATTGTGGAGAGAAAATTTATGGATGGTGGGGTGTCGGCGGATGTTCGAAATATTGTGGGAATGTTTTTGAAATTAATAGCCTTAATGGGCTTAGGGGTACTGATTTTGGCAGCACGAATCAGTATCTCTTTGGGAAACCGAATTGGAAGAAAGGAAATAGGTAAATTATTTATTCATCGAGGATGAAAATTTGTATACGATATGTTTGAAATTCTCATTCATACATTAATGTAGAATACCATATTAGTAACTTATAGACTTATTTGAAATGCTCCAATTTTTATGTCAGTGTCTGTTCTCAAGATTTCTAATGGAGACGTCGTCCCGAATTTGGATACCTTGCCGATACACGAGGTATCCGTAAATTGTGGTGAGAAAAATTTATTTTAATCATACATATGGTGACCAGATTTTAGAGAAATATTCTTATAAATTAAATAATGGTCAATCAATTTAGCTGAAACACAATATTTAAAAATTAACTTCCATTTTACAGAAGCAACAACTTGTCCGGAAAAACCAATTTTTACTTGTAGTTTTTGCGGATGGCAGTTTTCTGATGGTTGTTTGTTGGCGACACACGAGAAGACCCATACCGAAAAGAAATATCCAGCTTTAGGGTCCCCTCTCCAGTTCAAGTATCCAGTTTTGTGTGATATTTGTGGGAAGGTTTTCAGCAAGGAGGAATATCTGCAGGATCACATGTATAAATAATTAAGTGGATCTCATTTTCCTGAAGTAACGAAATTGCAAAATATTACATTCATGGCAACAAATTTTCTGAATCCGTTTAGAACCATCCACTCTAAGGCACCGTTCCAGTGTTCGGAATGCGGGAAAGGATTTTATCAATTTCAAACACTAGATAGACACCAAACCCTGTGTGTGGAAGTGGCGCAATTCAAATGCGCTTTCTGCGCATGCGTTTATTACGATCGCGCCAATTTGAAAACACACCTGAAGACTCATGCTTACGCAAGACGTTGAATGAGTCTGCAAAGAATGGCGATTTCATTGAGGATTTATGGACATTGGTAGCGATTCTGATGCGATGGGATTGAATTTAACATTGGGGTAAGGGGTCTACAATGCTACAAATGATACATTATGAAATAAAGTTCTTTAAAACTATTACACTTGTTTAAGAATATGTTTTTGTAATTATTGAAGAGTAGAATAATTTTATCCATATCCTGTATTTTCCATCGAGCTGAATTTACTAACCCGACGCCAAAAGGGGTGGAGGGTTGTGATAATTCTCCAAGATTTGGCACACGCGGGCAGTATATAGTCCCCTTGGAGCAGATTCCGTGGATTGTAACCATATAATAAGTATACTGCTGTTGGTAAATATTTGAGATTTATATATGTAGCTAATATATATTGATAATTTATAATTGCCATAGCTCTTAGTTAATTAATAATTTTCCAGTTAGAAGTTTTCATCTTAGGTACATATTATTTTATACAATTTTTTTTAAATTTACTTGATTACTATGAATATCAGCGTTGCATATCGTAACTGTTACGGCGCCGCTCACTATAGCTCACTTATCTAACTTTGGGGTCGTAAATCCCTTGTCTTCGGCGTCGTAGAGTTTTATCTAACTAACTGACTTGTTACTTCACTACTAATGTCGATGCACCACTCAATGTAGAAATAATGTCAACAAAAGTCCCAGAAAATTCTCTTTAATTACTGGTTTTTATTCAAACACTTATTAACTACTGATACAATCGACAATAATGCTTAATTTGTACTAATTAATTAAATATTGAGTGATTAATTATTTGCTTCCACTTGGCTGGCTGGCAACTACAACACTCTCTCTTTCTTCCTTCCTTCTTTTCACGCTGCTCATACTAAATTACACTTACCGAGATGGCGTGGCCGTCACGAATTGCCCCTCTCAACCTGCGCCACCACCACTCGTGGATTCTCGACAAATCCACGACCCATACTTAACTAATGGACACATTAAATTAAATTACAAATTATGCTATATGTCAAAAGGTAGCCATGTCTACTAACTTTTTCTTACTAATATATAATTTATAAGGGTTATTGCTCCGTTTGGAACCTCATTGTCGACTGTGGAGCCTCATTGTCAACTGTAAACTGCTTTTGAAATCTGGTCGGGAAAAGTGAAAGAATTCCCTACTCGTTGATTTAAAGAGTTTCAACGAGTGACTAATTCTTACACTGGGGCAACTTGCTTAGCTAGTATCTTACTTCCGGACCTACAATGCTTTATATATAGTGTAGATACAATACTTACTTACTATTTTAGACAAATTTTTATAACTATTCTGATTAACTATTAATTAACGAAATCTCTGATTACTAGAAATGAGTAGGCTAACTTTGAGAAACATCGAACTATACTCATTCTGTAACAGTAACCGTATTACTATTTATAGCTGATTGTTGCAAAATAACATAAACTTTGTGATGGTGATGGCTGGCGATTTGTGAGAAGACCTGGGCGACTTATTATTGTGTGTGTGATGTGCAACTGTGTGTGTGACGATGGCGGTGGTGGTGGCGACTTGGCGAAATAACTTGGGCGCATATAGGACAAACGAGGAGGATTAATATTCACTCAATTTAGGGTTTATTGGTCCCAGTTTCAAATTATTATTACATGGGGACGATTCTCTAATTTAGAATGTGACTGGGCCGAATATTCCTCCTCGAGCACAAGAATGAGAATGTCAAAACCTCAGCACAATTATTATTGTCGGCCTGAGAGTCGGCCTGAGGGGCCGACTCTAAATTAAATACACCAATCACAAGGTGGACACGCACACACACAATTACAGGTCATATTTTGAAGGTTATCAAGTTTGGAGAGGAAAAATAATTTACAGGCAGACATAGCAAATTAAATAATGCGACTGACGGCAAATTTTACATATTTAACTTTCCTACCCAAATCTCACCCCACCTCACAAAAATCATATATAACGCGACAACACTGATGTTGTTTAAAAGCGCATATCTATTAAATGCATAAATGAAATTTATATACTTGGTAATTTTCTTCAGCACGAATTTAATAAATTAATGTACGAAAATTGTAAATAATCATTTTCAGAAATTAATTATCCACCTCTGACGTTTAGAATGTATGGCTTAGATATTTTTAAGTCGGCCTTGTCGACTTTGCATATTCCTGTTTCATACGTACCAAAACCACGTTTAAAAAAGACATGGAATATATTGCGTAGTCTGGGTCACCCAAAACTAGTGTTCCTAGAATGTGCAATTCAAAATTTATTTATTAATGCAAAACCTTACTGAATACGAGCACTAAGTGTTTCTCATTCACAATGGGCAGTATGATTAAATTAGCTACCGTATTTACACAGCGTATTTTTGCAGAGATTAAATGGATATCTATTGTATAGATAAGAGAACAATACTCCACGAAATATTTGAGCTGGATAGTATAGTGTTAGTGCTACCTTAATTACATTTGTGTTGAGATAGCACGACAAACCTGCATTTTTAACTAAATATTTATTTCCAAGTGTTTGTAGAACGTTTGATATTAGAGAATTTCAACGATATAATTAAACTGGCTTATTAGTAAATTGCAGAACGGAGCTAAATAATATATTGCGAATGTTAAATCTAATGCAAGCAATTTTATGATTTTGTATAGTGGCTATATGTATGTATTTTGTTACAGGGTAAATACCAAAATTATAGCCATTTTCCAACACATTTTATAATTTGGAAATGTGTATATAAATATTAGCAAAATTCTTTATTTTCTCAACTTATCGCCCATGCAGACGGACATCTCCGCATCATCTAACCAAATCAATCATTTATCAATTGTGCAGGTTTCACAATGTAATATACCTACAAATTGTTTTTTCTGCATGACTTACTAAAATAAAGTGTTGATAAGTTATCTCTTCTACATTCATATGTCGAACTCAAAGATAAGTTAAACAGGTAACTGAGCAATATTCTACTTCACTGTGGATATGCAACAAACAGATAAGCACATAACTTTTGACTTAGATCACCATATATTTTTAGAGTTGAGTAGTTGTATGTCTGTTGCGTATAATTTAATAACTCCGTTTTATCATTGCCACCTCATTGACTTACCAGCAGTGGCTAAGCTCAGTCCACCACACGTTTATTCCAATCAGTATAAAAACATTTACTAAATATTATTTCAAACACAGCGTTTTTCAATCCAATTGAAGCCGATGGTATAAAGACAAATATATTCCTTATAAAAGTAGAAGGATTATTTCCATTACATAATCGGTCAGTTTCCTTATTAATTCTACATTAACCTTATTTACAAATAAAACACTATAAATCGTAATACAAATATATAAATTATTGTAAGGTCAAATATGTCAGCAAGAAATAGCAAGGACAACCAGAAGGTTATCCAACTATACGTGACCGACCTTCGGAAGACGATCTTGAAAGGAAAACAATCCCAACAGCCAAGCCATCCTGTTAACAATGTTGCCATTACTGGTAATAACTTAGCATCCTTGGTCAAGCTAAAGAAAGCGATCGGCGCTGTTCTAGCAGAAAATCTAGTCAGTGACAACACAAATTTCGACATTTATGACGCCGATTATATCCGGATTGATGACGAGAATGTTGCAAGGCTGGAAAATAACGACTGCTTAGTGTTATTTGACCGCAACCAGAGTGAGCTTCCGCCTGGATATGTGTACGAGCACAGAAGCAGGATACTTCCACACACGCGTGCGGTAACAAATCAGGAGGGGAAGTTTTATGGGTCGGAAGGTAAAAGAATGCGCCTATACTTATTGATTGATTTATGGATGATTTCTTGCGTTAAGGAATTATTTACTACCTTAGATCAGAAAAGAGCAAAGAACTGGTTTTCTTTGATTAAGTAGTCGATATTAATACTGAAAATTAGGTTAATGCATTGCACTCGCAAAATCGCTTATTGTGAGAATGGTTGTGGAGTTGAGTGGAGTGGAGTAGAGCCAAATTGATATTATTGAAACAATAGATCTAGATTAGATACGAGAGACGTGCGACCGGTTTAACAAACATTTAATGAAAAGTGTAGATAAAATATATGGCTTGATACATACCTATGCAACCAAATATTACTTCACTCTTTTCACCACGTGGAAAGCTCTCCTTCATTCTCTTTATGTAAGATTAGTCCATTCTCCGTCCGTCTGTCTGGAACGCATCCCTTCAATGTATTATAAAGCGATAGCATTGAAGGATAGCACACACACGTGGCAACAAAAGCCAATCAGAAATCAGTCAACATAAAATAAGTAAACCTAAAATTGGTTAAACACATGTCCGTGAACCTAAAACCCGTTAAACTAAATTCTATCTGCCTAAAATCCACCCAAAATCTGATTCATAATTGCTTAAATCCGTCAACCTTAAAGCCGTCAACCAAATTAAGCAACAGATTCATTTAAATTTGATGATTGCCATTCCCAAACGCTGAAATGCATATCAACATGGAATAAAATACGGTCAGCCAAAATCACGTCAACATAAAACCAGTAAACTTGAAATCGGTTAACCACAAATTCGTTAACCTGAAATCCATTAGCCTTAAAGTTTTAAAAATCCCAGAGCGAATGCGTGCATCCTCAACCACACACGTGTGGTTGTGGAGTTTGTAGACGGGTGAAGGTGAAACATACAGATAGACCGAGACTACGCTATTGTTACACTGTGTAAGATTCTTACACAGTGTAAGACAGGGTTTTACTTTACCCACCTTTTGAGCTTAATCCCCAGCCCACTGGGTTAAATGGACAAGTTATGCGGTAAAACCGCGGAAAAGAACTATTTTTTAACACTAAGTACGTTATATCCCACGATTATGCCCATTAAAAGTCGAATTTTGGATATCCCGCCATAGCTCAAAAACCAGGTCGATTTCGAATAAGTTGTAAATAGGAGAAATCTAAGGTGGGCCATTCCAAAGACGGTCCCACTTTGCTTCGGTCGCTAGAATGTAACATCTTGGCTGTAGTATTGGTAAGAAATTTGCAGCCGAAATTGCGAAAATTTTCAAAGCTTTGAACTTAGCGCCAGACACAAGCTGCATTTCGAAAAATGGTTTATGAGAGGAAATACCACATAGCTCTGAGGAATAATTATCTAGTTGCAATATCTTCAAAAAGTCAATCTTGTTCATGCTACCCTTGTCAGAATGACACGACCCGAAAATCGACATTTTGAATTTTCGCGCCAAAAGGAGGCATGATATGAAAAAAATTTCCGACTAAAATTTGTAGCTATTCCACCTGTGGATATAACCCTGTCGCTGGTTTTTTTTAATCTTTGGCCTAAATCATTTACGGTGGTATTTAGTGTTATTTTGTAAAACAAAACGTTTTGGTGCATATTTCAAAAACGTTTCAAAATTTCGAAAAACGGTATGCGTGCCCTATACCTAGATTTGGGAGACGGTCATAAAGTTCTTTTACCTTATCTTTCTATCTTGTAAGGTTTCGCCACACGAGCATTTTTATTTAACATTGGAGTGTCTGCTGACATACTATACCTTTCATATACACATCCAGCAAGTGAACGTGGATAGAAAAAATAGAATAAAATGGGCAAAATGGGTGGGTTTTGGGGAAAATGGGTCTGAAAGGTTAGAGTATGTGGCAGCCTACCTATCAATGTTAGAAAATTTATTTTTTGATGTTTTTTCACAAACCGATTGATTTTAGAATTCACAGTTACTTAAATTTATAATTGTCAGCTAATTTTAGATAATACTTTTTTATGTGATCCACTGTACCGGAAGTAGTGTTATACCTACTTAGGTACATATATTTAACAGTGTCACCAAAGCGTATTAGTTATAGGTCCACATTGCAATTAAGAAATTATCCTTTCTTCCCGAAATTATCAATAATATTAATATTATTCGCTATTTGTCTACGTATGTTAAACCTCAACTGCCATTAACCTTACATCCTGCAATATATTAAGGTTAGTTTTTACCAATCAAGCTATGATGTTGTTCGAACTAATTGATTCACTAATTGTCTAATTCCCTCTGAATTCATTGAACTAAATCATGATTTAATTAAAACATGCGATACGGACTCATTTTACCCCGATTTACTGTTTTCTCCATTTGGTCCATTTTCCCCACCGGGGAGTTTGTTAGGTGGGCGGAAAAAACCATTTTCCCCACCCCATTTAACCCAGTCTATTTTGCCCAGAATTATCTAGAGTACACTCCCGTGTGCCACACGGGAGTGTACTCTAGGGCATAAAGGCATGCCTGCCGTAAACGTGCCGTAAATGCCATAATTGCCGCGAAAAAATTGATGCCTTTTTGCCGTAAATGCCGTAAATGCCTTTTTCAAAAAATGGGGCAAAATGACACAGTACTTCCATGCAAAGTAGTTTACTTGATGTACTGGTCAATAAATAGTTTCCTTTATGTATAGTTTGATGAAAGGTAAGAAAAGATGGTTATTGTTTACTGATACTTGTATTAAAAGCAAAAAAATCATTGGAAGAGTTAAGTACAATTTAAAACTATCACAATTAAAATTAGTGTATATTAGTTAACTTATCTAAATTATAAAGCTTGTTATATTCCAGTCATAATTGTGTTGAATGTATAAATACGTATATCTACGTATTATGTGTCAACGATTTTAAATTTAAAAAAACCTGATAAAAATTTATATTAAATTTCCTAGAATCTACTTATTTTTCAATATTAAATACTTACTTTTAGTATTATCCGAATTATTATAGATATTCATAAGTGTATTTTATATTATAAATTAATTTTAGGAAAATAATCAACTTTTATTTTAACATGGTTGAGGTGTCGCACAATTTGACCATAGATTTTAATTTACGGCATTTACGGTACGTTTACGCCAAAAAGGCACGGTTTACGGCAATCCGGCATTGAAAAAGGCATTTACGGCAAAAAGGAATAATTTTCGGCATGCCTTTTTTCTTAGTGACGCAAATACCAAACAACCAAAAAAATCACTAAGTAAGCAGTCACCCCACCCCAAAAATGCTACATTTAAGAATTTTGAAAAGAAAATGTCAACCGATTTTGATCAAATTTGGACCCAGATCACTCTTATGCAATTTAAAAACGATGGAGCAGACGGTTTTGCAAATTTTTCATTTTTACTCAAATTATGGGCAAAAATGTGCGCTCGGACTCACTTTTCTATTTATCGCTCTAAACTGGACAACCGCACAATCACAAATTGTTTGAATTTGTTACAGCAAGTGCTTACGAACATTCCAAGACCGACATGAGCAAAATCGGTTCAGAAATAAGCAATTTTTATCGATAATGAGACTGTGCTGTTTTTGCATTAGAATTATTAGACATAAAAGTCGCATGTTGTCACGGACAACTTGTCAACGCAAAACAATTGCTCAATTATAAGTTATAAATAAACAAGGTCCCCAAAAACGGGAAATCTTAGTGACGCTTTGTGCGATACAAGGGAATAGATTCTTGTACAATATTTGCATCACCACTCCGCCCAATTAAGTTATTTTAAAGTTATAGTGAACAATGATTGGGAATATGAATTTGAGATTATGAAATATAGTGCGAATATAGTAGTGGTTTATAAAGCAGAAGGTGGGGTTTTCCATTATAAATTCAACAATTATTTAGCGAAGCGGTGATGGAAATGTTGTGCAAGAATATGTATTTAATCCCTTTTATCGCACAAAGCGTCACTAAGATTTCCCGTTTTTCGGGACCTTGTTTATGCCAAATAGCGTACACTGCACACGGGTAATCCTCTAGTTCATAATATTTGCTAACTATTAGATAGACACTTAGCACACCCTAGGTCGGGCTATCAATCAACACGAACATTTTTTTATTCTTGCAGAGCACAACTTGGCTGCATTCGCTATCGCAGAATTGGTCGACAATTCTCTCACCGCCACAGCTCATAACCACGGGAGGAGGATAATCGAAATCCAATTTCATAACAATGGTATAAAATCTTTTCTAGCTGTATTAGATAATGGTTGTGGGATGAATTCAACGACACTTAAGAAGAGCTTAAGATTCAAAGCACCAAAGGACTCGCGGCCTGATGATGTTTCCGGATTACCCACACAACTCGCAACGCAGGAAAGTGGTGACGAAGTCAGGAATGAGGAAATTCACCCAATGTATCTCAACTCCAACATTAGTAAATTTGGAGCAGGGTTAAAACAGGCTGTCTTCTGGTTGGGTGGCGAGGCCAGAATTATTTCGAAGAGGACAGAAAGCAAAAACGTATATGAGATTCTTTACTCGCGTGCAGATATGGAAAAAATGGAAGCCCTGAAGAGCGATGATGCCTGGGATGTCCTGATTCGGACGGGTAACCTAGGAGAAATCAGGGACACTACAGCTTCTCCAGTCCTGAAAAACTTTATTAAAACGATGGAAACCAAAAAACCAAGTTTCACCCATATTGTGATCCAGAAATTCGAAAAAGGCGATGATAATTCTCCGCTGGAACTCCTTCAACGGACAGACAATAGTGCCGATATTAAACCAAGCATTGAAAAACAGTTGGCCCACATTTACCATTATTATCTCCACGGACGAGATGGAAATACTGGAAAAGCGTCGAATAATGACAACCTCATCGATATCGTAGTGAGTCGATTCGACTCGAAAGGAAAGCAAGTGTCACTTCTTAAACTACGTGACATGACAGAAAACAATTTAGATTTGGAGTCAAGATTCGTTCGCACAGCGGCGCCTGACCCGTTTCTGTTTACCTTTGAAGTTTCTAAGTCCCAACACATTAATGGAGCAATGAACCAAACATCCAAGATTGGAGGCATTATTCGATATCACCCATTTCAGTATGACCGAGAAACACATCCTATGTTGGAAAGAAGCTCGAAAAATTGTGCCAGGAGTATTGAGGAAAGTGAGGCCATCTTTGAAGAGACTGTTGAACTGTTTGAGGACAACAATTACCGACACGTTAACAATGGATTTTTTCATGTCTGGTGGAACGGAAGATTAATTCCTTGCACGAAATTGGATGCTTTACCCTGGTGCAGCCTTCCCGAGCGGGTCAAAAATACCCACAAGCTGTGCAAAGCGTATGGGCGCATATCAGGGTCCTTGTTTTACACAGGAGACATTTGTGGAATCACGGATAATAAGCTCAATCTTACGACGACGACAACACTATCTGAGATGTTTAATGAGAAGTTGATTCATTCACAGCAGTCGACATTTCAACGAATTAAATGTCACGGAGGTATTTTGAAACAGGATCGTGATGTGAGGAACGATGTTAAAAAGAATTTTGAAAATTGGTTGATGGATAGTCAAGAATATGACATGGAAGTACGCTATTCCAAAATCTTAGTAGGTGAGTAAAATTGTTACAGCAATATATAATTTAGGAAATGACCAAATTAGAAAAAGTGTGCTAATGTATCTTGAAAATTAACACCAATCAAATTTCAGATTCCGCAAAGCATCCCGTTACAAGCAAATTTCGCACCAAATCTGGTACATTTACTTACTACCAATATGGGTCCGCAAATTGGGAGGATTTGGGAATAACACTGCAAGTTGGAAATGCAGTGAAATTAAATGGAAAATGCATGATGGTAGGGAGGATTAAATCGTTCTACGTCCAAGCCGAGCATTGTTACAAAGACCGGAATGCGGATAATTCGAATAGGCGACCTCTCAACGAAGTTTATGCACCCGTTTCATTTGTCGATATTGAACTCCAGCCTGTCCCTTATTATGCCGATAATGGAGAGGACACTAAAATTAGTCGACACTCAATGTCCCTGATTGACAATAAGGTTCCTTCACCAAGCGTAGAAACGATGATCAAGGAGTTGGCGGACAACCTAAAGCTAAAATTTAAAGTTATTCAAGATCCAGGTCCCAAGTTTCAAAATGGATGCAAAATACGATCTGATGGCATTCTTTTCAAATCGTTTGCACTTGACATAGTCAAAGTAAATGATGAGACTTCGGTAAATGGATATCTACCGTTCTATAGACCAAAGCATAAAAAGATGTTTGTGGTTTATCGGATCCATAAAATTCGTTAGTTTACTTTAACTTAATTGTCTACTCACATAAACTTAAATGAACATCCGTTTCGTTTAAAACACAAAATTGGTTTAAAATTATTTTATTAGATAGCAATAACTCTAAAGAATTGCTTGAAACTGGAGGGGCCTGTTCTTATGCAACACCAGGAAAAAAACCCAATGGGTATTATTTCACTACCTTTGGTAAGTGTGAAATTAATCGTGATATTATTTAAACTTTGTCATTCAAAATCTCCAATCCATAATTATTTTCCTATCTGATACACATCCAGATTTGAAGAAGACGGACTACTCAGAAATAGGTGATTATGTCATTACATTTTATGCATACATTTCCAGTCAGTCTGTCAACCAGACCATTGAGTCTGCCCAAGCGACCAGGACCCCTACAAGAGACACCGAAACGTTCCCATCACGATCAAGAAATATTAGTTCAAGAGGGACATCCTCTTCATCACGAGAGCGATTTGAAATTGAGCCAGACTATGAAATAGAAGAGAATTTAAATGGGAGGAGAATATTAAAGGATGGGAAAACCAGAATACCATTGCCGTGTTACGAAATTAGGTATTCTGTCGTTGCTGGATGTCCGCATAAATTTGAGATTGAGGAATTCGGTAGGTATCGACACTTGTATTACCGGACCATTTGGAAAAAAATTTCCTTTGATTTCTGTGTATACATAGGTGATGACGAGCTTCGTATTGGGAAAAGCTTTAAAGTTATGCTATCGTTTAAAGATTGTAATGAAAATATAGCCTCAGCATCAGATTTGAAGGATGAATTGACAATTTTGTCTAGCAAACTTGTAATTTCTTTAGTTCCAACCAAGTAAGTTGTCAAAGTGGTATTATAGCTTGCAGTAACGTATATTACATATGTGTATACACATTACATGTTGAATGATTTTGGGCAGAACATACCCTGATTTTAATCTTACCGCAACAAATGGGGAATTACTCATTGATGGAGATACCCTAGTAATCAGCGATGTTGTAACGATGGGCTCGTTAGATGGGGCGGAGTTCAGAGTATGATAAATATATGTGTGGATTTCCACAACAAAAGGGTTACCTGTTTTCTATTGTGTTTCCAGGAAACCCAGATGTACGTGGAGTTAATGCTCAACAACATTTCGAAGAAATGTCGCTCCTCAAAAATCCGGTTTCATCCAGGTGTACCAGAAAAAATCGTGTGTCTACAAGAATCTGTTCAAATCGAAAATAGATGCAAGCCCAGCTTATCTTGTCGAGTCCTCGATTGTGCGGATAACGTCATTCTTAAAAATGACAAGAATCCCATCAAGCTTAAATGTAAAATTTACAGAATGTCTGACGGCCAATTTCTCTTTGACAGAATGTTACACGCAACAGATGCCAAGCCCAACGAGATGGATGACGCAATTTGTCTGGATGATTTTAAAACACCTGCAGTTGGTCAAGTCAATTTGCTTTGTAAGGTATCGTACGACCTGTACAGCAATATTGAGCCTATATCAGTTCCGATCACAATTACGCGGAGCACAAGACCAGAAGTGCTTCGAGTTTATCGACGCACAAGTAAGGATGAAGAAGAAATTGTAGAAATTGGTCATGAATCCTTTCAGACTGCCAAAATTATGGATGAGTTGCACCTAAGCTGGGAACTGTATGATGGTATGGGAAGAAAAATTTTGTTTGACGCCAGTAAGCACAAACTCAGCGTTAATTGGTCCAAGAGTTCAAGCCGTCCTGCAATCCTAGAAAGTGGAAACTTGCCAATATTCAAAGTCCCAAAACGGACCATCGACAAGGATCCATTTACTACAGAAGTGACAATACTCGGATTTGACGAACAACTACAACATACCTTCTACTTGACTTCCTTACCATTGGAACCTAACAGCTTGAGCGTGTCATTTATAGGGAGCAATAATTCCCGAGACGTCGTCCAATATCGGATGGGTGAAAAAGTGCCGGATGCAATTGTAAAAATTACGGACCGATACAACAATATTTACACAAGTTTCTGCACGGAAGAGTTGTTCACATATGTAAATGTTTCAGCGAATGGATTTATTGTGAAATTTAGTACCCTTTGTGAAGATATGGAAGAAGGAGGATCATTTCTAATTTCTGACATCCAATTCGCAACTATGGGGAGTCACCTACCCCTAGGAGAAATTATTTTAACGGTTACCTTTAGGCAAACTTTATCTGGTGCTGTAAAATTGTCCGTGGTCGCAGGTTCTCCAAAGCAACTTGCATTTGTAATTAATGACCAGAAGCAACTACAACGAGGGACCTTTACTACTCCGAATGGATCACAAGTTCGAATTTCGGCCAGTTTTATGGATGCATCTAATAATTTTACTACGCCGATGGTACCAATAGAAGTGAATTTTGTTCACAAATTAACAACACAGGGGGTCGACAAGATTGAGAATGAGCGCGTTGTTTCTTCCAAGGATGGGATTGCAGATTTTGGATCCATTGAATTAGCCGTGAACGAAAAATCCAGACCAAGTCGTGGTCCCCCTTGCGTGGTAAATATTAAGGATTGTGGCGGAAAATGTTATGGAAAACCGATTTACGTCCAGGTTAGGGCAACTGTCGACGGTCAAATAATTTCAGATATTTGTCACTTCCACGTCACTTGCCGACCAGATGTTCCATATCAACTTGAAATCGTCGATGAGAGTGGATTGGAGCACTTTGAATACGAGGCTGGGTCCAGTTTTAACTTTTTGACGGTTACTTTGCTATCAGAAGATGAAACTAAATATGCGTCGGCGGATAAGGAACATCTCTCACTGCATCTTACGCCAGTAAATGGAATTTCATCCACACCTATGGATCCCATCCCGGCTAGCAGTGTACACCAGGGTGTCTATAGATTTGACCAAGTGCCAACCAAAGCAGGAAATTATGAAGCAAAATTTGTATACAGAAATGGGTCCGTACAAATTTCAGAAACGTTTATGCATCCCCTTAAGATATGTGCTGGACGGGTTCATTCCCTTAAACCAGTGGAAGATCCTGGTGACCGGTCAGTATCGAATAATCCCGAAAACGAGGAGAATCGAATTATTGTCGCCAATCTAAAACTCGTACTCGCCGATCAATATGGAAATGTTGTTAATGAAGGTGAAAATTCTTCAAATGGCGAGAATATGAATTTGCTGAAGGGATTTGTCAGAATAGACTTTCCTAGCGGGATAGAACTAGAAAACTTGGAAAACCAGGTCAATCTGTTATCCCCTATACATTTTATTAATGGGTGTGCAATCATCCCCAGATTGGTGGTCTTGGCAGGTCTGGAGTTGCCAAACTTTTCTAAACATGAGATTCGCTTTACCCTAAATTTGACAACAAACAATTTAGAATTTGTGTATGCGTTAGAATTCAAATTTTTTAACGATCCCAAACAACTTGCTGAGAGCCGTAAATTCCAGGAGAAAATAGAAACTTTGGACAGGAAAATTACAGGTCATGACGAAAGCCTCAAATTAGTTGGAAATACCATCAAAACTATACAGACTACTATAGAAAGAATGAGGGGTAATGTGAGACAGGAGACGGAAAGCATAATGGCGATTTCGTCTCCAGGTTTTGTTGAAACCTTGAAAACATCCAAAGATGTAACTGAACGAGAAGCATGTCTAAAAGCAGACGAGAATAGATTAGAAGAGGGAAGAAGGAAGACGAAATCTAAATCCAATATTACCCCAGGACTCGGCGCAGGTGAGAGTGATGTTTTAGGACGGATTGGCCTGTTAGCGGAAATAAAACTTGGAGGTAGGTAATAATTACATTAATATTATGTATTACCTGCCAAATTTAATCCATTAAAAATATGGATACCATCAGAAGGTTTAATTTTATGTTTAAATTTGGATGCGTTTGGAGCAGGTGAATATTTACCCTCATTACCTATATAATTATAGAATACTATTGGACAAGATTTTTTCGCGCGAAAGTCACGTGCCAACTTAGGATTAACATTGGCGAGGTGAAATTCAATTTAAACTTTTCACTACGTAATCCAAAATCTGCAATATAAATACCACACCTTATTTATAGGATTAAAAAATTAAGTAATCTCACATGTAAAGTACCACCAATCATTCTTAACCCATCAACAATGTTTTTTTTCATGTGTTGTTTGGAAGCATGAATGTTGTCAGGTTATTGTTGGCGGGTTGTGAAATTTTGCAGCATGTAATCAAACAGTTATGTTGCACTATTAATTTATAGACTTGTGTAATATAACGAAAAATTATTTATATTATAGGTGGCGGTATCTCCGAGGATCTAAATCTTCAACGCCTTCTTTCATGGTATTTGCAAAATAAATTGACTGTCATCGTTACAGAAACGGCGGAGAAAGGTCGCGAACTGGAAGCTCGTAATCGTAAAGAGCAATTTATGCTACTGGATATTGTTAAGGATCGCCCGCCTGCCAAACATGTTTTATCCGGACCTGGTAATCCAGTCTATGCTCACACTCTGCTGGACTTCACCAACCCCTTAGCTACAGCATCGACGAGGAAAGTGTTCAACAAAATTCTGGGCGATACAATAATCATGGACGATCTACCAACGGCTATCGAGTTCATGAAAAAATACAACACGGGGAGGTTTAATTGTCCAACAATCCTCACACGGGATGGGAGGCGCCTCATGGGTGACGGAATAATCGGTGGAAGGCAAACCCGTATGCCTGATAGGATTCCGCTATGGTTTGGATTGGCTCCTTGTGCAGAGTTAAGTCAGATTCGTGCACAGTTAAGAAGGTTACCCATTCTAAAGAAGAAAATGGAAGAGGTTGAAGGAGTTGAAAGGACGGATCGAGCAAGGCTTGAGAAGCTACGAGAGGATTATGATCAGGTTAAGGCCGAGCTTCAACAATGGCAAGAAGAACGGAAGGAGCTTTTGGAAAGATTAGGAGCTTTATCAACCCTTGAGAAAAATTCTGCACCGCGGACTAGATTGATGGAAGGACAAGGTGACCAAGTAATGCCTAAGAGGGCGAGACGAAACTAAGCGTTTCCAAATAGGTTACGTTACGAACCGAAGCCAAAGTCAGGTTTTGTAATGTGTATATAATTATTTTAATTTGTTGAATTACTTTATGGATGATAATAAACAATGAAATTTACTTTATTGGCACTATTACATCAACATGCAAGTATGACTTCGTGATGCCCTAGGTATATTTAGTAGCCCTAGGTGAGTGGTGGATAACCATGGAATGGTTAGATGCCAAGGCACCAATTACGTCCGCTCCATCGAAAAAAGCTGTGAAAAACGCCTGTTTTCATGTGCTTAAAAATCTAATTTTGCTCTGATTTGAATAATTTTAGCATATTATTGGTCCCAGATAGTTGCTCTATCATATATAATAGCAATCTGGAACTTTTGAAATTTCGTATTTTTTGAAATTTCAGTGGAACGGTTTGGAAGTTACGAATGTTTTTGGGCAGTAATCATAAATGTGTTAATGTGTTTGTGTTACGAATAACTAACGGATAGATAAATGATATATCTAATACACATACACTCTCAGAAGTTTGATAATGAATCATTACCGTTCGGTGTCTATATATGACTCTACCGCGCTTGGTAATGACATCAATATTGCTCGGTATACTTTTGGTAGAGAAGTTATACACCGCGCGATATTGAATATTTACCAACTTTTAATAAATATTTACCGAAATCGTTTTTTCCACTCTCCGCTGCAGTGAAAATGCACCACTTCTTGGTGGAATGTTGCGTGAAAAGTTGAGTGAAATATCATAGATTTTGCATCTTTTCGCCCCAAATTTGTTTTTTGCACATTATTTAAAGTATTTCATACATTTTATTATTCGAAAATTGTAAAAATTTACAAAAAAATTAACTAATACATATTTGCAAAATCTAAAATGGCAAGATAACATCAAATTAAAAGTGTGGAAGTGTCAAGCCTAAGTGACTATCAAACAAATCAGTTAATTTTGATTCTTGGTGTTGCAAAAAAGAGTCGTAGCAGAAAGTAAAATTAATTCTTCATCAAAATTGTCACTGGAGTCCATAATTGTGATCGTTTTTAAGCATTTTGAATTCAATAAAATATTTCAGTTTTCATAACTTGCGGTTGAATGTCTCACTTTGAACAGTCTTCATGCTTTTAAGTCAAACTGACCTGCATACCACCGAGTGAAACAGTGAGGGAAATCTTCGGCGAAACTCATTTTTTCATTCCACTGGGGACTTTTCATACCTCTATTTTTTCACTCAGAATTTCACCGAGTGAAAAAGCACCACGAGCATACTTAGCTTAAGCAGTAAATCGAATCAGTGGCGTGGAAGTTGTGGGAACATTACGTAGAACTATTTACTTAACTAATCAAGTTGATCCTCTCATTTGACGCAATGTTATATTTAGTCCAGATTATATCAAGTGATAACGCCTGCCTCATTACGTCTGCTTATCATTAAAGTCATTTGTATTAATTTATTTACCTGATTTACCAAGTGAATATCAATCAAAATCATAACAGTCTTTCCCAAAAGACTTAAAAAAATTGAAATTTAATTTAAAAATTAGTTAGTAATATAATATTGCATAATAGGTTTCCGCAACGAACCATACTTTTCTTTAAAGATATCCAATGAGTTTTTTAACCCGGTAGAAATACTGAACAACCGACATAAGATCCTAGTATTTTGTTGATTTGAAACCCCGCAAATTTCTACGTTAAAAAAACAAGTTAAACCCGTCATATTTCTGATAAATTACAAATCGTGCAGTGTCATATGGATTTTTATGAAAAATAAACAATTCCAGCAAACAACAACGAATAAATCATCCCTACTAATCCACCTTGTGAAACAGCTAATCTTTTTGTATTTTATCAATTTTGTTTTTAATATTATGTATCACATATGTACCAGAGCTTAACGTACCTCTGTTCATATATTTGATACAATTCAAAAAGTAACATATTTTGTCAACATATATTTTTAAAATATTGAATTCAAAGTAATTGATTTATTATCCGCTTATAAAACTAATTTAACGAGAAAATTTAAACCTTTTTTATCATCATCTTTTGCAGGATGGGTCTTGGACATGGTGAGGTGATAAACGTTGATCAACAAATTTCTTCCCCACCTACACCCCAAAATACTACCGTAGTCTTAATTACCGCACCAAACCCAGGACCCCCCATCGCATCTCGTCGTTCTGAATTGGTACCGAAGTTTGAAAAGAAATCTACCAAAAGCGTCATTTCCCCCGCAAAGTTTGAATATTTCTGGCTCATCCTAACCGCCGCCATTATTTTCTTCGCTCTCTCCATTGCCATGCTCACTATTTGGGGAATTTACGCCGATCGCGCCAATTATTGTCCACACCGAGAAAATATTGCGGGGTTATTACTTTCTGCAGGATTGATTACGCTCCTCCTCAGTTTAGGTGGGGCAGCTATAATGGTCGGGAAAGTTTTTACTGCAACCTTTAAAGAAACTGCCGTCATTGCGATGATGAATTTCACCACGGCATTTTTTTCTTGGTTGGTCGCATCCGCGGTAATAATTTATAGATCACATGGCGATGTCAGTTACGAACCTTGGTCGCAAAATTATTGTCACCCAACCCTGTACAAGATGACGTTCTGGGTGGTCACGATCCATTGGGGGATGGTAGCGGTCGCCTTTACAATTGGAGTATTAGCTATTACCGTGATGATCCTTGTAGAGATGATGAAATAAATACTTGGGGACACGAAGTTAGACATTGTGAAATTGTGCATTCAGAGAAATATAGTATGGAATCATGACAGTGAGTAATTAATAAACATGATACTAATAATTACGTCTTCAAATACAGCTACTACAGTTATGTAATATTTTTAAGCAATATCTTGAAAACCCATACTAACTTTTGCGAAAAAATGCAAACCATTTACTTAAAATAGAGGGTTTTTGACAGTGAGTAACAACAGCAGAGAGATAACATATTCATAAAATGCATGCAATGTATTTTACAAGTGGTATGTAAATAATCATGGATCAAGATCATGGCCAGAATTTTGCATAACTCACCCTAGATAGTTTACGGGTAGAGTAATCTCGAGCTAGACTAAAATCCTTCTAAATATTTATAAGCTACAAAAAAATCGTATTCAAATGCGATATGAATCAATTGACATATATGTATTGATGTATAGATATGTATTGCATTTGTGAACTATGACAAAATATAAATATATCACAATAAATATAGGCATGAATACTTATTTTTGGGAAAGCATTAAGTATTTACTTCTGGCACATATTTTTATTGATATCGAAGTTTTTATAGAGAGCTACATTTATTCAATCTCAGTTTCAAGTTACCCAGTATATATGTATAAATTAATATTTATTGATTTCTCCGGTACATTTATGGTGTTTATTTCATCACCTAATGTCTCGGACTGATTAGCTTGCACCGCTTACTCACTACCAAACCTTCTCACGTTTCCAAAAAATTCTTGAGTCACTTTAACAACGTCTCGACGGTAGAGTTCTAATGCTTTGTAACCTTCTTGGGTACCATGAACACGAGGAATCCACGAGTTGCCAGGTTGATTGTCAATTTGATCCCTACTAAAAGTTCTTTCCACCAACATCACATCTTGTCGAGTATCCCAGTTGTCCCAGACAGTGACTGCCAAATATTCCAATGGGTCACCGGACAGTTGGTAATTTTTGTAAAAGTCGGGCAAAGCCAAATCCCTGCAAATTATATTAGTTAAATATTTGTAATATTTCTAATTAATCTGTAAATATGGCCCATTTATTTACATATAATTTAAAGTCTAGGTAAATAATAGAGTAAGGTGCATATAATCTAAATATTTCCACGAGGCTCCATAAAGTAAAAAATACAGTATCCCAATGCTTTTCATAATTTACATAGGTGCTCATTGACTGAATTCATAGCTTTCTTCGTATCCCTATATTCGTGAAATAGTTTTTGTGTGGTAAAATATGAACGTGTCCTTCCAATGGGTTATGATAAGCAAAAGTTTACATTACAAACCTATTTTTAATGAAATCTCCAATATTATAGAAGATTTCGATAATACACCGGTTTTAGAACTAAAGGGACATCGTTTTTATGCATAATCTCATAACTTATATCGGTTCTTACGTAGTCAGCGAAAACTTCTAGATCAAACTGCTGTGAGCAGTAAAGACGTCCCTCGGATTGGACCCTCAGATGGGTACCCCTAAGTCGGGCCGCGATACAGTTTCTTTCCATCCCGTCCAGGGTTTTTGTCATCGTACTTGCCAACTCGCCAAGATTATGGTTACTATAGCCTCGGGTTCCTCCCGCGATCCCAATAATTGATGATGCAACGACGTATATTTGAAGAAAAATTGGTGCCGCGATCCAATACTGTTTAAATAGGATGCAGTTGGGATCAGTAAAATATATCGAAATTTCCACTAAGGAATTCACCGAATTTGTCAACTCCGAAATTCGATGGACACCCGAAGTTTCCTGGTTCTCAAGACATGCCAAGCTACCTCGCAGTGAGGCGAGTTTTCCTTTAATAACCGTCAGCATTATGGAGGCCGCGGTAGATTCAAATTTTCGCTGCAATTCTGCCTCTGCATTGTCGGTTAGCTTGATAAGGATTTCGAAAACCAAATTAACGACAGGCATATACTTTCCACCTTCATTCATAACGGTTGCCAAAAGCTTAAGGGATTTTTGGAAATTTTCAAATGGCACGTGATCCGCTACACTGGTGACTCGTAAGTAATTTCTCGCACTATTGCAGAGTATTTCCATAATATCCTTCTTACAAATCTTGTAAACGATAATAAAAGATTTGCCATTCTGGTCGACGGAACTACTGACAAACGAAATGTCCCATATTTAATCGTGTATTTCCAGACACTTGAGGATGGGTACCCAATCAGTTACTTATACAGATTAATAGAATTAGCAGACGGGGAAAAGTCGTATAAAATGTTTGAAAGTTTTTGGTCGAAAGTTGAACAAGACGATGGAATTGCTAATGGGTTTAGAACATATGTACTAGATAAAATGGTCAGTTATAGTAGTGATGGAGCCGCCTGTATGGTTGGAAAGTATCAATCGTTTTGGAGAGAGCTGGTAAAGAAACTTGGTCGAGAAATACCAGCAATCCAATGCTTAGCTCATAAGACACAGTTATCCATCCGTCGAGCCATTCTCAAAACAACTGCGACAATTGGAGATCACTTCAAAACCTTCGAAAAAAGTATTAATAAGTTTTACATATTTTACATGTCTCGTGGCAGCAAAAGATGGCAACATCTTGTGGATACAGCTACCAATCTAGATGTGGGGAAGCTCAGACGTATAAAATATTATTTCGATGTAAGGTGGGCGTCGTCTGAATACAGAGCTCTGTATGCCATTAAAGAGGACTACTTGGCATTAGTAATAGATACAAAAGCGATTTCAATTGATCCAAGCTTCACTCGAGCAGCGCAAGCGTCGGCCTTAGTAATCAATACTTTATTATTGGACAAATCCTGGATGGCTACTAAATATGAAGCATCGGATTATTTGTCTGTTCATCAGAGGATAAGCTTATCATTTCAAACTGAACCATCAAGTTTAGTTGGAAAATCGAAAACAGTTCAACAAGGAAAAGATAGTTTCGACATCCTTGCCAAGAAGCCAGGCACCTTTTTGGCGGGTTTTTTGAGTAAATGTTCATGTCCAGGAATATGCGAGATTGGCACATGTACACTTATTCAGTATGAATCATGTCCTGAGGTCTTGTATCTAGGGCAAAAGCTAATTGATTCCTCGGAAAGCTTTAAATTATCTGAAGTCCGTTCAACATTGTATGCAAGTATGATACACGAATTGGATCATTACTTTAACTTAGCAGAATTGAAAGCATTCAATTTATTCGATCAGCGGGAAGGGGACCTATCTTTGGAAGCTGAAGATATGATTGTCCTACAAGCTAATGAGAAAGCGCCGATGCAGGAATGTGAGGAACCAGATAAATATGAAATTCAACCTGTGAATATTTCTGATATTTATGAAGCGGCAGAACACAATTTCTCAGCGTACTCATATGAATTTCCGGTACATGATAATTTTGTTTTGGTTGGTAACAGTTCCTATTTTGAGGAAATCAGACGAGGATCGATTTTGGTAGAATATTCTGATAATGAGAATTTCGTAATACTATGTAAATTCTTTAATATTGGGAGTGACGAATGTCAATTAATTTATAACGATATCGTTATTGTGAAACACCAAATTTTGACAACCCCTTACTACGTATACAATATGAAAGTTGAACCTGTGGTTTTCTGGCCCATGGTTTTGAAAAATCGAGATGGAAAGTTGTCCATAACTCAAAGAGTTATTGATTTTGTTGAAATGATACTTGTCATACCTTTCGGGACAGCCGTATGTGAAAGAGGGTTTTCGTATTTAACTAGGGTCCAAGATAGTGGGAGAACGGGAACGAAACCAGAAACGTTGGATAACATTTTAAGAATTATAATAAACGGATCAAAAGAGATTAACGAATTCAATGCGTTGAGTATTGCAAAATTGTACATAAAGACTTTTGCTCGGGTCGATGATCCAACTGCTATGGGTGGTAAAGCTCATAGTAAGTCTTTCAAATACAATCCGCGAAGTAGATTATTTTAATTGGAGTTAAGTTTCATGTTTTGTATGGTGAAATAAACAATTGTCTATCCGTCAGAACCTGCAAACATAAATCAAATGAAAATTAGCCGGATTGGGAAGGTTCTGTATTTAAACTCTACAAGTCCTGGTATCAAACCTTGACACACTCTCTGTCCAAGGTAGGCTCCCAATCCATTTAATGACCTATGCACGGGAGTGTGTCAACAATGGGAAAGTTTGAAATCATTGAAATGAAATGATATCCGATTTTTCCATGTATCATTATTGTGAAGGTTTTAGGTTATATCATACTTATTATATCGAGTATAAACATTGAGATTAATGTAAAATAGAAATGCCATAAAAACCGTAGTATTGTGTGTTGATAAATTAAAAAATAATGCATAATTAAAAGTAAGTGAAATAAACAGATATGTAGATGGAAATAATATACCAATGCAAAAAACCGGAATTTTATAATATACTTACTTACGATGCATATTACCATATAAACTGTGTGTTCTGATATGTTTTCCTCAAAATATATGTCACACAACAAATTTACATGAAAATGTGACAGTTCAAAGCAGGAATCTCATTTTGCCCCAACCACACCCACTTTAACCACTCCCCTTAATTTAAAATAAATATTTGTTTACTATTTATAGCGTTTTTTAAATCTTTTAATAATAACAAAAAGTTCGTATTTCATGAACAGCCCTTTGTCTTTCCTTCCCACTTAAACTGCATTGAGGGATCAATACAACCTTCACGTCGAACAATACAACGGTATTTTAATCACTAAATTCAATTAAAACGTACAAAAATGAAAAATTGCACTACTATAAACATTTTTAATTATTTTTAACTAATTTTGAACCATTCAATTTTTTTGAAATTTTTACATATTCCGGTCTCCTGGCATATAAATACTACGAGGGCTCATGGGGTGGATACAAAATCATATTGGCGAATGCCATCACCTTTAAAAATTTTAAATTTTTGTCTGCGACCAACCGAGTAATCTGGACTGTTCCCGATGGATGCCGATGAAATTATAATGTTTCCAACAGTGCAGATTATGGAGTCTAGTCTAGACTGTCTAGACGATTGCTCGACAACAACCAAAATTTTTTCAAACTGTGCTTGCAAATTTAACAAATTTAAACTGAATAACCAAGACGCATAATATGCTTTTAGGATGTTGAAGGTTGATTTGGGTATTGAATATCAAAATTTATTTCGGATGCGAAGTTACCCAAAGTCCATTACAAGTATTACAATTCTAGCTGATAGAAAGGGTTATTTAGTCGGATAAGTACAATATTTTTTACCGATACAAGAACCCAAAACTTTGGCGTAGGGTACCCGAGTTCTTGGAAGAAGGGTGCCATTCCTCGCATTGACGCACACTAGGCCTGTGTATTTATTAATAAATACAAGTAGAAATATTTTAGCTACCCTTTCTACGGTTGAGAGGGGACAGTTTTTTTCTTTTAACCTGTGAGGTTATTTCCCGTAGTAAATTAAATACATCCAATAGTAACGTTTTGTTTAGAAAATTACTAAAGTTTGTGGATTGAAGCCTAATTGAAAATTGTGACAGGTAAGCTTTTAATTATGCAATTCTTTTATCATATTTTCCGGTTTGTGAAGAAACTTTTTCTGAAATTATTATTACCAACTATTTATGAAAGACTGATTAGCTTGCTTGATTCCCAATATCAAATTTGAAACGATATCTTTCCTCTTGAATATTTGAATTCGGTTTGCAATTCTAATTGAAACCGGTTATTTGTCGTCACGATACTACACACACTACTCTATCAGGATTTTTTTTATATAAAAAACATAAAATAAATCATTTCCAAGAGCTCTCAATTTCGATATGAATGACGGTACCTTCCTTTACAAATTAAAGTATTATTATATTAACATGTGTAAATAATTTTCCAAAATATGCATTAAATTATATACATCACTATTTAAAAAACTTCATTTTATACTAAAAATAGTAAGATATGTACAATAAAAGGAAAAACATACAACATTTCCATTAATTTCATAGCGTTTCCTTTGTTCCATCAGATTCTTCCACCACCACCATCACTATTTCTGCGGGATAAAAAAACTCGGCTTTTTCATCACCTGCGAATTACTTTCTTAAATAAACATTTAACTCCACAATTAATTTAGTCATCATTTAAACAAGTTATCCCAGACTTAAAAAGGTAACTCGTGTTTTCTTATTTTTATCAAGATGTGCATAAGTACTCATCCACAAGTATTTTGTCCCGTTTTGATAATTCCCATTTTTTCCCCGTGGATTTCTTTCTTCCTCCAATTTGAAATATTAACTACAGTTTTGTCCTTCCTAGTTTGAGGTTATTTGTTTTATTTTAAATCATAATCGTAACTTTTTTGCAGAAATTGCGTTCACCTCCATTTGAAAATCATGGCTGGTAAGGTGTCATGTTTTACAATATTTGTTTTCGTACTTTAATTCCACTTTGTATAAAATTATTTCTTTACAGAATCTCTTAATTCCTATCTGGATAATGGTAACATTATAATTACCGATTTTCCTTTACAAATTACAATATGATTTTCTGTGATTAATTTATAATAAATTTTCTTAGGCGATCTAGACAAACAAATTTCCGCCGCCATCGAACGTCTTCACGCGCTCCAATATTTTAAGAATGTACGAAAATCAGGGCCGAACGAAACTTCATTTGAAACCAGACGAGGTAAATAATTAAATTGTCAAAATGTAAATTTGTGCGCAAATTAATTAACATACTAATTAAATCTGTCCTCTAGATTTCTATTACGAGACGAGCACTAGCCAAAGTGGAGGACAAACCGGAAGTGATTTTAATTCTGTAGGAAATCCAGAATATCTGATGCCAATGATAAGTCAGGATCCCTACGGTCATGAGCAGTCTTTGGAGGTAAAAATTAATTAGTAAAATTTAAAAAATATATTAATTAGTAAATTACCAAAAACACAAAATTAAGTTTTTAAGGAAACCCAACCTTGTTTCCTATTTTAGAGTGGTGCAGACTTCCTGCGACATAAAACCCCCTCACGACTAAATATATCTCAGATTCCATCCGCAGTTAAGAAATCCAAGAAAGGTAGAAATAAATCCGAACAAGAATCTATTGATGCAAGCACTTTCTACCGAACGAAATACTTGGCTGGGCTAGAGGAATCGAGAAAGTGCTGCGTAAGATAATTATTTTTTTAACACATTTTCATCTCTGACTTGCCTAGTTGTAGACACTAATTTCAGTACTTATTTCTTAACCAAAATTAGAGAACAAATTTATTACCGTTCATCCTGTACTGAATTGTTCTCTATTATCTCTATTTCTTTTGCAATTAAGATTTGCTTACTATATGCAAGTAAAATTCCCCTGAAAAGTTAACATTATCTATTCCTTACTATGGTAGAAATTTTATTAATAGACCCTTTTTTAAGAATTTTCGCAGTGCTTTGAATTTGCACTGATGGCTCAGTTTTTGAGTGATTTCAAAAATTTGAATTTCATAATTTTTGCTGCTGTCCAAAGTTTTCAAAACCGTTCCAATTTTTGAAATCACTCAAAAACTGAGCCATCAGTGCAAATTCAAAGCACTGCGAAAATTCTTAAAAAAGGGTCTATTAATAAAATTTCTACCATAATATTATTCATTATTCCCACAAAATATTTTAAAGTCTAGTAAACTTAAATATTTTTTTTTCCCCTTTCAGAAATGGATATTGGACAACTGCGAAGCCTCCGAAGGCAGTAAAATTCCAAAAGGAGGATTTTACGAACAGTATTCCGAACATTGCCTGGCATCTGGTTCCGTTCCCGGAATTCCTATCTGGTTTGGGAAGAAGATGTTTACCTTGTTTCCCGGCCTCAGCATTCAGCGGAAGGATCGCCAACCCAATTCGACATCTTGTTACCTTGGTGTTCGCCAAAAAATAAAATCGATGGACTTGCAATAAAACGTGGAAAATCATCAATTTACACGGAATTTAGATCAAGACATACTACACAATATTTATATTTGGTATGTAATAAATTGTATCATAATGGAAGTACCAGGCGTTATTGGGTAACATCGGAAATATAATTAGGGCAAATATTTGGACGGAATTTTGTAAATAAGTACACAATAAAGCCCAGATGATAATCAATTGATTTTGCCAAATTATTGTAACACTTAAAATTTTTCATTTAATTCCACACATTTTATTTTGGCTTTACATTTTATAAATAAGACTGCATAAAAATATCATACCAATTCGTGTTAAGGTTTTCTAAAAAAAGTAAAAAACCAATCCCTATCATGGTTTTTTATGAATGACAGATATGCCATTAACAATCATTTTTAATCATAAAAATTTTTATTCAGAAGCATTTTTCAAATCCTGTTTTCGCAGATTTGTTTAGGTAAAAGATTTAAAAAATTAAAGCCCTACTGTCTATCCAATTTGCATAATCGCAGGGTTTAGCCACGTTAAAAATTTTCAGCGACATGGCTAAACCCTGCGATTATGTAAATGAGGTGTACTAGCCGATTGGATGGACAGTAAGTACGGTGAAATAGTGAAAAAGTATTCATAGCTCTCTTTGCCCACGTATATTTGCATTATCCTAAGTTGTGTTGGACAACATCTACAGACATATTTATTTCTTTACTTTCAAATGTATATTTAAATTACTAAAATCTTCAGTTTCTTCACTTTGCTTAATCCAATTAAATTTACAAAATTTAAAATAATTCACCTTAATTATATTTCTCATCTTTTACAAGAAAACTCCTCCTACATTTCATTACAAACCTGTCCCATATATTTCGGAACATATTAACAATAAACAATCTAAATCTAATACCTGTTTGTTTAAAGATGTAACAATGATGTGCAAGTTTCTGTAGAAATTTCGTTTTAATGAGAAATTACTAAATTTTAAATAAAAGTACTTAATCAAACTTCTTAATTTTAGTAACACAATATCAATTTTATAATTAACGGATACCTTAGGATACACTAATTCTCCAAGGAACCTTAAAACTGCAATCCCACCCAAGAGCAAATACAGCTGGAAAGCAATCAAAAGATTTTCTAAAGCTCCAATACCATCCTGTGTGACGACGGGATGATTTCGAACACTAAATTCATCCACGAACTTATAACGATCTGAGTACACGAGGAAAAGTCCATCTGCACTTATCCATTGTAAACAACGGTATAATCCCTCCGACCCAAAATATTTAAATTGCCAAATTATATTACGCTGATAAAATATTTCCTTAACAATATTACAGGTCACGTTACGATACTCTTTTCTTAGAAAATATAAAACCGTTTGTAGTTCAACGGATGTTGGCTGGAAAGCGATGCGGTCTGCATACATGGCGGCGGCAGAAAATTCAGTAAAGTGTACGTGTTTCGGATCCATTACTATTAAAATGGGTGTTAATTATTTAATGCGAAAATATTTATATTTAACAGTATTTAGCTTAGTTCCGATACCTCCGTTCCAAACATAATTGTCAAAATTTGGCAAATCCTTCCGAATCGATAATCGCCACCGGGTCGATTCCTTTTATTATCTTCTGAGTATAATTTGTACCCAAATTCGGTGAAAAGTTCGTGAATATTTGTAATCACATATTTCTCGAGAGGTGTCGTTATATCGGTTGTGATTATAGCGTCGTATGATGAACTAAGCGCAATCATGGCTACTATGCAAAGTAATCCAAACCACGTAACGGATTTCATAGAAAAAATTAATACCCGTATCAATTGACAGGTTTCGTCATATAAATCTATGCTGATGTTCAGTTCATACTGAAATAATCCGGAAACAGAGTATATTTCCGCAATGATAGCAACACCCCAAATTCCTCAATAGAAAATTTCCTTGCCCAAAGGGCACCGAAACTCTAACAAATATTGCAGCAATATCTGAATATCCACCGAATTTTGAGACCCCCAAAAACAACGATACTTCAGCGCACGCCATCCACGTTCAGATATCCATAATTGTGAAAAACTTTGAAATCCGCAATGATAGCAAGACCGGATTTTTCTGACAGTAAAGTACATAGTAATCGATAGTTTTCTCAAGGTGACGTTTTTGTCCCGATTTAAAGTCAAGCTTTTCCAGTTGTTCTAAAATCCCAAACTCAGCAAATTTGTCGGTCTGGTCACTATAAAAATATTTGTAATCAAACGACCTGAAAATTGTTTCGTACACTCAGAAAAAAAACGTAGTAGTAATCATTACTGTATGGAATAACTGTATGTCTCTACTACGCTGGTAAAAATATGTCTCAAAAATGGTAATAGAAATTTCAGCGAAGTTCAAATTTCTTACCATAAAGTAATGAAATGACTACTACAAGCTAATAAATTTGAATTTCGCTGAAATTATTATTACCATTTTTGACACAAGTTTTTACCAGCGTAGTAGAGACATACAGTCATTCCAAAAAGTAATGATTACTACTACGTTTTTTTGAGTGTACAGTCAGAAAAATTGGGTGATGGTTGTCGCCTTATTTAGACGCCTATGACTCTACCGAAATGGTGATAAACTTCATCACCGATTGGTTATAAATTTGTAACCGAATGGTTTCAAACATACCCGCCTTGGTTTCAATTATAACTGATCTGCGTATAATGATAACCAATCGGTGGTAAATTTATCACCATCGCGGTGGAGTCATAGGCGTCTACAAATCTTAATAATATTTCTGTGCGTGTACTATTGTTACCATTTTGACGAAAATGTAAAATTCAATTTCCTCCGTACTACTTGAAGCGGTCCAAACGCTACAAAGCAGTATGTATCGTTGATCAAGAAATAGCGATGGTCTTCACAATCATACTGTTCCAAAGGATATACCCATTCGTTTTTGTTAATTGCCAATTTAAACAAATTTTGGTTAGAGTCTAACAATCGTCGTGATTTTATTAACTCTTCCGCTTTGGGAAACATGTTGCCCGATTCAATGGGATATATTTGCCATGTTGCATCCTCGAAAATATTTGTGGGATTAAATAACTTCGTAAAACTTAATTGTTCTCGAAAATCTAAAATTATCAAATAGATTGGAACAGAAAATTGAAGAAAAAGCGAAATATGTTCCGTTTTCCAAATGTGATATCCTTCCGAGGAAAATACCATGTATATAACAGCATTCCCTTGATAAGCCCAAGTGAAGAGATTGCCATAAAAAGAGAGAATATTTTCACCATCATAAAATATCACGATTTCAATACAGCATGTTTTCCACAGTGGAGTGTTATTTGAATTAGCTTCGTTTGAATTTAACCGTTGCACGACTATGCTGTTCTGATGGGCGGAAGATAAATGGTCGTCATGTTGCTTAGTTATTTCGGTACTTTCTATTAATTGGGTTTTCGAAGTCATTAATAAACAGTTTGGATTGTGGTTAAGATTTATTAAGGCAAAGGCAACATGGAGTGTCGATGCTGTTAGAAATGTTAGAAAAATTGGCATCTTTCTATTCATTGTTAAGCTGTCTTGCGCCTGAACCATTTAACTAGGTAGTGACGAACATTGGAAGGTGGCAGATATTTGATTGTAACACGTCAGCAATAACTTGACGGGACTAAGTATCTATTCATATTAATGGGATCTCGGAAATCGAAATATTTACAAGAAGGCATTTGTAATAAATTGCGCATTTATTATGTTTACGTTATCGTGTCACCAATTTAGTGATAGAAGTAAGCACTTTGCTATTTTTGCAAACTGTCGTTAATATCTGATAGTCTATATTCACGTATGAAAGATTTTTTTTCACGCAGTTGAAATTTTATGCGATATTTTGGTAGCCAGCTTCGAACCTACATTATGTCCATGATTTTTATATTTAGAAATTTATTTCAAAGGATGATACCTTACTGTGTATAAAATGAAGTGTATATCACATGTAAAAGTTGAGCTATTTAATTACTATGGCATGTACACTAAAGATATATTCTATAGATTTTTTATAATATAGTCATAAACTTAATCGAGGGGACAACTATCTCAGCAAAAACTAATAAATATAAACATCCTTCAATTTCCGAAAGGAGAGAAACTTCATTAATATTATATTAGATTGTTTCGCGAAATTGTTCATCATCATTACTTTCGTCCAGAAGAAAATGCTGTATTTTTACGGCCCTATATAATTCGGTCGATAAAGTAGTTTATCGAATTTATTAATATACATTGCAACGTATATTAATTTCAAAATCCGTCTCTGTTGTAAATTAATTTTGTAAAAATTGATTTTAAAATATATATGTATGTATGTATGTGTGACCATATGCTTGCTTGGAATACTCTCCACGTTTCATGTTTCCTTATTTTCTGTTCGCAAACACCTATAAATTATGACAATAAAACGCCGGTACCTCGCAGTACAATAGATACAGCGAAAAAATTACAGTAGAAATATTATTCACACGTAACACAAAAAATTTATAAAATTCAGAGGGTCTCATAGGCACTTAGAAATTCAAGAAGCGATCTTATCACTATGGTACGTTTTTTAAAAATTAGAACTATTTTTTAATGATTAAAACTCAACAAATGAAAAATTTAACTTACTACTGCTCAGTCGATTTTTGAAGGATTTCAAAAATTTTAACGGTTCTAGAAACATTGAAGTTTACAGTTTCCAGAACCGTTTAAATTTTTGAAATCCTTCAACAATCGACTGAGCAGTAGTAAGTTAAATTTTTCATGTGTTGAGTTTTAATCACTAAAAAATAGTTCTAATTTTAAAAAAACGTACCATAGCTCACTTAAGAAATACCTCCTTAATTTTAGTTGACAATACAGTAAATTTATAATACAGGTATATCTTATATGTAAATTCTCCAAAAAACATTAAAATTGCAAACCCATTGAACATCAAATATAGTTGAAATGCAACAAAAAGATTTTCTAAGGCCCCAATTCCTTCTGGAATGTTGGCAGGCCACTTTCGCAAACTATGTTCATCCACGAACTTCCAAAGGTATCCGTGTAGATTGAAAAGTCCGTTAGCACTAAGCCACTGTAAATTATGGTACAGCTCTTCTGATCCAAAGTACATAAATCTCCAAATAATGTTGCGTTTGTAAAATATTTCCTTAACGATATTACAAGTCACGTTGGAATACTTATTTTTTAGAAAAA